CAATCGGTCTCTCACTTTTTCGTCAAAAACGCTGCACATCTACGTGACGCTAATATTATTATTCTTGCCTTTCATCCGTAAAAAATTTACCCTCATCCGCCTAAAGAAGTTTCACTTCATTTGTAATAATTAAAAATTTAAACAAATTTAAAAATATTCGGTCGTGTGTGTAGCTTTTAGCTGCTATCATCGCTGTATGGCGAAACTTATTCGTTGAGGAAAGCACCAGCTCTGGGGTCAACCGCCATCTTAAATCTTTAATTAGCGCCTGGGCCCAAGAGTCTCTTCTCCAGTTGGAAGAGACTTAGATATTTGAGCCGATTATCTTCCGGCATCAGCGGCCGCGAAATAACAATACGTCCTGATGATATCATCAAGATACTTAATTTAATATATTGACTTTTCTACGCGTTATCAAGTATCTATAGTGAGGCAACGAGCTTCAGAAAGATTCAATTCAGAAGACAGCAGGTCAGTAAATTTCACCAACATCATCTTGATGGTTGGAGGTCTTCCACAGTCCGTTTGACAAGGCATTTTCTTTTGCGAACTAGCGAACTGTGGAATCGACTCCCGGTGGGGGTCTTCCCTCAGAGATACGACCGCCAAATGTTTAAAAATCGAGTGTACTCCTCCCTCAAAGGCCGACAACGCACCCACTAAAAATGGGTGTCTATGGGCTGCGAACACTGCCCCATTTGGACGTCCCGCAAGCCCGTTTGCCCTACTATTATATATATATAAAAAAAAACAGTATCCACTTTTCATATATTGTAGGCTTATATCTATGCAGTGGTATCATTCTGTGAGCATGTTATGCTACAGAAGGAGACAGCAGAACGAGAGAGGGAGCGCTTTAGGACGAATCCAAGGGATAGAAGACTAAGAGTAAATAGGAGAAGATATGCCCATCTCCTACCTCCTATGTAGTGTATACTGCACCGGAGGAGAGTGTACCATGCCGTTGAGGTCCCGGTAGAATGCGACAGCGACCCCGGAGCCTCTGTAACGCGACTTTGTAGGAACTACTCGAGGTGGTTTAGTGGGTATCGCTCACCCAGTCTCTGAATAGCAGAGATTTTGGCGTGGTTCGAGTCCCACATACCCATGCAACTTTTGAGGGCAGGGACTGCGCAAATGCATTTCCACCGCGGTTATCAAACAAGGCCTTTATCTATATTTAATTTATTAAGAAGATGAGACGAAATTTTTAAAGAGTATAATGTCACAGTGTTACTTATTTATTTATTTCGTAATCCTACAGCTAACATAAATTATATATAACAACATAACATATATTATAACAACAACAAATTACAAACAGTAACACTGAAAATATAGCCAGAGATGAAATACATATTACTACAAAAAATTACAAAAGGAAACAAACAATCAAAAATTATTCAATACATTCAAATAAGTAATACCTAATTTGGCTGTGTTGTGTGATGGTGTAAAAGTGAGGGTAAGTACGTGAAGGTGTGTTTGTGGGGTTACAATACAATCTGCCTTGCTATTCTGTAACTCACTTTTCGAACTCACACAGCGGTTTTCGCATCGGCGGTCGCTCTCAAATCAGTCGTGAAGCAATCATTTTATGATTTGGCATTCTGATAAACAATAAACTACAAGCTCCCACCTTTTCACCGCTGTGTTTGCGAAAACCGCTGTGTGAGTTCGAAAAGTGAGTTACAGAATCGCAGGGCTGCTTATAATTTATTTTCAACACTGACATACTAATACTTACATGTATTATATTTATAGGGTAGCGGTTTAGGCCATTCTTCGTTATTATATATTTCGTTTCGTAATTTGTCTAAAAGCTATTGGCTACCCAATCATAAGTCAATAAAAAAACCAGTGTTAAATGTATGCTAAATATCATGCAGTGTCACCCTACACATACAAAAATATACATTTAATTTGTTTTACACAAATGAGATACTTTGCTTTGATGTCTGGCAAATCAATCGCTGATTAATACCAGAACCTTTAAACGAATATTTGTAGAAAATATATAAATATTGTTATAGTATATACTATATTATATTTAATGTGTTTTCCAACTTAACGTAACTTTGTTTATCATGCTTTTAATGAGGTTTAAGTTTTCATTTACTTTTAGTTAATATTTTTATTTTGTGGTTGTTTGTTTACTTCTTTCCCTTGATAGATTACATATGTTCTAATGTAATCTTTCGAATTAACGATTATCTTTTAGCTATTTTAATTGCCAAAATTTATTATAAATCAATTAATTAAATTAATTGCACATAATTAAAACAACATTCGAATAATAATAGAATTTATGTTACAACGGCCTGGCCACGGGGGTCGTACACTTAATGCGGGAAGAGAATAATAATAAATATTATTGATGTAAGTGTTCGAAGGAAAACATGAACGATTCGGAACGAAGGTATAATGAGAACTCCAGTTATCCAGATTTTTCTGGTATACCAGAATGAGATTGAAACCTTAATTATTTTCTTATATTCAAAGAATTGGAGATTTATTTGCAAATCAAAAATTATTTTTACAATAATATCCAAAGAACGTATGGAACTTCTAACTACCCGTCAATAAACTGTATCATTTTCCGCCCCGACTCACGACTAAACTTTTTGCCCCCCCCCCCGCCCCGGCCGGGGCGCGGGGCCCCCCCGGGGGAAAAAAAAAAAAAAAAACAAAAAGCCCCCCCCCCCCCCCCCCCCCTCTTTCCCCCCCCCCCCCCCCCCCCTTTTTCTAATGTAACTGATGTGTATGTGCTTTAAATTTGTGATGTCATATTTTCTTGTATTTCATGCATACACATTGTTTTATAACGTGTAAATAAATAAATTTCCAACACACGAATAAACAGTAGGTATTTATTCTCAACCTACATAGTAATATTAATATTAAAAAATTGATAAATTGAAAATTCAAACAAATTTAAAAAGTTTGGTCCCTGTGGCAGTGTACTGGCATCTGCCTTGCGATTCTGTAACTCACTTTTCGAACTCACACAGCGGTTTTCACAGCGGCGGTCGCGCTCAAATCAGTCGAAAAGCAGTCATTTTACGATTTGGCATTCTGATAAACAATAAACTACAAGCTCCCTCCTTATCTTATTTGTTTTTTTGATTTAAGTTTGCGCCAGTGGTACCAGCGATCCCAGCTTGCCTCGCTAAAGACCAGCATAAGACTAACACAGAGACCAAACGTTTTTGAAGTTATACTTCTTTTGGCGCGAAAAATTATGAGTGTCAATTTTTACGATGCGCGCGCACACCGTCACAAAAAGCAACACCCTGAAGTTAGCTATAGTCAACATTTTAGTTTTTTCTAGTGTTAGTGTCGTTCTTTCTACAAACGTAAAACAAATTTTTGAAAAGATTTTTATCTTGTTACGTCAAAGAAGTATAACTTCTAACGCGTGTACATAAGTATACACAGGTTTTTTTATATTTATTTTTAGGAATAAATGTTTCACGTGACCATTTTCAAACAAATTTGTTTAGATTACTCCGTTGTATTTGTTATGTACGAGCCAAGGCTGTACAGTTTCTCACTCAGTTTTTCTTAGTTTTATAAGCGTGGCGATTACCTAAATTGGAGTTACGCCCGAGAGTATAGCCAGACGCGGACACTGTCTTCAGAATTATTAGCATAGCATAACATTTAGATATAAAGTATTAATTCCTTTGTTGTTCTTGAATATAGGAGCCCAGGAACCATACAATTTATTTTAAAGCAAGGCCTTCTACGCCTAACACCGCATCTTTATCGGAGGGAATCGAAGTTTAGTAGAAAAAAACTGTAACATTTCGATCCGTTAGTGACAAACAAATATAAATAAAACAACGGGATAAATTGTATATTTTATTATAGAATATTTTATATTTACAAATTTAACGCTATTTTGACTACCAATGAACCAATATAACCCGTTTTGGACGATTCACTCGACAACGTTCTAAGAAAAAAGTTTTTTGTCGGAAAAACGTTATTTTTTTTACTTGATCGTGTTAAGAGGGTGCACTGTTTATATTTTTATATACATTTTTTTTTTATTTTATGACCTGGTAACATAGACCTTTAAGTCATAACTTATTTGGAAAATGTTAATTAATTTGGAGTATTTTTATATACACAATTTTCTTATAAATAGATTACAATTAGTTTTAAATATACATTTATTAGATACAGTTTCCCTTTTACTTTGGCACGTTTAAGGAGAGCGAAATGACTCACGTCCTAACACCTATTTATTTAAAAAAAAAAGTTTTCACTATTTTAAATTAGTCGTCCCTATCTGCCAAATCGTGTCAACGCTGTCATGAAAAGAGATGACTAGTAAAAATTATACAGTTATATTTTATACAGGGAATATTCGAGTCCGATATTACTGAAACAGATTCAAAATGGTTTATTTATATTGTCAAATTGTCTTTTTCCCAATTAAAAATATTTTTTTAAGTAACAGTAGGCAAACTGGCTGGAGGCTCATCTGATGTTAAGAGATATGCCCATGGTCACTCGCACTGCCAGAAGGCTCGCAAGCGCGCTGTATTTTTTGGGGGGGGATGGGCGCCGGGAACCTCTCTCACCGCACGAAACCTATTGCATCACTTCACGCCGGTTTTTAGGAAAATTACTTTATTGCTTGGGTATCTCAAACACCAGATCTATTTTGATGACACTGAGATCCGTATCTCCTGTGTCTCAATAAATCTAGCTTCAAGAGCTGTCAAACCATTATTTCTGTATGAAGTTTGACGCATTTGACAGCGCTCAAGACGAGATTGCGACTTAAGATACGGATATGGGCCTAAGTAACAGTTTAGTTATCTCCAAAATATATCGCTGCAATATAGAAAATGTTTAATTTAAATTAAATATCATCTTTTCGACAAATTTATAAGCAAAAACAGAAATTTTGGACACGAATAAAACACATAATTGTAAATATCGTATTTTTTTAAATATTCCTAATACCACTAAAAGTTCTTCTATGTTCAGCTTTGAAGGTTCTGCTCGCTCTTCAGCTCCAAAGCCCAAACGTGCTGCGGCCATCCCGTCCTGCCTTTGCCTTTCTTGTCTGAGTTCTGGAAGCAAATATTTCGATAAATATTGGATATTTTTATTAGATTCGGTCTAATAGGCTATAAAATAAAATGTTATTAGGATATTAAGTACAATAAATTGTAAATAATCATTACTTTACAAAATAATTATTTTTTTAAATTTTGTCACTCCCAATGTGCTCTTCTGACAACTTCTCATCCTCCTTCCGTCTTCATCTCGGAAAATATGTATTCAATTAGATTATATTAGAAAGTATATTGTTGACAAATGAACATGATGTACTAACAAATACAAAATAGTAGTAATAGTAATAATATTATGTTGTGTATAAGTGTGAGTTTAGGTGATCTTAAAAATCCATTCGACGCTATTTCATTCTAACTACAATAAAATCGGCTTGCCGCACAATGATGTGCAACAGATTATGGCCCTAGGCCGTCACCGTCGCATATGCCCTAGGTACAAAGAGCCCGAGTTCTTGGTGAACACTTGGGATGCTCACCTTCCCCAGCAAGACTGTCGAAAACCAAATTTATAAGAAAATTTGTCGACACAAACTGACATTTTCATACAAATTAAGTTTTCGACTTTCTATATTATACCTACTACTGTTAAGTCATCTTGGCTAACCCCTATATTATATTATCGATAGCGATCCCACGATCAATACGCAGACTGATGCATTTTATACATATTATCCGCCACAGATAACCGCTATCCGTTAAGTACCACCGCCATATGTTAATCAATGAATGTTCGTCATTATTTTATGGGCACTTGACACTAAATGACACATTTAATGAAAATAATTAAACAGATTTATTAATGCTAAATGATTTTGGCCTCTGATGTAATTATTTTTTATTTATGCAAAAACTCGCGTTGTATCGCCGGAAGACAACCAGATCATCTAGCTATCGCGAAATATTATTAAAAAAAAATTAAAATTAAAAATAAAATATGTTTATTATGGAACATAAGATACATGTCACGTCATTAAATTTCAATTTGTAGGCATCCCTACTCATCGGCAAAGAAGACAGAGGGTGTAGGCCGAGAGAAAAAGCCGGCGTAAAAAACTCTCGATACTCTTTAAATAGCAAATCATCAAACAACACTTATTTTAAAACAAATATCGCAAATTAATTAGAGGTAGCGTGTCTAGCACTAGTCCCAGGCCCTTTTATGAAATAGATAATCATTGACTTTATAGTAACTTTGTAGTAAAAACTAAGGACCTATCTGATCGCCAAACTACAAAAAGTACAGTTTCTTTCCATTTTTTGTCATCGTTTCTTGAAGTAAGCCGAATGGAAAAAATATATGGTGGAGTTGAGTAGTTTATGTACCATTTTGAAAGATCGATACACGATTTAAATAACTTCGCTCGATAGAAAAAAAATCCAAACATAGCCAATTTTTGACACATTGAACTCATCTTAGAAACCTGCATCATGAGCTCACAACACCTCACTTTCAAACCATCATACAACATAGCCGAAATTGGTATTTTATCTTTGCTAATTTTCGTAAATGTTTGAAGTTGTATATTATGTATTTCATCTTTAGTATAATTGTTTTTTGTTATATATAAGTTAGCTGTAGGACTACGAACTCAATAAATAAAGAAAATAGAAAAGTACCAATAAAAGATATTGCTTCAAAATTAAGCAAGCAAGAGAAGTTTAAATGGTGTTAGAGGTTGCCACATAATGCAATAAAAAAAATGGTAGTATATTGTATAATTTAAATTTATTATTGATAGAAAGAGAGAATAGGCCATGAAAAACTGATAATGTAGCATTCGCATCGAGCGTGTTACGCATCGAGCATGTTACGCTGTGTTCTAAAATCGGCGTAACATGCTCGTCAAAACTCTGTGCTCCGCTTTCGCCGCCAGTGTTCAGGAGATGGCCAACAGCGAGGATGTGTTGATATCTTTCATTCTATTTAATTATTGTTTCATCCAAATTAAGAAGAAGAAGAAAAAATGTTACTGGACATCAAACTTATTTAAAAACACAGGCGTATGAGGTGGTTTGTTGTTGATTGCAATATTAAAAAACCGAATGATTACTGGACAGTATAAAACCTTTGTACGCATGTCTCGATTTTGAAGAACTGTTTAATTTAATTGGACCAAAAGTAATTAAAAAAGACACAATTTATATAAAATCATAATCATGATCACTCGCGACGTGCGACGCGTACTGACTGAACCGCGTAACAGTCAAAGGATTCGCTGAAAAACCGACCGCCGGGTGGAGCACTCAAAGCGAGCAACGAGCGGCTCGTTGCTCGCTGATTTCCCCGTAACACGACGTACTGACTGCACGAATGCTCGCTGTGTAACGTGTTACATTACACCTCGTAACTTTGGTCAGTTCCCACCTTTAGGCAAACAGTAATTAATAAAAAGAGAATAGAAAGAAATCGAATAAAGAGTTGCCAACATATGAAACCAGGCTAGTGCACTGTAAGATGTTGTCATTGGAGAATCGTAGAAAATGAATGCGTTTAAGATATTTAAGAATCAGGCTGATTGCCCCAACCTTATAACTGAATTTAAATTTCTGTACCCTTTGATACCCCAGGTATTTCTTTCAGAAAAAAACGTGTGTGTACTTTTGTACACGCGTTAGAAGTTATACTTTTTTGGCGTAACAAGATAAAATATTTTCAAAAATTGTATTCTACGGCAAAAAACGACACTAGCAATAGAAAAAACTAAAATGTTGACTATAGCTAATTTCAGGGTGTCAGTTATTTCTGACGGTGGGCGCGCATCGTAAAAATTTACTCTCATCATTTTTCCCTCCCACGCCAAAAGAAGTATAACTTCAAAAGTTTTGGCGTTTTGCTAAAAAGAGCTAGGGTCTGGATCCATAGTTGCTCCCTTCACATTTTGAAATCCTTTTTCGTTTATTTTTATTTTTTTTATCTTTTCGTGTATGTTGTTTGCCTATAAGTGCTTGTCACATTAAATATTGTCTTTTATTTTTCTTGTACCAATGTATCAGTGTCGTTGGAAAACTTTTATAAATAAATAAATAAGAATACCCTTGAAGTCCTTCAGTGCTAAAAATATAATTATTACCAGTATCCGGTGAAACGATAAAAAAGTTACCGACTTTGACGTAAACCAGAGACTAAACCAGACACAGGTTGTAAACAGGAAGAGCGAGCACGTGTCGGTACCATAAACAAATTGAACAGGTACTTGACCTAGATACAAGGCGTTTCGACAAAAAATTGCGATTTGATTTAACCAAGATTCCTTGTTGCTAGTTTAACTTTTTAATTCTACATTTAATAATATTACTGTTTGAGCTTTATTAATAGGCGGGGCACATGGCAAGAGGAACAAAAAAGTGGAGCAAAAAAATACTAAATTGGTGCCCAAGGTACAGCAAACGAAAAAGAGGGAGACAACCTAGAAGGTGGATAGACCAAATAAAAGAAACAGCAGGTACATGGCAGACAGTTGCACATTGCAGAGAGGAATGGCGGGATATGGGCGGCCTTAGTCAAAAAAGGGAACACATAAAAGAAGATTTATATATAAACGTGTTTAAAATGTAAATTTATCTGAAGTAAAAGCTATTATTATTATTAATAATGAATCCAAACAAAATGGTTATTCAACATTTCTTAATATGAGTATTAGTTGTAATTAATTAATTCTTTTTTTCTCTCTGATTTTTCTATGCATTGCTCAGATCTAATTTTCTTGTTTTGGATGATATACGTTCAAAGTACGTAATCTTAATTGATGTGAAGTGTATCGCCTTTTTTATTTTGATTATTGTCCTGTTGCATTCAATAATATCGTTCTATAACTACACATATTTACGGTTAATATCTAAAGATCTTAATTTCCTCATTAAATTTTTAGAATTCTTTCATTGAGACTTAAAAAAAATTATAATTGGGTTTTTGAAAAAAAAAATATTAATTTTTTTAATGTATTTTAAAACTTTATTGTTGATATTTAATGCAAAAAAACTTAAAAAAAATGTTTTTCAATTAATTATAAACAATTAAAAATTGACGACATTTAAATAAAAAACACGTGACTATAAACGCGCCATGAATGATCACCATAGTTTTGACGTCATAATGTTAAAGCTATTTAGTAACAGTACAGCGTTTACGGCTATTAATATATATTAGTATTTTCAATATTTAATATATTAAATATTTATATTAATTAACAAAATTAAATAGATCAAAACACTGTATTTATTATTTTTCTATCAACTGCAATAGCGAAAACTAATATTATGACGTCACACGCGCTCGGGTTTGTTCGGCGTGTTTTCGGACTTCGGTACTGGATTCAAATATTAATTTTTATTTTGAAATAACTTTTGAATTATTGCGAAAAAAAATAAAACAAAAATAGTTTTGTTATAAAACTTATATATGATCTTTCCATTTATCACAATTTTTTCTTTCAAAAACCCAATTTTACGATCGCCTTATGTCTTAAATATATTTAGAGATAAAAAATATATTGTTATCTATCGTATAAACAATTTTATTTAATATATATACTTTTAACCTACACTTTTATTTGTTTTTTGTTCTATATAATTTATGTGTAATTACAAAATAAATAAATTTAAACTGGAAATTACCTTTATACACCTGATATTAAATCATGTTTACAATAATATTTTGAGTAAACTATAAATTGCTTAATTTATTAACAAAATTTTCGTGAGCAACAATTTTTTTTAAATTTATTTATATATAATATTTCCCCAAGATTCAAACTCATTAAATACCAAATAGCCCAGCTAAACAGAAACCAGATCCCCTTTTATTACGCTGCTAATCTAATAACACCACATGGCCCGACGCCCACAAATTAGGAAATACGTACATTTCCCTTCTAGCAAACTTTTACATTCACGTAACATTATAAGAATTTATATTGATATTAAGGGAGAGCAGTGTTGGCCTATTGGCTTCAGCATGCTCTCATCCCTGACGTCTGAGGTTCGATCCAATGGACTTTCTTTCTTTGTGCACATTTAACACTCGCTCGAACGGTGAAGAGAAACATCGTGAGGAAACCGGCTTGTCTTAGACCCATAAATCGACGGCGTGTGATCGCAGGAGGCTGATCACCAACTTACCAATTACATTGACAAATGACCATAAAACAGACCTAAAAATTACGCATTAATATACTATAATACTTCAGACACCAAAACAAATGCGCTACAACCCTTGTTCTTGGCCCCAGATTTCTGTTGCAAGCAAATAGGTGATCAAGCTTTTGTGACACGCCGAAGACATTCAGGGTCTAATGCCGGTTTTAACACGTGTTCTTTTATCGCACGAGCGATTAAAAATTGCTGCAAAACTGGGGTTCGAACCTACGCACTCTAGCCAAACAGCTCCTTTGTTATGGTGGAATGTTGATCAATAATCGCTCGCATTAATAAAATAAAAGATTAATTAAGGTTTAACTTGGTTCAGACGAGACCAGAGCTGGTAATTTCCTTAACGTACTGGTGCTTTTGTCCCTTTGGAAAAAAATAAGTTGGAGGAAAGACTATCATTTGAGCCATCTAATTTTTCATTTACTGCCAGTTCTCAACGGCGTAGAACGGAAGAGAAGAACTGGCAATAAACTCTCCACCACTCTTTTTAATCGCCAAGTTTTTTGTTTTACACAATGTTTGTAAGCTGGAACAATTACACCATGTTCCACCATCTTAAGTAATAAATATTAATAAAATAAATTAAAAACAAAGACTTGTCCTCTATCAGCAGCAGGTGAAATAGCACGCACTTACATTCTCGTGGGAACAACACGCAAATACATAGTCGAAGTAACTAACATCACCGATAGATAGATAGATAATAAACGGTTACATTTTTAACTACAAAACATTAACCGTACTATCTATATAAATAATTTCAAGTGCATACACGTTATCTTCACCAATTAGGTAATTGAATACTAAAAATCCCACTTGAGACTTTCTCAAGGGAATGCACTCACTGACGCCGAACAAGTGTTTTAATCTGTGTACTCTAGTGAATATTGTAAACGGTTAGGTTCAGCTGAAGCCAATGGGAGATTTCTTTAAGTTGACGAAGTTTAATAATACATTAATATTATACTAAAAATATAGCTAAAGATGGATGGATATATACAAAAAGGTTCAATATTTACGAAAGGAAAAAATACATTTAAGGACCTATCCTATCGCCAAACTCCAAAAAGTACATTGTTTCTTTCCATTTTTCGTCATCGTTTCTTGAAGTAGGGCGAATGGAAAAAATATATGGTGGAGTTGAGTAGTTTATGTATCCATTTTAAAAGACCGATACACGATTTAAATTACTTCGCTTGATAGAAAAAAAATCCAAACATAGCCAATTTTCAACACTTTGAATTCATTTTATGACGAAAATGTATATAGAACATAACTTTGAAATTTACACGATATATTTAATCGCAAGCCAAGTAATCAATTTCAGAAAAAAAATGATAAAATTACATTAATTTAATGTTTTACATAACTAATTGTTATTACGGGCCGACGCGACGCGCCTCTCCAGTGCGCACCGCAGTCCACCCCGAGACACTGACACAGCAATTCGTGCTGGGATAGGGCCTTAACTAACTAACCAGGGGCCTCATAGCCTAGCGGTCTTATTAAGTGGCAGCTAGGTGAGGGGTACCGGGTTCGATTCCCGGTTCGAGGGCAAGTTTTAATTTAATTTAAATTTGTTCTCGGCCTTTGGGAGGGTTGTGCGGTACCGGGCGAGTGCCTAAACCGTACATGGAGAACACACGGTCGAAGTTCTAAGGCAAGCACGAATTATAAAAAATCTTATACTTGACGCTGGCTAATGCACAAACCATGCCAGAGCCATAAAAAAAAACTAACTAACCAATAAAGTATACAGTATTTAAAATTTTCTTAAACTACAAAGTAATAATAAAAAGAAAATTAAAACAAATTTAAAAAGTTTAGTCCCTTTGGCAGTGTTTAACGCTGGCAGCATTTCCTCGCAGTACTGCGATACTTATTCGTTGAGCGAGGAAAGCTCCAGCTCTGGGGTCCCCGGTACTATCTACCAGGCGCCAACTTAAATCTTTAATAATCGCCTATAATTATTCGGGTGTGTTGTGTGCACTGCACTTTTAGTAGGTTTGTTTATCTCATAAAAAACCATACATAGACAGAAAGTCTTGGTACATGCCTGGGGTTCGACTACGAGCTCAGAACGCTTCAGCCGCGATAGATGACAAATCTTCTATCATCTTTTTTATGACTGAGAACTTAGCGATTTTAAAGAGTGGCGGAAAATTTCTTGCCAGTTCTTCTTGGCTGCTCTACGCCCTTGACTTGCGAATTGGTAGTAAATATAAATTTAGAATTAATTTAACATTGGCGTTCGTAAGTGTACTTGTTTACCTATATGAATAAAGTTATTTTGACTTAAATTAAAACCTTTTTTACTATTAATTACTAAATACTGGAATAACCTGCCACCTCCAATCCAAGGCATTACAGGCATGCAATATTCCCTTTTGGAATGCAAGTGGAAATTATTTGTATTGTCTCTTCTTTTATGTAATTTATTTTTAATAGTTTTATTATTTAATTACAATTAAACTAAACATATATAGCCAAAGATGGAATACATAATATTAACTTACAAAAAGGTAATATAATATAAAGGTTAATATTTACCTAACTTAAAGTATATATAAAAACAATGAAACTAAACATATATATAGCCAAATGGAATACATAATATATACAAATAAGTGATGTAGCGCCATGGATATTCTTAATCCTTCTTTAAAGCATATTCCGCGATAGCTTAAACTTTCCGGGAAGCTATCTTTTTCAAAATTTTTAAATCACACATTTATTCGTTACTAAAATTCTTAGTTATTAAGTTGAATGTTTGCCTGTTAAAGGGTGCAATCAATTGTTATTGTTTTGTTCTTTTTTTTAATATAGAACAAGTGAGAGTGCAAGCATTGAGTGCCCATGGGCGGCGGCCATGGGCACTCAATGCCAGAGTGCTCGCGACGTTGCCAGCCTTTTAAGAGTTGGTAAATTGGTTCCTAGATGTAATGTTTCTTTTTCAAAATAAATAAATACATGCTGTATTTCATTTAATTTTTATAGACAATCCATCATGGCTAAAATCTTTGATATATAATTAAATAATACCTGTCCATGTTCATTTGTCCGTCTGCGTGGTGGATTGTGGTGCAACTCGGCTCTGAAGCCGCCCGCCGGTTCGCCGTCACTCTCTAACACCTTCAATAAGTAAGAGATGTACGATGTCGCCAGTCTCAGTGTCTTTATCTGTGGAACATTTCAGTTATCTGTATTTTTGTATTTGTCAATTGTCAACTTGATTTATGACTTTACTGTTTGAATTCGTAAGAATAAAAAGGCGCGGGCAGTTTTGTGATCAAAGTGTTTTAATAAAATACCTAATATATATAATTCCTACGATTATTTAATAATAAAAAAAAATTAAAACAATTTTAAAAGTTTGGTCCTTGTGGCAGTGTACTTTTAACGCTTGCAGCATTTCCCCCTCTATTGCGATTTTTATTATTACTATGTAGATTAAGAAAATATATATGATTGATATGATGACAAATAAACAACATTCCTAACAATATAAGTTATAGTCCAATTAAATTGTATTTTTAGAAACGTTAAGGACCTGTTATATACTAGGTAAGTTCCCCATCATTCCCGTGTACTATTATTTTTGAGAGCTTTGCTTACTTTTGCTGACAAGAGGAGGGGGGATAAATTCCAGTAAATATGCTTAGATACATAATGCTTGAACGGCCCCGAGGAGTACATCTTACTTTAAGCAATTGGAGGTCGTTTCTCTCAGTTAATCCCACCGGGAGTCAATGCCACAGCTTATTCTTTTATCTCTGATTCTTACCCTTAGTTTTTTTTTATGACAGCGTCATCGTAGTTACCATAACGTCAAAGCAAATAAAACTTCTACAATGGAGATACAGTTTTATTATTCATTAGAAATGATGGTTCAGCGTTTGCACCGGCACTCGTATGAAATTATGAATCGATAAACACGGCAGAGGACTTGTTTTTATATAATATAAAATAGATATATTGACTTGGTTATGTAGGCATTATCAAGCTCTATAATTTTTTTTTTTGTTTTTCTTTATTTTATTTAGCCAAAACTTATTTCTCTGGAACTATATCGTTTATCAGCGTTCGTACGAAACGCTTTCGTTTGACCATTTCAATTCCGACTTTTCAGACTACCAAGAAAAAATCTTGTCGTAAATAATGTAATTGCCTATGTCACTCAAAGAACGCGGCTTGCTTTTGGTAAAAGAATTTTCAAAATCGCTTCAGTAGATCCAGAGATTCAACCTCATAAACTTCACCACTTCAACACAAAATAACTGTATTAATATGTTAAATTGTAAAGATGTTAAATTGATTCTAAATTTACATTTACTACCAGTTTGCAAGGGCGTAGTGCGAGAAAGAAGAACTGGCAAGGAACTCTCCGCCACTCCTTTTAATCGCCATTGTGTCATACAAATAGTTTGAACTGTAGCAAATCAATCCTAAAGATTAGGATCATTTAAATAATCGTCACATTTATAAAAAGCTTTATTGATTAAATTTATCTACATTAAAGGAAGAGTGCAAATGAAGAGTGAAATGGAGCAAAATTGTGACGGAATGGTACCCTAGACACGGAAAACGAAGAAGAGGTCGACCACACAAGAGATGGGAGGACGAACTGAAACTAACAGCAGGCTACAACTGGAGAAGAGTCGCAAAAGATAGAGAACAGTGGAAAGGGTTAGAGGAGGCCTTTGCCAAGAGGCAAACCGAACTCCGAGATATACTGGAGTGAAAATATATTAAAGTTCAGATATATAAAATGACAGAGTTTCGGAATTTAAAGGCTATATTATTATTATTATTATTATAAAGGAAGAGTGCAGTAAGATTGAAAATTAAAATTAAAATTACACAAACAAAAAAAAATTTACATCAAATTATAACAAGCGTAATAGTTTTACATATTGATTAGGCCCATCAAACGTCTTTTGTCTTTGAATACCGTCCGTTACTACGTTTAAAATTGAATGACTATATTCAGGCTGGCGTTGCTAAACAGATTTTTACTATGACAAAATCCATGTGACAAGATTTTTTTTGGCGTGTTAGCGAAAAATGATGAAAGTAAATTTTTACGATGCGCGCGCACACCGTCACAAAAAACAGACACCCTGAATATCTTCAAACGTCGGTAAAACAGTCTGGGCCGCTAGCTGGCGCTTGCTTTGTTTTATCAACAAGTTGCATTATATGTCATGGCGTAGTGTTTTTAGAGTCGTTTTTATTTAAACCAAAATAATGATTTTTATACGAGAAAACCCGTTCCAAAAAACATAGTGTTTATTGTAAAATATCACGATTAGTACACATTATATCGTTTCAATTGGAAGTGACCATTAAAATGGACAAGAAAAATGCAATTCGAATTTAAAGCCCGGCCTTTCCTACTCTCTATAATTTCAAGTGTTTAATATACCTGTCAATTGTTTGTCACGCTCATTGTGCGCTTGCGCCGCATCTATCTCTCTTCCACTCGAAGACTTAAGTATGCAATCGTTTCATCGATGTTTTGTTATGACGTTGTCACGTTAAACTATCGTCCGTAAACCGACTTTACAGGCAATTTTTTTTTAATTTGATCAAACTCTTTTTACTTGAGTCGGCCCTCCCCCTCGTGGTTAAAGGCTTGTTATTTTGAACTCTTGGTAATTTGAAATTTGTCTCTGGTCCCTTGAGTTTCAAATTATAGAGAGTTGACTGTATATAAACGTGCGATATAGCACCCACTTATGTATGTACAGTGCCACATACTTTTCTTGTCCAGTAAGAGCGTCGCTGTCATGGATATTAGTATTGCCAGTAAATAAAAATTAACCATTTTGAGGGGAATAATTTGAAGTCATGCAGGCTAACTTAACTTATTGAATTAATAAAACAATGTATACTAGTATCTAGAAAATAATTCTAGGCTTAAATAAATATGACACAAACTTAGAAACAACTAATATGATAGGTTTTGTTAACTGTACTATTAATATAATATCTTTTAAGATAGCAATCAGAACCATTCGATAATTAAAACTTTGCTATTGTAATTAATAATGCAAGGAATAAAAATAAATACATTTTAGTTGGATTTTTATTAGATGTTGATAGGTAGTAAAATTATTTATTGTTCGCACCAAGAAATTACAGAAAATAAACAATGTCAGTCTGACATTTTAAAATGGCGACGGTAGTACCTACCAATGTCAGTCGTCAGCCAAGAAAAGTATGAGGCACTGTACCACCTAAAGACTACTTCGGAATTCCAAATTTAAATCTGACACAGACGCATGTTTTTTTATCTATGGTGTTTGTAATATCTATTCTAGAATTAAAAAAATATCTAGGGGAAGTTTTAAAAATATATTAAAATCATACCTTTGACAGTTTTGTATCGGGCGGGACATTAGGTATACGGCCTCTTAGGTCAGTAAATGCTGTGTTTATGTTTTGAGTACGACGTCTTTCTTTCTATAGACAATACATAGACTAATATTTATATTTTTAATGTCAAGTTTATAATAAAAACGTGCCTTGTATAATAAAAAACGACCAATTTTTTTTGAAATATTAATAAAAATACGGATTTCGGACTTAATACGTAAGAATATTATTTCTGTGTATTTATTTCATGTTATGTGCTTTATGAATTAAAAAAGACAATAACCTTAAGGATTATCAATACAATAGAAAAATATTTACAGTTGACCATAACTTACCAATTTTCAACATTAGTTTATAAAAAAATAACAAATCTATGGGTAAGATTCACAGTCGAGACTTAACTGTCACAGCTGTCAAAATCCAACGACTTTTTGACACCAAGTGACATTTAGCTGAGTCTCGTCTTAAAATCGGAGTGTAATTACAATTGTTTTAATTCACCTTTGACAGTTTCGTATCCGGCGGCACATTGGGTATACACTCCCTCAAGTCTGTGAACGCCGTGTTTATGCTCTGTGTTCGTCGTCTTTCCTTTTTATTAGCTGTGGTTCTCCGTTTTACAACTCGGACGAACGACGGCTGCGCGCGGTCGTAGCGTGGTAGAGACTGCATGTCGCAGTCTATTCCTAAAACAGACGCAAAATATTTATTACATTTGTTTACAGAAAAACATTCTTATTCTTACAGACTATGCTAATACGATAATGCCAAGAAGGAATAAAATAATAAATATTAAACACATACACAATATAGCTACTGTGAATTAACTCTGCGAACATATAAATATGTCGATAGTCAGAGACAGCCTTTAGTAGGCAACGTCTTTAACGGGGATCTGTGCAACAGATTCTGGCCGCACATATCCCATAGGTACAAAGAAACCCAGTTCTTGGAGCACACTTGGGTTGCTTACCCCCCACAGGTACAGTTACAAGCTTATATACTCAAGACTTTCAGTATATAAGCCTGTAAGACTGTAAGTCCCGTCTGGTTTCCAATTTATTGTCCCCACCATCCCTAAACCAAATAATGTCCGGTGCATTAAAGGATAGTAGGGATAGATGCCATACAGTCTATATAAAGGTATCGTGTAACTTTATTCTGTATTCTCTAGGTGTAAGAATAACTTTATTTCTCATCTAAAATTGCCCCTTTTGCCCCCCCAAAAAAAAAATAAAAATTTTTCCTTTTCCCCCCCCCTTTCGCTTCCTGTGGGGGGGGGGGGGGAGCCCCCCCCCCCCCCCCCCCCCCCTCTCTCCCCTTTTTCTTTTTTTTTCTTTTTTTTTTTTTTTTTTTTTTTAAATATCTCCCCCCCTCCAAAACCCCTCCCCCCCTTTAAATTTCTTTTCTTCCCCCCCCCCCCCCCCCCCTTCCCCCACCTTTTCCCTTTTATAATTTTTTTATTATTTAATTTTAAAAATCAAAAAAAAATTTTATAAAAATCCAAAAAATATTTTTTTTTTTCTTTTTTTTTTTTTTTTTTAAAAAAAATATAATAATTTTAAAAAAAAAAAAAAATTTTCTTTTTTTCCCCCCCCCCCTTTTTTTTTTTTTTTCCCCCCCCCCTTGCTGTTTCCCCCCTTGGTTCCCCCCCCCCCCCGCGCCTCCCCCTTCCTCCCCCCCCTTTTTTTTTTTTTTTTTTTTTTTTTTTTTTTTTTTTTTTTTTTTTTTTTTTTTTTTTTTTTTTTTTTTTTTTTTTTTTTTTTTTTTTTTTTTTTTTTTTTTTTTTTTTTTTTTTTTTTTTCTTTTTTTTTTTTTTTTTTTTTTTTTTTTTTTTTTTTTTTTTTTTTTTTTTTTTTTTTTTTTTTTTTTTTTTTTTTTTTTTTTTTTTTTTTTTTTTTTTTTTTTTTTTTTTTTTTTTTTTTTTTTTTTTTTTTTTTTTTTTTTTTTTTTTTTTTTTTTTTTTTTTTTTTTTTTTTTTTTTTTTTTTTTTTTTTTTTTTCTTTTTTTTTGTCCGCCCCCCGGGACGTGATTATATGGTCTGACGTTCTTTTGCAAATAAAAATTGCATACATAATTCACTTACTGAGAAACAATATCGAAAACTAAGATTAATAATTAAAGCGCACAGATGTACGTATATAAAATAACAAAACAAAAAGCAACAAAAATGAGGGTAGACATAATAAACTCGATCAGTCAACCAAGTAAAACATAGATGTTCGAATTAGATTTTTTACTAAATGTGGCATTGATGGCATAGTCTGATATAGCAAGTTAATAAACTATAATATTTTTATTTACACAAATACAGTATTTACAATTTTCTTAATCTATAAAGTAATAATTAAAATAATTAAAAATAAATAAAATGAAAATCAAAACAAATTTAAAAAGTTTGGTCCCTGTGGCAGTGTACCTTTAACGCTGGCAGCATTTCCTCGCTGTATTGCGAGACTTATTCTTTGAGCCAGGAAAGTGCCAGCTCTGCGGTCACCGGTACTATCTACCAGGCGCCAACTTAAATCTTTAATAAGCGCCTGTGCACTTGAACCCCACGGCCCAAGAGTCTCTACTCCAAAGGGAACAAAATTGAAGTTGGAGGAAAGACTCTTATATTTGTGCCGTTTGTTATTTTCTGCCTGCTCTGCGGCCGCCCCAGCTTTTTTGCTTGTCCGAAGGAGATGAGACGGGGCAAAGGTGTCTACACAGGTAGCATCCCATACTAAAGCCCGTCCCATTTTCCAAGGGATCAAAGACATTCCATCCGGCCGCTTGCCATCGTCTCTTGCGATGCCTGTTGGCTCTAAAATTGCTGGAACATTGACGGAAGCAAGAGAGCGGCTTATAATGTCGTTTAGCGCGGCATGGCGAGAAAAACGACCTGCACTCTTTTGGCAGTGTAGGCCATGTATATGTTTATTTTATTTTTAGTTTATTGTTCTATTTATATATTTTGGGTATAGACAAGGTTTACAAAACGTTTTAGGTATTGGGTATTATTTGTTCATGCTCGTGAACGGGTGCTGCTTGTGGTGACTGGTCGTACTTGAATTCGTGTATGCGGTGATGTTAGTTATTTCGACTATGTGTTTGCGTGTTGTTCCCACGAGAATGTAACTGCGTGCTCCTATTTCACCATGCCTCCTGCTGATAGAGGACAAGTCTTTGTTTTTTTTTTACATTTATGTTATTATTATTAATTACTTGAATGATATATGGAACATGGTGTAATGGTTGCAGCTCCTTTCAAACGTTGTGTAAAAAAAATGGCGATTAAAAAGAGTGGCGGAGAGTTTATTGCCAGTTCTTCTCTTCCGTTCTACGCCCTTGATTTGAGAACTAGCAGTAAATGTAAAATTAGAAGCATTAATATGTACTTCTTTAGTGACAAGTCATAAGTGTACATTATACCTACATGATTAAATTATTTTTTACTTTATTTGTTTTTGTTTAATTACTAATGTATATTTTAAATTTAGAGGTGTGTACTTAATCTAAATAGGGTTTTTATTTTTTAAAGTGTTTTAAACCGGGTATTTGTATATTTATGTTATAAATATTATTAATAATATACATAATAGTAATAATTTAAATTTAAATATGAAAATTATGGTTGTACAATCTTAACTCCGATATTACATCGAATTTATCGTACGTAGTTAAATTTAGTTAGCTTTAATCAAGCCTTATGTGATTTTATAAACACATTGGTTATTCTGTATCCGGACAACCAGCCAAATATAAATAGGCAGCAAAAATTTAATCCTTATGTTATAAATATTATTATTTTATAAATATGTATTTACCTGCATTTTGTGAAAAGTTATGATGTATGATATTATGATGGAATCCTTCGTACGACTCGTTCGATACTTGCATTTCATCGTAGCCTGTAACAAAAGGAATGTGTAAATAAATAGTTGTATTTTTCTTTATATAATAGGAGGCCAGAAGGTTCGCAAGTGCGTGCCGGCCTTTCGAGAATTAGTACGCTCTTGAAGGACCCTAAGTTGAATTGCCTCGGAAATACTTCAGTGGGCAGCTGGTTCCACATATATAGTGGTGGTGGGCGATAAACTGCCTTAAAAAACGCTCAGTTGTGGAACGACGGACGTCGAGGTGATACGGATGGTATTTTGTATTCTGCCTTGACGTTGCTAATGAAACTCAATTGAAGGTATTAGTCTGACCAACTCCTCTGACACTCTCCATGGTAAATGTGGTAGAAGATGCAGAGAGACCCCACATCTCTATGCAACACTAAGGGATCAAGCCTCACGGAAAGTGACTGGTCGTCGACGATCAGGAGGGGGACTACAGCCACAGCTAATAGAAGCTTCCAGAATGGACATCACCATTTAACCTGGCATTAATTCAAGGTAAAAGTTTAATTGCACAGCTGTGTTGGCAGTGGCGTAACAATACGGTGGCAGGGCTGGCAAACAGGGCCCCTGCCCAAGAGATATTATGTTCTATGGATGAATGTGAAGTACGGGAGATACGCATTGGGCTAGCGTGGGGACTACACACCATTCCCTCTCGCCTCAGAGAGGAGGCCTAAGGCCATTAGTGGGACATATACGACTTGTTATCGAGTACCCTGCAAATCTCGAAGTTTATTAAAATTAAACTGAGTAGGGACGATTTTTACTGACAGGGCCCCATCAAAAGAATTGCCACGGGTCCCAGGTGGTATTGTTACGCCACTGTGTTGGCCTAGTGGTTTCAACAATAATTTGATTCGCATGATTACGCCATTCCTTTAATATTATTTTTATGCCAGTCAAAAACAACCTGCAACCTTTCTGTCCAGACATTTTTATCAAGGAGTGCCCATTCTTCTCCACACGAAACTACCTTTTGGAAGGGGCAACTAGAATCTTCTTTGTATTTTTTTTGACGTTCAAAAGTGCCCTTTTAGATGGTCTAATTGAAATAAATGATTTGACTTTGACTTTGAAGATCCTTAAATTTCTAGAATAGGATTAGATTATACTTTATACCAGTACTTAAAAATAATATTATAAAAAATTTAAGATTCTTTTGTAGTTACTAAAATTTACACGTGGTTTTTGGTGGGTAGTCTCAAATCTCACCACGTATCACCATAGGAGAGGGAGGGGTTAAAAAATGTTAAAAAATCATCATGTGATTAATGGACAGCCCCATACTTTAAAAAAAAATATTTAAAATACTCACCATAATTTCTGCTAATGAAATTCGTTTCGTGATACATATCTTGGGAATCGAACTCGTGAACTTCACCCGCATTGGGCCAGTAGATGCCTCCATCCATTGGACTACCTAAAATATACCAAATTTATTGACACATGTGTTGCAGCTTAAATAATTATTAATAATAATTAATGCACATGGGCGAAGTGGTTTCTCGAGTGCACTAAAATTGTCTTCTATTACTGTTACAAACATTTATATAGATAATACTAACGGATCCGACGTAGGTTGTTTTGTACACGTCTTAAAGACCCCTCACACTAGCCTCTTCCGAGCGTCGTCGTCGTGTCACCGTCCGCACTATTGAAGTAACTGAAGTATAACGTTATGAGATACTGCCCATAGGTACTGTCAATGCCAAAAGACTCACAAGGGCGTTGCCTATAAGGACTTGTACGCTCTTTTCTTGAAGGAACCTAAGTCGAATTGGTTCGGAAATACTTCAGTGGGCAGCTGATTCCACATAGTGGTGGAACGACGGACGTCGAGTAGAATTTCGTATTCGTATGATGAAAGTCAATCATTTATTCATATAGTTACCCACACTTATGAACGTCAAAAAGAAATACATATTAAATGATTATATTTTTACATTCTCTGGATGGGAGTGTACCTACACTTTTCGAACTCACACAGTGGTTTTCGGAAGCGGCGGTCAGGCTCTCAAAAAAGGGCAGTCGTGAAGCGGTTATTTTTTTGTTTTGGGTTTTTTGGGTGATAAACAATAAACTACAAGCTCCTACCTTTTCAATGCCAAATCATAAATTTTTACGACTATTTGGGCCGCCGATGCGAAACCGCTGTGTGGTAGTTCAATACAGAATCGCAGGGCAGTTCTCAAATCAACGGCGTAGAACGGAACAACTGGCAATAAACTCTCCGCCACTCTTTTTAATCGCCAAGTTTTTTAACTCAGTAGGTAATCCGAACAACATTTCTCATCATATCGTACCTTGATGTGTTTGTTGACAGTAAAATGGCGGCTCATATCTATCGAAGCCTTCGTCTGGGGGAGTGGTACTGCCGTAACTCGACATATCTGGAACAAAAGATGTTATTTTACAACAAGTTTTCGCTGTGAAAGTGTTCACCATAGAGCATAGTCAGCCAGAAACCTGTGGTATTATCACCCTTGGTCTGAGCTCAGATTTTTAATTTTTTACTTATATAAATAAATAATCTATTGTACCTATTCCATTTGTTAAATTCTGTAAAACAACAATCAAATATAAAGTAAGTATATACAATTATCTAATAGGCAGAATATACGAATTTATATTGTACCTCCATAACAGTTTTGTACCATATTCTTTCAAATTATTATTGTTATAAGGAATTTATTTGTATCCTAAAAAAATACAAGAAAATATGACGACACTTAACACACAGTAGGTACAAGCAAACACACACACCGCACAATTTAATCCAATTTCCAAATTCCGTCTGCAAAAACTAACCTAGGAGTTCAGGTTGTATTTGCTGGTGATTTTTTGTTTAGCAATAAGCAAAATCTAAAACTAAATTTACAATTTTTATTTGTAACATTTATGTTAATCTTAATTGTCATATATTAGGTCCTTACATATGAAATTGGCGTTTTGTATGGGAGGAACAAAAAGTCGAATATTTTTAAATATAATATATTTAATTAATCAAAGTATGAACCATTGTTTTCTATGCACTTTTGCCATCTCATAGGTAGTTCATTGATCCCTTTACTAAAAAAACCAGTCGGACGGGAATCAATAAAATCTGTGAAGGCGATTTGGACTGCCCCATCAGAGTTAAATTTTTTCCCTTGCTAGAAGTTGTCCAAATTTCGAAAAAAATGGTAATCTGTTGGAGCAAGGTCCGAGGAGTACGGAGGATGTCTTAGACATTCCAATTGAAGCTCTTCTAATTTGGTAGCCGTCTGTTGTGCAGTGTGTGGTCTAGCGTTGTCGTGAAGTAGCAGTGGCGTGGAGCGATTGACCAGCCTAGGTTGTTTAGCCGCTAGCTTTTCCATCATGGTTTGCAATTGCTGACAATAGACATCAGCCGTAATAGTCAGGCCAGATTTGAGAAAACTGCAATGAACAATACCGGCACTAGTCCACCAAACGCTTACAAGTAACTTTTTTGGGGTTAATTTTCGCTTGGGGTCAGATTGGTTGGCTGGCCAGGTTCCAACCATTGAGCTGAGCGCTTCCGATTATCGTAAAGAATCCATTTTTCATCACAGGTAATGATTCGGTTTAAAATACCTTCATTATTGTGCCGGTTCAGTAATGTAACGCAGCAGTCGACGCGCGTTTGCCGGTTTGCTTCAGTCAATTCGTGAGGTACCCATCTTTCAAGCTTTTTAATCTTCCCAATTTGCTTCAAGTGAATTAAAACAGTTTTATCACTAACACCGCAGCCTGCAGCTAACTCGGACGTGGTTTGCGATGGATCCGCTTCCACAATAGCCTTCAATACTTCATTATCAACTTGGGTCTCAGGCCGTCCACGGGACTTGTTCTGCAGGTCGGAATTTCCAGAACGAAAACGTTGGAACCAAAAACGAACTGTGTTTTCATTTGCAACATGACCGCCATACACATCATTCACCCTTCGAGTCGTTTCCGCAGCACTATGAATGACGGTCATCGAAGCACAAATACATGAGTAAATAGCTGTACAAATTTGAATTTGGAATTCCTTACCAAAGAGGAGAACATCGTGATTAAAGTGGCCAGTACGAAAAACGCCAATTTCATATGTAAGGACCTAATATTTAGAATATTAGCTTGTAACATATACTGTTGATACAGCATTATATGTGGGGAACTTTAATAAATAAATAACAGTAAAAACTAAACTTTTACTTTACACGATGTTTGTAAGGAGCTGCAACCATTACACCATGTTCCACTTACATTCTCGTGGGAACAACACACGAAATAATATGCTTTAATGGAGTATTAGGAATATCCAAAGCGCAAAATCACCTGCATCATGAGCACACTCCACATACACAGGGTGTGTTTTTCTCTTTCACTTTCAGACCATCACACAGCACAGCCGAATTAGGTGTTACTTAGTTAATTGTATTGAGCAGTGTTGGCCTAGTGGCATCAGCGTGAGACTCTCATCTCTGAGTCTTAGGTCGTAGGTTCGATCCCCGGCTGTGCACCAATGGACTTTCTTTCTATGTGCGCATTTAACATTCGCTCGAACGGTAAATGAAAACATCGTGAGGAAACCGACATGTTTTAGACCCAAAAAGTCGACGGCGTTTGTCAGGCGCTGGAGGCTGATCACCCACTTGCCTATTAGATTTAAAAATGACCATGAAACAGATTCAGAAATCTGAGGCCCAGGCCTAAAGAGGTTGTAGCGCCACTGTTTTTTTTTTAGTTAAATTAAAAAGTATTGTATAATTTTTTTCCTTTAATAAGAAATATTAGAACCTTTTCGTAAATATTACATTCTCAATCTTTATATATTTAGTGTAATTGTTTTTTGTTCTATATAATTTATATTAGGATAACGAAATAATAAATAAATAAATAAAGTAAATTAATAATGTTTATTAAAAATTACGACACCATTATCATGATCTCACCATAGAGGAAAGGAAGAGCATGAAGATGTCTTTTAAACCATAGAGGAAACAGATTTATAAAACATTGGACTTTGTGTAATGTAATGTGTGTTTGTGTGTACTATAATTTATAAACAAACACTAGAAAGAGTACTTCAGCTGGCATTTCCTCGCTGTATTGCGATACTCATTCGTTGAGCGAGGAAAGCACCAGCTCTGGGGTCACCAGTACTATCTACCAGGCGCCAACTTAAATCTGTAATTAGCACCTGTACAGTTGAACCCCACGGCCCAAGAGTCTCTACTCCAAAGGGAACACTCAAATTGGAGAAAAGATTCTTATATTTGAGCCATTATTATTACCTATGTATGTTAAGATAATTCTAAATACTGTATAGTAATGTGTCGGAAATAAATTCTTAGATTCATTATACACTAAACAGTTTTTAGTGAATTAAGTATTTTTAAAACTTATTTACATGTAAAATCTCGTAACATCGGATCGGGCAACGCGATAAACATATGATAAGCCTATAAAACACATATGCTTGGCACATTTGTCTGTTTATGTTATGAAGCTTGTGTCAAAACAAAAATTCGATTGACTGTTTTTGTTAAAACGTCACTATCAGACATGGTTTAAGATCGAGGAGGTACCCCAGGATTGGGTTCCGATATACCCAATCAAGAACGGTGACAAATAAATTCCGCATCCACCGTATTCTTCAAATTTGGTCCTCAGCGACTTATTCCTGTTCTCAGATTAAGGATTGCACAGGTGCTAATTAAAGATTTAAGTTGGCGCCTAGTGGTAGGTACTGGTGACCCCAGAGCTGGTGTTTTCCTTAACGAATAAGTATCGCAATACAGAGAGGAAATACCAGCATTAAAGCTACAGTACTGGGACCACTATTATTACTAAGTATGTAAGTATTTAATTGTTATATTATTTTGTGTTAAACATGTTGAAGATTGTACGCACAACGGACCAACCACGAGTCTAATGCGGAGAAAGGTCCTTTCCCTAAACATGTTGAAGATTGGCTGATGCTGAAGAGTTTTTTGCTCTTAAGGAGGTCTTAGATCAGAAATATGTATAGGTAAACAGAAGTGATCTCTCGTAGATATTTTATAATAATAGATATAAAGATCCTTTTAGGTTTAATACCAATGGATTACTTAAACATTCTCATAGGGACGGATCTCTCTATTCAGGCGGTAGCTCATGAGCGTCTTGGTCAGCAAGGAAACATCTGGAGGGGACTATTTGCACCGGATTATGTCCAGCACCTCTCTCTTTGGTTACCTTGACTACTTAACTATTAAATAGGAATTAGGCGAAATAGAGAGCCCAGGGGTGACCTCTGACCGGCATTAATGTTTAATTTTAGTAAGGATACATTAAAGAAACAAATTTAGCCCGAGGTCTAGACCTCTTAAGCGTTGTAACGCCATTTCATTATTATAATATAATATTTAAAATTGTCTGAACTGTCAAAGAGAGACAAAAAAACATCAAAGTATTGAATGCCAAAGCCTATAAAGCGTTGTTATTTATAATATTCTGGTAAAGAAATTGATAATAAATAATTTATATTCCTATTAATAAAAAGCGTCAATTACTATAAAATATAAATATATATCAAAAGCAAAAATCATATCTGCATACTATTAATTAAATGTTGAACATAATTTTATTGGTTGAAATCCTTACCTATAATATTTATTATTTTATCACAAACAATCACGATATAGAAATATCACATCACTTTTTAATATAACGCTCGGTTAGTCACTTTTCACACAGAATTAAAAAATTATTTCTTTTTCTTTACCATATAAAACGATTGCACTAACACTGGCAGCTAATAAAAAAAACGTCACGCAATGACAGGATAATACGCGGGAAACGACAAAAGAGGTCGGCCTCTAAACAAATACTAGAGATGAATTTGTGTGTTCATATTCTGATTGGTTACACGAATGGGCGGAGTTTCTTTCATTTTATCGTCGTTTTATAACGTCCTAAGCGTCCATATATTTTTAGACGTTCCACTTGAACTTTTTTAAAGTCTACTTGAGACTATAGACAAATAAATGTTATCTACTGTCTAGTTACAAGTAGCTTATCTGCATAGATAAGAACTTTTTTGCTAAAACGTTTTTAGCGGCAGGTAAAAGTTTTAAATTAGAACAAAATGTGTTGATGTATTTTTAACGTGCGCGTGTGTTTTTTTAACTTAAATGTGATACAATGCAATTTTTGTATTAAAAAACGCGCTTAATATATAATCATAAAAATGAAATTAATCTAATTTAACTAAAATCTAATTTTCATAAATTCGATTTTTAAAATAAACACATCTGATTGGTCTACATACTGGCCAATCACATCGCGTGTCCGATTGGGCGGAAGCAGGACGTGTATCGCACAAACAAAATATACTTTCTTGATAGCTACTTAATCTAAGTGTCTGGTAACATCAATTTGCTTTATTTGTAAATTATTTTTACACAACTGACTCAGTGGTTAGGCGTCTGGGAATCATAGCTTCAAAAATTTACAATACCGTACGTAAAATCCTATAGGAAATGTTTGACGGAGTCGAACTTGTGCTTTTATTCTGTTTGTGGTAGCGCCCTCGTAGTTACCATTACCCCAAGGTAAAATACAAATAAAACTGACGTTTGGACACAATCCCACCTGATGTACAGTAAGATGCGGCCTATTGGAGGGCACGCCTGTCCAGGAGAAACCTTGAATTCTAGAGATGTTGTTGTTGACAACTGTTTTAAAGGACACGAAACTTACCTATATGTTTTTAAATAAGTATATAAAGATATACCAGGTGACCCGGCAAACGTCGTTTTTCCATGTATATTATTTCTAGGAAACATTTTTTTAGTTCAATAAAAATAACATATCTACAATAATAAAAAATAGGGCTCGATCGTAGAGGGGTGATAAGTAGGGGTTGTATGTATTTTTGTATGCTGTATCATAAAAAAATAAAAATTTGGGGGACACCCCTTATCACTTAGGGGTTTGAAAGATTAGATACTATGCCTAAAAATGTCATAAAAATTCTTCCCTAGTGAAATGTAATGTAAATGGTGTGCCTGTAGGTACGTGCTAGTCTAGTGGCTTCAGTGTGCGAGTCCCATGACCCATCCCTGAGGTCATTCGAACCCCGGCTGTGCACCAATAGACTTTCTATGTGGGCATTTAACACTTGTTTGTTTTGTTTTATAGACACATTGGTTTTTATTAATTATGGGGTTTCTGTTGATGCAATCTATTTAACAATATGGATACGCCTGTACATTTGAACAGTTAATTGGTTATCCGAAATATTAAGAAGCATCAGATCGCAACTGGAAGATTATTGCAATATAATTGTAAAATACGCCATTCACTGATGTATACTCTAGAGGTATTAAAAAAATCATACCCCAGTAATTTTATTTTAGCAGAAAAAAAAGCAGTTAACAAAGACAACTCTCGAGTTAAATATTGAAATCAAGAACAACGCCATCTAGTGTTGTGGTAACAAGCGTTAGCACTTACAAATTGTAATATCGTATTTGAAGAACCTAGTTTAAGACGGTCAATAGATGGCGTGAATCATAATTTTAATTGAATCTGTGAAAACTGTTATTTTATTGTCGATATTTTATTTAGAAAAACCATCTAACGCTTTAGATATACAGTAATTACCCCTTTATTATATATTTTTTATTTTTGTAGTGCTAAATTTATAACGATTTGTCAATTACAAAATTTGCGTACTTTTGCACCCGTTTCAATTGTGTTTTTATAAAATTAAACTAAATAACTTTATTCAATTTGTTTCTAGTTTTTGAATTGTTCAAAAAAATATTGTTTTACGAAAATACTCTTACAACGCAATTTCCTATAATTACTTGGGAGGATTGCTGTACTTGCTAATGTATTCAACTTTGATCAGTACAAAGTAATAAGTCATGGTACAAAATGGTACAACCGCAGTTGTTTTTTATATGATGTTACATTCGAATACCAAGATGTGAATATATATATATATATATTTTATATGGGTATATGGTATGTTAAAATAAAAGTCCATAGATAAATTATAAAATTATTATTTCATTATTAAAATCTTCATTTGTGTAAAACATAATATCCACCAATGTATAAAATGGTGTATGATTCATCGGGTACAGTAGTACATAACATACATACATATCTGAAACAAAGGAGAAGCGTGTTTAGTATAAAATTATTAGAATCTGTTGACAACTAAAGGAAATATAGCTTGGTCACAAGGAAATTTTAGGCATAGATATTATTATTATAGAAATTTTTAGGGATGCTGCCCTGTAAAATAATGTCGAGAAAATTGCATAAAATTAAATGAAACTATCTCTGAAATGTTGCAAAGTAAGATTTATGCATTTCACTTCGGTTCAACAACATTAATATACATATTTTAAAATTGTTATACTAAACATTAATTAACAAATAATACAAGCAAACATTTTTTGCATGTGCACCTTTACTGAAACTTGTAAGATTAGAAAATATAAGGATTTCAGAACGACTGAAAATGTACTCGTAATACCTCCATAATATTAAGCACTTATACTCTGATTTTAAATTCCATTGAATTCTGACAATTCATAAATGTTGCTACTAGAAAAGGTCTCCACCGAAAAAGAGACAAATTTGACCCATTTTAGCTACGTATATTTTATGTTTTACCTACAAGAGGGTAAATCTTAACATTTACTTACTCAAGTGACCTAATACAAAAATAACACATATCTCAATATCACGAACAATATATGGAATTAACTTTAATTACTTTATTTTGTTCTTTAGCTGACATCACTGCCTACCAATTCCAGGTTTGGTAAACATTTAAAAAAAATGTTATCTTTACTTGTGCGTTTTTTTACTGTTTGTGATGAAAAGGGACCTAATTATCAGTCACCGTAAAACCACTTTAATGTTGAGCAACGCACTTAATAAAATGGATACATTCACTTGCAAATAAAATGTTTGTATAGAGTCAGATGTTGACTCGTATTGAAATTGAAAAATATACCCGGCCAAAAAGGTTTGTAATCTCTGACATGTCAAAAAATGATAGCTGTCAGAAAGAAACGGTAATTAAAAATCATTAGAGTATAAGTCAAGAGACTACACCCTATTTCTTAAGAACTTTGTAACTATCTAAAATAGAAAATTCTCAACTCACTCATTCAATAGCAGACGTTTCCAAACTAACATAGCTGGCCCCCATATTCTCCTTGTGCCGTGGAGAGGCCACATGACGCTTAGCATTCTCTCCTTCATCAATATCACTAGCACAGACACCACATTTTAAGATTCCAAACACGTTATACACATATTTATTACGGGACAACATATTGATATTATGCTTTAATTCCAAATAAAATCTAAACACATTTTCCGAATTTAATTTCTGCTTGAAGTGCTCAGCGTACACCAGATGGTTAAGTAGTGAACGGATAGAATTTGAATTACTTCCACAAACAGTGCAGACAAACTGGGTTCCTTCGGTATGCAATATGTAGTTACCATTCATGTAAACACTAATTATATCACCTTTGTTTGATTTGGCTCTGTTCTCGGCAATGGCTGTTTGGTGATTTATGTCAGATAGTATATGTTTCACAGCATCAGATGTATCAGGGAATGATTGATCACAGATTGCACACTTGTTGTTGTGTATCTCGTTGGCTTCCAGAAGTTTTAAGTCTTCCTCTGGGTATAAAGCAGAGCGAATGAGCTTCGAAATTGTCTCAATATGCATAGAGCTATCAAAGTGTTCAACGATGGCCGAGAATGATGGTAAAGCAACATAGACAGGACAAATGGTGCAGACAAAGAAATTTCCAAAACTTGCATAGTATTCTGCAGGCCTGCAGTGATTTTTGTAAAGCATAGCTAGTTTGTGGGGTGCTGCATTTCTCAAATGTTTCTTTTGTCGTATATGATTAAACAGCACCTGCCGAGGACCTTTAAGTACCATTTCACAACATGAACAGTAGTTGGAGACCTTTCCCGATGGCTTGATAAAGTTTTCTATAACCACATGGTCTCGATTATGTAATGGTTTGCCAACACTGGCAAGGAATTTTGCCCAATCAAGACTTTTTGGACCCCACTCATCCTGCCCTGCCTCAGAATTGATTTTCCTCCTGTATATTTTATCAGAAAGTCTCCCAAGATGATTCTCATCTAAAATGTGTAAAACAACTTCATTAGAATCAATTGAAGTCTTGCAAAGGCCGCAATAGAATCCATTTCTATCTTGGTGTACGCTATGTTCATTCAAGAATTTTCTATTTATCTCCTTCATATTTTCAACGGTTGGTTCTTGCACACAAAACGGTATGTGTTTGTCACCTTGTAGAATGCATGTCAAGTTGTGAATATGGGTGTCGCTAAATATATGATTTAAAACACTGTCATACCTAAACCTTAAGGTATAATACTCGCAAGCCATACAAAAAAATGCAAGTTTCCCTGTACGGTCGTCAACTAAAGTAAGTAATTTGTGATTGTCAAGCAATTTCACTATAAGATTCTCTATAGGCCCGTAGTAACGGTACTTCTTAGTAAGGTTCTTAAATGTTTTTTCAGGCACTTCGGTGTCATCGTTTTCAAACGATTTATTCGCATCGGACGCGAAGTTTTGGTTAACATTATCCTTGATACTCATAATTATAGGCGCAACGGAACTAGTCTGTCCGGAGAAGTCAGTCATATTTATCTCCTGACACAACTTGTCATAGACACCTTGGTAAAATTTCACAGCAGCATCAATACTAGCTTCAGAATTGTCAGGAAGAAGTCTGACCAAGGACGCTTCAAGCTTTCCTGAGAACATTTTATCCAACCTTTCAGTAGGTTTAACTAGTTTCATTAAACTTTCGATGTTATGCGTTGGGGTTTCTCCGCACTCAAGAGCAGACAATCGCCTAGACATATTTGGTAGGATTACTGGCTCAGCGACATCAATACTCTCTCTTTTGAGTTTAGGCTGATGTACTTCCAAGTTAAAGTGGCGTTGGAGCGACTCCATTAATGGTTCTTCATCATTAACTTCAATTTCAATGTTACAGTCAGCACAAATATGGACTGGCCTGGCATTTTCAACGCTTAATTCAGCTTTCAATAATTCAGGAACTTCGCTGACCGGTAAGCTGTTGAATCTCTGCCGCTGTAGACTGCTCTTCTTCTCCGTAGTGAAGATATACTCAACTTCAACGCCTTCACGAGATGTTAAGTATATCTTTCTGTGAGTGTCATCGAGATTTTTCAGATAACGCAAGATAATTTTATTTTCCTGCGTCTTAGGATCATGGATGACGTTACGGAAATGATTCGCCAGTCGCTTCACATCGTCGACTTTTCTAAATGAAAGTACCGTCAATTCGGATACCCCTCTTCTGATTTCTTCTATATCAGTCATGATTTATATTGCCAAAACCCTATGGAAATGGAAGAAAAGACGTATCTTGGATGGCCAAGATTTGAGTCAGATGGTGTGCCCGTACGGATGGATGTTGCGCTGTGCCGAGAAAGGTTGTTGTAATTTTTGACTGATTAGAGCTATCACCGCATATCAAGATCTGGAAAGAAAAGATTGAATTTAGTATAAAATCAGTTAAAGAACACCTGCCAACCCAAGAGACACTCGCTCGCTTTTTGTTTTTATAAAAATAAATACCTTATTATTAAAGAAATGGGTCTTTTTTTATGAAAAAAGATTTAGTTTTAATTTGTCGTACAAAACAATCATGTAAATACTTTATTAAGTAAACAAATTATCACTCTATTGCCATTGGAGGTGCCAAAAACTTACAGACACAGGCACAGCTTATAACAACTCTTAGCTACACTCAAATACATACACACACCCATTCTCACATACTTGATGCTCAAGACTAGTGTTTGATTAGTTTAATACTAAACCTACCTTTTTTCAAAAAACCTGTTTAGACATGTACCATGTACCACTGACTAATTGTTATGTAGTTACTTACTAGCGGTATATGAATTTTGTCAACGATTTCATTATTATTTTTAAAATAAAAAAAAATATTTAAATTATTAAATATATATAATATATAATAACATATGTATTGCTATTGTATGTATTCACGGCAAACTAATGTTTTAATACAAAAATGATCAATAACAAGTAAAGGTTACCATATCGATATCATAATAGTTATCTTCAAATTAATAGGCAAACACTTTAAGCATATTCCTGTTCAAAATATTGTCATTTCGTAAATGAAATCTCGTCAGAACAGTTTTATGCTCTTAATAGTATTTTTTAATATTTCGTGTAGGTAGATATCTTTATTTAATAAGGTAGTGAGTAGTCTTTGTTAGGTTTAGTTTCTACTGTAATTTTCCAAGCACATACATGATAATATGTTAATAAAAGTAATCATAAAATACTTTAGTGTTCAACTAAATCAGTTTTAACTACTTTTAATTATATCTGACTATTTATTTAACAAAAATTAATTTAATCAATGTGTTGTCATTCAGATTAGTTGAAGTTAAATATATCATTTTATGAAAGAAATACAAAACAAATATTAAATTCACAACTTTACACAAAAATAACTAATTGTCATAAATATTTGATACCATAATATTCAATACTATAATATTCTATGATAGTAATTTATCTTAATATATATATTTCTTGTGTGCGTGTGTATGTGACTGAACTCCTCCTAAACGACTGGACCGATTTTGATGAAATTTTTTGTGTGTGTTCAAGGGGATCAATGGTTTAGATTCACAAATCAGCCCGGCAGATGGCACTGCAGTCGGTACTTTCATACTTTGCTTAATATCCTAATCGCTTTAAATATCATGCAGGACAACGTCTGTGGGGTCCACTAGTTATTATATAATATTCTACATTTTTAAAATCTAAAATATAGTTTACCATATATTGTTGATTCAAAACCTTTATTTAAATACATTCTCAAATTTGAGGGGAGAGTACAACAAATAAAAGATCATGAAAATCAGTTCAGCAATTCTCGAGTTAAAAGTGTACGATTAAACTTACTTTACGATAATTATACCTTTTTTCCAACAGCAATAAAGTGGAATTGTAAAAACCTTCTTTATAAAGTATACCTTACTAAAGACAGCTACTAATAAATAAACATACATTCTAGTATAGATCATTTGTATTGAAATAAATCTATTATTTATAATATTTATAGAGTACTAGAATTACTGTATTAGTATTTTTTAAAGTAAAGTACCTAATATCAAAATAAAGATTATTGTTATACAGAATGGATAATAAATCACTAGTTGTTATATTGTGCTATACAGCATATGTAAGTATTCCAAACCAACCTACATTCTAACAAACATTACAATATCAAAACTATTTTCCCCATTTCCAGTAATGTACTAACAACAATCTGTTCACAAGAAAAAACTCAGTCTCACTTATCAATTACATTATCTTAATAAGGGGGTAAGTGAAAGAAAGTTTTCAACTTCAATGAAGTCCTGACGTGGGAAGGATAATTAATTTTGTAGAATTAATTTCTGCTATCAATGAAATAGAATTAAAACAATCTTAATTTGAATAAATGTTCGTTATAAGAATATTTAAGTTTCTTCTACACAAATATAGCTCCTTTATAGTAATAGTTTTAGATTTTTCCAGTATTTACATATTACATCTGAGATGTCACTAATATAAGAAATAGATAAACAATACGTCACAAATGCGCAATCTTGTTTGGTACCATAATATCACCCCTAAACCTATATTATTAAGTTCGAGATATTGAATTTATGATAATTAAGTATACAACCGCATAATATATGGCGAGATTTTAAACAGGAGTCGTAATAAAAGAAAATATAAGAAATGTACGTTGAGGTTAGAATGATATTGCATTTACCTGAAAAGTGGACAAAGACTTTCTTTTTAATATTAATACGAATTACAGAATTAAAGGAACTAAATATTACCTGAAACTCTTGATTTTGTGCATGGCAGCAAGAACCGCCTATAAAAATTGTACGGGCATTTGGTGACAGCTTTGTGGTGACATGATAAAAAATTTCGATTCACGATTTGATAGGTCCATCGGTAATAGATTTTTATTTCATAGACTAGATCTAGAAGAGGCAATAAAGTTCATAGAATATAATTCTAGACTATTAATAATTTAATATATTATGTACTATTAATAAAAAACAATTTTAAATAAAATTAAGAAGAGTGGACTTTTGGCTAGATATTCGTATAGATTTTACGCTTAAGTTGATATTCTATTTTTTTTCTATATATATTATATATTTCTAGTCTGTGGTTTAAGCGTACGAAGTAAATATCTGTAAACGGTGGTCAGAAGTCAGAACCAGGAAAAAATATTTAAATCATAGGATTTAAATAATATTGTAAGATCACTTAGCACATAACCAATTCTATAATTAGTCAATATTTTGCCATTTTTTTTTACTTTTACCATTATCCTATCTACCTTGTTTTTAAGACAAACTCAACTATGGAGGAATTAGATAATGAGAAAAGTGAAGTAGAGTTTGAGGATTCAGGTGATAACAAATCATCTATGGAAATATCTTATTTAGACTATAATGAATTGCAATATACAACTGAAGCTGATACAGTGTGTGATATGTGTTCTGCTGAATTTCTAGATGCCTCTGATTTGCAGACTCATTTGAGAGAAGTTCATTTCAAAGGTGAGCAGTCAAAATGTTATTGTACCTTCTGTTTGAAAATCTTCTCAGACGTTGAAGATTTCATGCTGCACATTCGTAACGAACATTTACTGCATTTAAAGTGGTGTGTACACTGCTTCCGACTCTTTCCTAATCTTGAAACAAAAATGGCCCATGAAAAAAAACACAAGTATCGCCCAAAGCATTCTATATTCTGTTCTCAATGCAATAAGTGTTTTGCTTATGATTTCGATATATCTCAACATGAATACGAAGAACATGAAAACAGTGAGGGTGTTATGATTAATCATGGATTTTCTCTTTTATCTTCTCTGCTAAATATGAATGTCAAGTCATTTTTTGGAACACTACCTAAAAATTATATTTGTATTTGTAAGACTCCATGCCAAAGCATGCACAGCTATATTGACCACCTTAAGAGGAGTTCATGTAAATCATATACATGTGACTTATGCTGTAAAGTGTACTTCAAAAAAACACGCCTTGTCAAACATGTAAATACGCATACATTGAAAAAGAAGAATCATTCATTTTGTTTAAAATGCAATAAACATTTTACCTTTAGAGCTTTAAGAGAGCATAAAAAAACTTGTTTCTTGATTAAATGTGTGGACTGCAGTCTAGATTTTGACACTGTTCAAGAATTAGCTAATCACAAGAATCAAGCCCACAAGGAGACTGTAACTTTAGCACGCTGTAAATTATGTGAAAGGCAATTTGTTGGTGATGTTACACTTACAAATCATGTTAGAAAAGTTCATCAACACAATTTACACCTCTATAAATATCTGTGTGTTCATTGTGACCGTGTTTTTAACCATCCTAAGCTTTTATTTGGTCATTTCTTCTCAAGGCATAAAGAATTATCACCCTACACATGTAAAATTTGTAACACTCAGTTTCGAATTCGTAAAAAATTTACTTTACATGTACGAACAGAGCACAAAAATGTGGGATTCGTAGAATTTGATGAGAAGTTCAATGTGTATTTTGTTGAGAAAAAGTCTGAGAACCCATTTATTCCTCAAAGCATTTATTATGAAAATTTGAAAGATGACACAAGTGAACAAATTGATGCCGGAGTTAAGAAGAAGTCCTTAAACAGTGGAGCTAGACGGAAAATAATTACGTTACAAGAAATACAGTCAAATTCTTCAGATTCCGATGCTCCATTATTAAAAATATGCAAGAAGAAAAAATCTTTAAAAAGGCGGAAGAAAAACAAGTTTATGTGTAAAGTGTGTAACAAGAATTGTTTCACATTGCAAAATTTTAGGCATCATATGAATTTGCATGTGAAAATACAACCAATACATTGTATAAAATGTGATCAATCATTTAAATCTGAAAAGGCTCTTAAAAGACATTTAAAAGAATATCATAAAAACTCAAAGTTGATAGAGACATTACAAAAAATTAAAGATAGAAAAAAAACAATTGTTGCCTCAGAAAATCCGATTCAACCAATTCATGATTTCATGATAACCCTGAATAAAGTTGATCCTGCACAATCACCACCGGCAAAATTACATATAGTTAAATCTAGCAAAAACTTGTCTGTTCAAAACTTCTTTGAAACCTTTAAACCTGATCAGACCGAGAAGGTAAGAATTGAAAGTTCAGTGACAATGAAGCTGACTACAGAAAGAAAAAAAATGAATATTGTTCTTAGAAAATGTAACTTTGCACCTCTTACATTTGAAGGACTTAAATTGCCTCAAAAATTTGTTGGTACTGCTGAGGAACCACCAACTGTTACTATTAAAATTGTAGAAGGTGAAACAGGACATGCAAATCTGAACTATGGAGAGCGAGTTTATAAGCAAGCAGATGTCTTGACTCTGGAAGCAGACCATGCTTATTGTGAAGAATACATTTATGATGATAATCAATCCAATGAGGATTTTGTTGGTGAAGAGAAAACTAATATTCCAGAAGTAGCAGAAGAAATAATGTTATCTACTGAAGAATTTCAGCCGTTGCAACAGAAATTTACCATCCCAGATATGCCAGAAGCAATCAAATCATTTAGAATAGGAACATTACAAGCGGAAGCACCCTTCTACAAGATTATCAAACTAGAAGATATTGTTCAAACAGAACAAAAGCAAAACACTCCAGAGAAAAAAGTTGTAAAATTATCAGATGGAGTACAATTGGTAACCGTGAATCCATTAGCACATCTCATAAAGGAGGGAGACATACATAAAAAGAAACCTAATAAAAATTACTACAAACCTGTAGAAAGGGATATAAAAGAAGCAATAAAAAAAGCTATGGCGGTAAGAACTGTAAATAAACCCAGGAAAAAGGTTAAGTCAAAAGCAAGTGCAAAAGTTAATATACTAAAAAAAGATACTCGTAAAGTAACTTGAAAAAATATTCAAAATCAAACTGTACTTTGCTTGCAAGTTTTCAATTTTGATATTTTTTGCATATCTATAGTTGTTATATGATTGTGTATCTGTAGTTATTATATGTATTGTAAATAGAAAAATGTATTTTATTCATGTATAATCTAAATTTGTTAATAAATTGTATATTGTTTAAAATTTGTTGCTATGCAGTAGACAAAAGAATAGACAAAATCAAACATTGTAGTCAAGTTGGAATATAATTTTTCCAACAGATATAGTAGAATCAAAAAACCCAAAATAATGTTTTTTTCATTTTTGACTTCCTTGAGTGATAACTGTATCTTTTCAAAATGTTATTTAAAGGATTAAGTTATTTTGTGCACAATATTAGTAATACTTGTTTTGCTAATTTTAATTTCCTGAAATAGATAGGAACAACCATGAATATAGTTTTAGTTTAGATTGTATTTCTAACAAGTTTAAAAACATAAATTCTATTACTATTATAATATTTCTGTTTCACTGAGATTTCATTTGTATATGTTATGTATCCTTGTAATAATAGCATTACCTTGTTTTATTTTTCCTGAAAGAAACAATAGATTTTGCTTTGTTTCCCGGGGTAAGAAGATAAATGCACAATAATCAACTACCATTACCAATGTTAAAGCAATGATTATTAATTCTTCTAGCTATTATGTTTTGCTAGAAGATAATCTTATGATGAGAAAAGTAAAAACTCAAATATTCCGAAAATATTTATTACAAATCAAAAATTATTCTTAACATAACAAACTCTTATTAGAAAACTTGCATATTACAATATAAAAATCAATTCCTACTTAATACAATTTTTTAATTAAAAAAATTGGGTGGAAATGTCAATTTTCATTAGACAAAACAGTGGAAGGTGCAGAAATGTGTCTGCCCTGATACAGGGCAAAGTAATTATACCTTATAGATATAAAACAGACACATACTTCTGCATATATTTATTCCCTAAGACTTGAATTCCATTTGGAGCTTTAAGCTCTGTACAATTGTCACAAGTTTAATATTTCAAGGCTGCAAAATCTACATACATTGAAAAAATTTAAAGATTTTATAATAACCATGCCCCAACCAAATTCCTTCGAATCTGAAAAAGTGTTAGAATGAAATCCTCCGATGCACTGTAGTTGACACTGATAAAACAGTCTCCATATATTTGATGAAGAAGTACCAATGTTGCATTTTGACTATTTAATTTATATAGAAATTAATTAAGAGAAATATCGAGTTAAAAAGAATTGTTCGAGAGCTGTCTAGTTTTATAAAAATGTGTATTTTTCAAGAGATTTAATTTATAAACATTTCATTTAAATTATCCAATTTAATTTGACAAAATATGCATTAAACTTTTACTAATACCAAATCGTTTTAAATCCTACATTAGTTCTACAGCCTTTGTAAACATACTATAAACCTCGATTAGTTAAATAATGTTTTTCTAAGTGATAAGGAAAAAACATTGAACTTCAATCTTACATGATATATGTACAATTATTTCTATTTTATTATTAAAACCTATTACAATTTACATTAATGCGTTTAAAGGAACGATTTAATCAATATTACGCATCGTTATTGACAATTAAAACGAATCGTTGTTCTAACGATTGTTTATCAGAAGTAATAAAATTCATTTGAACGCATTTTTACAATGATTATTTCCTACTAAATGTTAGGAAAAATTTAACATAAAAAAATTATGACAAAATTTTAATCACACAGCGATTTTTTTACATGCAATTTTTTTACTGGTAATTTTCTTTTTTTAGCTACGTACAGCTGTTCTATGAGAAGAGAGGGGGGAGCTCTGAGTTGATTCCAAGCAGAATTCCGAAGCTTGGTCCGATAGATCCGACGTAATCTGTAACAAAATACAATGGATTTTATTTATTTATTTCGTATTCCTACAGCTAACATAAATTATCTATAATAACAAACAGTTACACTGAAAATATAACCAGAGATGGAATACTTAATACATACATCTACAAAAAGGTTCAATTATTTACAAAAGGAAACAAACTAAAAAAAATGTGAGCCGTCGCGGGACGCCTGGCAGATGTGAAACATCGACATTATTTCGTAAAAGTAATATGAAAAGCAGAAAAGAACAGATTGTGATAGGAACTAAATATGTCGTAATGATAAAATATTACGATTATTTTTCCAGATAACGATGACTATTTATTGAATAAACATTTATTTTCATTAAATACAAAAATTTACGAATTTATTTCAAATCGTGACTACTTAAATCGTTTAATCAGTGACTGAAATATACACACTGTACACACTACTGCATATAGACTGTATATGTATACCATCATATAGCGTGGCGTCGCCACGGCATGCGTCACCACGCCAGAAATCGGTTTTACGTGCGGCTATAGATGTTTCACATCAATAAAAATTATTTAATACATTTAACTAAGTGGTATCAAATTTGGCTGTGTTGTGTGATGGTGTAAAAGTGAGGGTTAGTACGTGAAGGTGGGGTATTTTAGCATTTAAAATTTGCTTCAAAATATAATATTTTTAAAAGGCCAAGGAGCGACTTAAATTTATATAACGTCGACGCATTTGCAACCGAGTCGTCGGGCAATAAATGTCACTGACAGTAGGAATGTGCACGCAATGCAACCCGTAATCGATTAACTATCTGCGCACGCGCTCTGACTCCTGATTGGTTCTTACGAGTAAGGGTTGTTGTTTTTCTATAAACAACAATTTCAAACTTAAAATATCTTTATAAACAAGTATACTTATGAACGTCAAAAAAAAAAGTTAAATTAATTGTAAATTTACATTTACTACCAGTTCGCAAGTCAAGGGCGTAGAGCGGGCAAGAAGAACTGGCAAGAATCTTTCCGACACTCTTTTTAATCGCTAAGTTTTGAGTTATACAAAATGTTTGAACTGAAGCTTGGGAGTGAATCTTTGTCTTGTAAATGGCAATACCTTATAGTGCGCATGCGCAGCGCAATCTGGCGGCAAGTCCAAGTCCTGTAGCAGGGCAGCGAGATGCGCGGAAACGTGTCCCCCGGCCAGGGCCAGTTGCACCAACCTCGCACCCATTTCTGCTCGAGCGGCCAACGCACGGGGTGATCTATTTATATTAAAAAGTTTATTTATTAACACTTTGTTGCATTATATTTGGTATATCTTCAGATAACATAAATTAAAGAGGCAATGGCGGCATTACCGCTAACAAGCGATCTCTGCCAGGCAACCGTAGTAAGGAAAAAGATATACTAATAACTCAAAAAATAAAATGACAGGTAACATTTAAGACACAATTATAAAACCAAAAAAAATTGTGCGTGTACTAGGTGTACACACGTAAGAAGTAGAAACTTCTTTATCATCTTATTTTTCGAAAAATGATCTACTATATGCAACTTTACAGAAATTCGTTAAATTAGATAAAGTTTAACAAAAGGCTTTTATTATCATAGACATGAATACAAATATTTCATTTTACCTTATTACTACGAAGATTATAGAATTTCATTAATTGTAATAGAATTATTACTATCATTGAAAAACGTGACGATTTGTTACAAAATTTCTCCCATACGTCGATAAAGAAGTTTCGTTCCATCGCCGATAAAGAAGTTTGACTTCAAAAAGCAACATGGCGCTTAACCGAAAAATGTGACGCGTAACGAAAAAATGTTACACTAAATTTTTTTCCAACCTCGATGAAGAAGTTTCACTTCAATAAAAAACCATGTGTGTACTTAGGTACACACGCGTTAGAAGTTATACTTCTTTGGCGTAACAAGATAAAAATCTATTCAAAAACTTTATTCTACGTTTGTAGGAAAAACGACACTAACAATAGAAAAAACTAAAACGTTGACTATAGCTAACTTCAGGGTGTCGGTTTATTGTGACGGTGTGCGCACGTTTTGTAAAAATGTAATCTCATCATTTTTCCCAACGCACCAAAAGAAGTATAACTTCAAAAAAACTAAAAGCTTTTAAAAGTCATGAACTGTTCGAATAATTCAACAAATTAATTTTTACTTAAATTTAATTAAAAAACTAGCAGTACAAACTTTTAGGTCTCGTAATTTCTGCATTTGTTTCTTAAGGCGCGTTATGAAAAATTGATGAGAGTGAAATTTTACGATGCGCACGCACCGTGACACAAAATTAGCAGAATGAAGTCTACGCATTGGACATAATTTAAATACAACATTCGAATAATAATAGAATTTATGTTACACTTAATGTAAGAGAATAATAATATATATTTATTTATTTAATTTTTCCAATGTAAACTGAACTTTATTGACCCCTTTTCCAGTCTTTGATTATTTAATTGTAATTAATTATTTGCATGCAATCAAAAATTATTTTTAATAATGCCAAAGAAGTATAACTTCTTACGCGCGTACATAAGTACACGCACCCTTTTTTTAAATAGACATGTAGGTGATCAGTATGTGCCTGACACACGCCGTAGACTTCACCTTCGTCCTACCGACCCGGTCGTAAAAAAACTGACCATAGCCACAATACATATGTCAGGCACAGAAGGCCGATTCGTTTACTTGCCTTAGAAAACGTACATCTAGAAATCTGTGGCAAAGACCCTTTATTAATTGACAAAAGTTATAAAACTTACTTGCTCCTAAATAGGGTAAGCGCTCTGCAAGCGGCGGCCAATCGCGGCGTAAGGGCCTCCAACCGACACGCGACACTAGACCTATCTTCCGCCTCCTGCCCTTCCGCGGCCGACACCAACCCTCGTATCTGTCAATATAAGAGCCCATTAAATAAAGTATAAATCTTCTTCTATTCTGTCTTTTTTATAATAATTAAATAAGCTTCTTCCAGACAATCCCGAAAGCAGCTTAAACCTACAACTAATATTAAATACAACGCATAAAAAAATATCTCTTTTCATCGTAATGAAATTTAACAGAAAGAGATGAAAGAGTACTTTAGGTGATGAATAAATAATTAATGGATGTTTATTTTATGGCGCGTCTAAACGGGCCATGTTTTGCTGCAATTATGGCTGCAACACTGTGGCCGCAACATTCACATGCACCACACTATGCAATATTGCAGTAATGTCCCGGCCATATAGCCAAACATGTTTTGTATAGCCACATATGGCCGATGTTGCCCCGATGGGTGGCCGGACATCGCTAGCTATCGAATTCAACTCAATATTGCCAGCCAGTTCTCTTGTTGTTTCAGTCACTCTGTTTGCTATGGCATAGTGTATCCTTTTCTACGCGACATGACGTTTGCTTTGAGTGAAGTGTGCGTGTTGCTTTATTCTGTGTTTTGCGATCAGCTGTATTTGACGTTAGTTTACTACGTAAAAATGACTACTTTTGACATTCTAGTTCTTGAATAATTTATTATCAAGGCATATTTCTAGACTCAAATTGTCTTCAGTTTCACGTCTATTTAAGTAAGGTCGAATCCACAATCTCTTCTTTTTCTGTTTCTTTTTTAAAACAATATAAGCTGCTGCGACAAGTGTGATTTCGTCAGCCATTGTTGCCGGTTTGTGTAGCCCGTTTAGGAGTCTGCATCATGGGCCATACTATTGCAGACATATTGCAACACATTGCCCAGCCATAGATTGTTCGGCCATCAGCTGCATTAAAATATTTTTGTAATGGCCGGGCAATTAGTGGCCAACAGTGCAGCCATCAATTGCAGCAAAACATGGCCCGTTTAGACGCGCCATTATGAAATCTGTATATTGATGTGATTTTTCTGTAGATGTCTTCTATAAAACTGTAGTACATCACTTTGCTCTATTGTCAATGGTTTCCACAGCGTACGAAATTTAGAGTAGTCCTTTTCACATTGGGTTCATCGTAATTTCATACAAAACCCTAACTTTTGAAAATATAAAAATATTCATCAGAAATAACGAAGGGTTCTAACGTTGAAAGAACTATTCAAATAAGTTTTCACGGTTGTCTGGCCTCAGCTAAGAGTAGAATTAGGACACAGCACCGATAATTTATTTTCTTTCTTCAAATAGTTTAATTCTTTTATAGTTTGCATTTTTAATTTTTATGCTTGTTTGTATCTACTTGATTTCGCTGGTCGTGTCCACATGTTATAGGGACGGCACCGCTTTTGATATTAATGTATGTATGTCAATTTATATCATGTTTTGTCCTAATTTTGTGGTCCAAATAAAAAAAAAAGTTCTTACGTTTTGGAGGCTATTCAATACAAGCAATGAGCATTGTTGGCCTAGTGGCTTCAGCGTGCAACTCTCATCCCTGAGATTGTAGGTTCAATCCTCATTCTCATTCAAGTCTCTTTTTAATTTATGTTATTATTAATTAATTACTTAAGATGTCATGTGGAACATGGTGTAATGGTTGCAGCTTACAAACGTTGTGTAAAACGAAAAACATGGCGATTAAAAACAGTGGTGGAGAGTTTATTGCCAGTTCTTCACTTCCGTTCCCCTGATTTGAGAACTGGCAGTAAATGTTAAGTTAAAAGCATTTCATATACATTTCTGTTTTTGACGATCATAAGTGTACATTGTGTTACCTATATGATTAAATGACTTTTGTGTGTCAGGCACAGGAACAGATGAGGCCCAGACCTAAATGGTACAGCCCATTCGCGTTCAGCGTCACTGATTTATTTTATTTATTTATGCAATGCAAACAATAAAATTTCCTCTTTATAATAGTGAATGAAACTTAAATAAATATAAATACCTCGTCACAAACATAGATGTAATGGTACAGAGCCTCTCCCCCACTTTCCCATCCGCTGACTTCGTTGCGACGCGCGGCTTCGCTTAACTTCTCTATTATCGGCTGGACGCTTTTTACATTATCTGGAGAATATTAAAATAAACTAATATATACGATAAGTTATTTAAATGTTAGAAATGTCATTTTGCGTTGATGAAATTAATGGGAAATTCTTAACATACTAATTTTCACATTTTAGTTATAATAATAATAATAATAATTTTTATTTATCAGACAAATACAGTCCATTGATTGATTAGTGAGTTAGTAACAATAATTTCTTAAGATCTATGTTAGAGAATTAGTAAAAATAAGGAATTGGTAAAAATAATTAGTGGTTCGATATGTATTTATTTTATAGAATATGGGGCAAACGGGCATGAATCTCGCCTGATATTAATTAATACGGCCGCCCACATTCATTTTCCGGGCTCGCAAGTGCGTTGCCAGCCTTTCAAGAACTGGTGCGCTCTTTTATTGAAGGACCCTAAGTCAAATTGGTTCGGGAATACTTCAGTGGGCAGCTGGGTCCACAAAGTTGTCGGATGGACGTTGAGATGATCCAATTTATATGACCGCGATAAATATTTTTCCCCATATTATATTTTTAATAAATGGTTGTAACGCGACTCGCGTTGGTGTAAACAATATCACGCTACGACCAAGATGCGTACACGCAACGCCCACGCACGTGTGCGAGTGCGTTAACCCTCCGGGTCGTCTGCTCGTGGATTTTCAGTTTTCCTTGCCAGATGCCCCGCGTCGTGAATTTAAGCCTTTGGTGAACATAAGGGCTGCGATGCCCCACGTCCTCCCTACGGTTCTTTGTTATTACTATATTACTATAATGCAAACAATAATATATCAAAATTACTTTTTTAAGAACATTAAGTTTAATTCTCAACAGGCCCTTACATGGTTTAATTACCCGTTATCTAGAATATATATCGTTTTAATTACTATACTAATATATTTATTTTATAAGAAAAGGGTTATGACAGAATTCATATATCGCTAGGCCCAACACAGGGCCTCCTTGTGTTGTGGGTAACTAGAAACAATTATTCAGTGGTACATGGTACATGTTTAAAACAGTTAAAATAATAAATTTAGTGTTACAAATTAAGGAGTGAGTGTGTGAATGGGTGTGTATGCGCATGTATTTGAGAGTGTAGCTGAAAGTTGTTATGATCGCGTGTGTCTGTGTTAGTTTTTGAAACCTCAAAGTCATACCAAGATATGTAGTAATGCCTCTGTAGATTCGAAATCCAATCCAGTTTGTATCTGGATAGTTTGACGATCTCGGAATCCATAGATTTGGAAATTTTATTATAAAGCGTTGGCCTATCTCTTAATGAATGTTTTTTTTTTTTTTTTTATAGAACGGGGGGCAAACGAGCAGGAGGCTCACCTGATGTTAAGTGATACCGCCGCCCATGGACACTCTCAATGCCAGAGGGCTCGCGAGTGCGTTGCCGGCCTTTTAAGAATTGGTACGCTCTTTTCTTATTAATGTTAAGTATTTTGTAAATAAACTTACCGGATAACACAACTTCGGGCAGCAATTGTTCAACGAGTACAGAATGCGCCGCATTCCACGCGCCTGCGCCGACCAGGCATTCTGCTTCTAATTGGGGACGGTGCTGAAATATTTTTTTTAATTAGATTTTTCCAATACTGGAATAAATGATAAAATAGGCTTTATCCAAGCAATAAATAAATTTACAATATACATTTAATAGGCTTTATTTTAATCCTTGTGTGTGAGATTTAAGCTACATAACTAATATAATATAATTTTTTTACATTACATTGTCAGATTCGAATTTCACCATGCCTCCTGCTGATAGAGGACAAATCTTTGTTTTTAATTTATGTTATTATTATTAATTACTTAAAATGTCACATGGGACATGGTGTAATGGTTGCAGCTCCTTACAAACATTTTGTAAAACAAAAAAATGGCGATTAAAGAGTGGCGGAGAGTTTATTGCCAGTTCTTCTCTACCTTTCTACGCCATTGATTTGAGAACTGGCAGTAAATGTAAAATAAGAAGTATTAATATGTAATTCTTTACTGACAAGTCACAAGTGTACATTATGTGATTAAATGATTTTTTATTTTCACTTTTACTTTTTGAAATTGTCTTCAGACATTTTAAATAACCAAAGAACCTTTACATAATTTACAACACAATTGATGTTTATATGGCAACATTTAACTTATTAATAATCTGTCAACTAAAACAAGCTTGACAGTAATCTTGATATCTTATATTAAAAAATTAAAAGTATGAAGCACGTACATATTATTTATTAATTCCACATAATATTTAATATATTTCAAACTTTCAAACACAAAAACTGGTCTCACTTGTTCCGCGCGTACGCGTGCGTGCACGTAACCTGGAACAGTGCGTGCGCCTTGACTTATTGTTGGATGCCCGTATACTTAACTCTTTATATATTATTTTGTAATCGTTAAAACATTCAATCAATTAATTAATTTAAAAATGGCGGTTATATCACCTTCCTCATAAGTAGTCATGTTTATATGCATCAAATAGATTTGAAGTAAATATTTTTCTGAATACAGTTTACGAACCTCATACTTCGCCCTATGAGCCCTAGCGAGCAGCAAACACTTCTGTGGGACTCCCAACTTCTCAACAAACTCAAGGCGAGCCTTCACTGAGGAATCAGCCTCCGCCGGTGCGTGGCGGCCTATTAGCTCTTGGATGAGATGAGCACGGCTGAAATATAAAGCATTTTTTACAATTTTTATTTATAATTAAATTTTTTATTATCTAAATTTTTTACACTTTGATTTTTAATTTTAATATTTTATAATTTATTATTTAAAACTTATCTTTTTATTAATTATATATATTATATTTTATTTAATTGATTTTTTTTAACTAAACCTCTTCCTTATTAACGAATCGAAATAAATATAAAATAAAAATAGGTAAAATTTTTTTAACGGTTTTATTTAATACATTCAATGTTTAAGATAAATTATAAAAACATTTACATACAGTCGTGGAATTATAAATATCTGACTAATAAAATAAAACTGGGCATGTAATTGTTTTAAAATTCTCACACATTAATGTATAACTAGTTGAAACATTCTTTTATTTAATGGAGTTATAACTATTGGAATTTCCTAGCAAGAAAATAGTAAGTAATTTCCTGACGTCTCGGCCAACTCCTATTTTAACGACGAATTAAACGATTCTTCTATTATCGACATTAAGTCGATAATTTGTAGACAATTGACGTGCCCCACGGTTTTATTTTAGTCTAGTCTATGCATATGTTTATAATTCCCACGACTGTATGTATTTTATTATTTTTTGGTTTTTAGTACATTTATCTTAAACATTCAATGTATGTTTAACATAAAACCGTTTAACTTAAAAAGTTTTTTACCTATTTTTTTTACAATTGATTTGTTTATAACAGGCTAAAACAACTTTAATATTTAACAAAAATATAAACCCCCAAAGACAAGGGTAACTTTAGTATTGTGTGTCTGTGGCATTGTAGCTCCTAAACGAATGGGCCGTTTATCTAGTTTTTAGGTTAGAATCGTGATCGAGATGTTTCATAATAATTTACGAATATCTTTTCAGTTTTTAATATGTTTGACGTATGCGAGATGCTCTCAGCCACATCACCAAGGGTAATTAATAAACTATGATTTAAACATGTGCTTATACTCTGATTTTTAATTCCGTAGAATTTTGACAGCTATCAACTTTTGACATGCCAGTGATGGCAAACCTTTTCGGCCGGGCACATTTTTCAATTTCAATACGAGGCTGAACAAGTCAATTCATACATTTTATTTGTTAGGGAATGTATATATTTTTTTAAGTGCGATGCTCACATTAAAAGTGGTTTTACGGCCAGTGATAATAACGTCCCTTTCCCGTTCTTCCATCACAAACAGTAAAAAACGCACAAGTAAAGATAACATTTTTTAAAAAGGTTTACTAAACCTGGAATAAGTAGGCAGTGATGCCAGGTAAAGAATAAAATAAAGTAATTAATGTTCATTCGTTATATTGTTCGTTATATTGAAATATTAGTTATTTTTGTATTAGGTCACTTGAGTAAGTAAATATTTAGGTTTACCTGTTTGTAGGTAAAACATATAAAATACGTAGCATTTTATTTTATTGCCGTTAAATGGGTCAAATTTGTCCCTTTTTCAGTGGAGAACTTTTTTAGTTGCAACACTAATGAAATGTCAGAATTCTACGGAATTAAAAATCAGAGTATAGAAAAAATTAATGAATAGCAAAAGGTTTTCTGTTAATTTTATAAAAATAACTTAATTGTATAATAAATACATTATTACATACATTTTATCATCTGGATGGTAGAAAAGCGCCTGGACGGCTAAATGCCACTCGCCATAACCCTCCAGCTGTTCCGCCAATCCCACGATCGACTTAATTGTCGGTTGGCCGAACCAACAACCCAGGAGAAAGCTGGAAAAATAAATATATAGATAAAGGGGTATTGTATGCCCGTTGCCGTCCCAAATAAATTTTAAAACGTAATATTTAAATATTGATTTTGAATTATATTTTTCATGTTTTATTTATGACTTCTTAATCGTGTATGCATAATTAATTTAATTTACTAATTTAATATGACATCACAAATTTAACACACGCACACGCGCACACACACACACACACACACACACACTTCAATTATAACTCACACTACCCATATGTAATGTCCGAGATGATTCCATATTTTTATTATTATTGTTTATATTATTTGTTATTTAATTATAATGAATTGGAATTAGAAAAAAAAGATGAAAGCGTTATTTTTATATATTAGCGTATAATTAATCCATATTAGCTTTATAAGCCTTTCAAAAACAGCGTAGCCTCTTAACTAAACAGCGCCGTTGTTTCTTTAGTTGTACTGATTAATATAACTTATTTTTATGTATAATTATTATCTAATATATAAAATTCTCGTGTCGCGGTGTTTGTGGTTAAACTCCTCCGAAACGGCTTGACCGATTCTCATGAAATTTTGTGTGCATATTGGGTATGTCTGAGAATCGGACAACATCTATTTTTCATCCCCCTAAATGTTAAGGGTAGTCCACACCTAAATATTTTTTTATTTTATTTTTAGATATTTTTTTCTGTTTTTATTTTTTTATGATACAACATTAAAAAATACATAAAACCCCCTAACTTACACCGCTCTAAGATCAACCCCTATTTTTTTATTATAAATTATATAAATGGCAAAACGACGTTTGCCCGGTCAGCTAGTATTTATATATTTGGCTATAATTATTATATTATTACTAGCTAGCCCGGCAATCGTTGTTTTGCCATGAATGTATTCTTGAAAACATTTTTTTAGTTCAATAAAAATAACTATGTACTATAATAAAAAATAGGGGTTGATCGTAGAGGGGTGACAATTAAGGGTTGTATGTATTTTTGTATGCTGTATCATAAAAAAAAATAAGTTTTGTCTAAAAAATAAAAATGTAGGGGTGGGACCACCCTTATAATTTAGGGGGATGAAAAATAGATGTTGTTAGGATTCTCAGTCTTACTGAATATGCATAAAAAAAATTCATAAGAATCGGTCGAGCCGTTTCGGAGCAGTATGGGAACGAACATTGTGACACGAGAATTTCATATATTAGATTAGTTGAGCAACTTTGTAAAATGATAAATTATACTATTCGACCACAACATAATAAAGTCTGTCTTACCTCAGGCTGTGGTCAATAGGATGAGGCGTGTACGCAGCGGGATGGAAACACGGCCGTGTGTTGAACGCACGCGCACGTATCAACTCGTAACGAAGGTCAAGGATCCGACGCGACGTGCCATTCTGAAATACAAAAATTCGATATATCTAAATAAGTTAAGTGGTTAAATGGTAAGTAATTATGTTTTTAATTATATATATGTTTTCAGCGTTCAAGTATTACGTAACGAATTTGGGGGGGTCCTTTACACCACATAATGGTAACTTTTAGGTATAAAGTCACTGGGTGGTCACGAAACGTTTGGTCACAGTGGAAAAGATAAATTGCAGTCAATCTGCTTACGCTTACTTGAACGCCCTGTGTTTTAAAAAATAATTATAATTACTAAATTTTATCGTATAAGTCTTCTGTTTCTTGTCTTTTGTTGTAATTTTTTACTAATATTGTAATATACAATTAATTAATAAGCGTAATATATTATTGTATTAGTATATTTTATTGAGAAATAAATATCTTAAGCCGTAAGTACAAACGAAATATTTTTTGAAGTTATACTTCTTTAAACGCGTTATGAAAAGTTGATAAGAGTGAAATTTTACGATGCGGGCGCACCGTGACACAAAATTAACAGAATGAAGTTGCCCACGGAAGATGCTACGGCATTGGATATAATTTAAAAACAACATTCGAATAATAATAGAATTTATGTTACACTTAATGTAAGAGAATAATAATAAATATTTATTTATTTAATTTTTCAAATGTAAACTGAACTTTATTGACTATAATGACTCCTTTTCCAGAGTTTGATTATTTAATTGTAATTAATTATTTTCATGCAATCAAAAACTATTTTTAATAATGCCAAAGAAGTATAACTTCTTACGCGCGTACATAAGTACATGCACCCTTTTTTTTTTGGGGCTTATGTGTATGTTTGTCAGTATTTACCGATTCAATAGAAACCGTGTACTCCTGCTGATAATCGGGTGTCGGCAATCGCATGTTGACACTCTCTTCTGGCACAGTGGTCAGATCCACGTTCGACTCCCGGCTGAATAGTTCTTCGTATGTACGCACTATCTGCTCTAGTGTTGGTATTTGAGGGCAGAGATATCTGAAATATTACTTCTCTTATTTAAGGACATAATTTTGTATTTCGTTTCGAAATAAGAGGATCTTTCTCTCTCTATCTCCTCTTTAACAAGAGAGTGATATAACAGATGGTTTGTTAAAGCAATACAAACTTGACAAAACACATATTTGTATATATTATATAACATAAAAAAAACACCTAATAAAATAATAATCAAACAAAAAGTAATTAAGAAAATCAATACAGAAATGCGTGGACCCATATCTCAAAAACTACTGAAACAATTTTGATGAATCTTGCTTTGTTCTCAAAGTTGGAGGGATATTGTTTTAGTTACCGAGATAATATGAGTCAATAAATGTACATATATACATATACAGCGAGCAAATGCCGCCAGCGTTAAAGGTACACTGACACAAGGACCAAACTTTTAAATTTTCTTTTTATTAAATTTTAATTATTTTTATTGATACTATGTTAGTTAAGAAAACTGTATATTTGATTGTTATGATTAGGTTTTATTAACGATATAATATCTCACTAAAGATTGAAGGTCTAAAACAATTCATATATTTTCCAATTCCAAAAATATCATATACATACAAAAATAAACGAATAAGTATCTCCTTTTTAAAAGACGGGAATAAATAGTAACTTTACCTTGCACAAACATTGAGGACCCTCAACCAGTCCACCGCTTCAAGTTCTGAGTTAGGGCTTCGCCCCGCGAGCAGAGACAGTATTGCCCTTTTGTGGCTCGAGATGAGAGAATCCGCCCCACATTCCTGCCAGATGTTCAGCTGACGCGATAACAGAGTCTTGAAGTAGGGGTCACCTATAAATGTAATTAATTTCATTTAAAAAAAAAAATTGTGCGTGTACTAGGTGTACACACGTAAGAAGTGAAACTTCTTTATGATCTTATTTTTCGAAAAATGATCTACTATATGCAACTTTACAGAAATTCGTTAAATTAGATAAAGATTAACAAAAGGCTTTTATTATAATAGACATGAATACAAATATTTAATTTTACCTTATTACTACGAAGATTATTATAGAATTTCATTAATTGTAATAGAATTATTACTATCATTGAAAAACGTGACGATTTGCTACAAAATTTCTCCCATACGTCGATAAAGAAGTTTGACTTCAAAAAGCAACATGGCGCGTAACCGAAAAATGTGACGCGTAACGAAAAAATGTTACACTAAATTTTTTTCCAACCTCGATAAAGAAGTTTCACTTCAAAAATACAAAAGCATAAAGGTTTTTGTATTTATTTCAATAAAAGCTGACAACAATAATTATTACACACCAATAACAATAAGAATTCTGACATTTCATAAGTGTTGCTTAGTTTGTTAGTAACAAAGTTCTCCACCGAAAAAGGGACAATTTTGACCCATTTGAGGGCAATAAACAATAAAATGCTACGTATTTTTTAAGTTTTGCCTACACCTAACTTGGCTTATTTAAGGGTTCTTAAATCCAAGTGTAGACAACCTTTTGGACATTATTAGAAATGAGAGAGATATTTTACAGTTTATGAGTGCAGGAAAAATCAGGGCTCATTTGGCGGTTTTAATTATTAATAAAATATATATCTGAATCTTAACTAATGTAAGGTTACATAACTCCAAAGAGTTATTTTGTTCCTAGAAGTTTGAGATTTTGCAAGCGAACGTAAACATTTTTTATCTCCATTAATCGCTCCACTAAACTGGACTAGGCTAGACTGTGCAATCCGTTGCAGGGCCCGAACAATCTCGACATTTTCTGGACAGCCCATCCGATCACAGGAGAGGCATTCTGTTATCACTTTCTTAGGTTTTTTCGTTTTGTAATTTAAGGTATTTTGTTTTGTGATCCTATAGTAATGTTAAAGAAGAAGTATGACGAGCTGACCGCCGACCTCCAGTGGTGGAGTGGAACAAACAGAAGAAGTAATGTTTTTCTGTGTAGACTTATTGATTGTAAACATTGGTATGTTACAAGCGTTATGTGTTATGTTTGTGCAGGCCGTCCGCACCGCACCTATTATCGAGGACACCCATTGGTTGTAAAAATTATAAATTCTTCTATCCTATTTTTTTTGTGTTGCCTTTTTGGCGCGGCTATTAATAAATAATGAAGACGTTAACTCAAACTCAAAATATCTTTATTCAAGTAACCAAGTACACTTTTGAATTGTCAAGTTAAATTAATCGTAAATTTACATTTACTACCAGTTCGCAAGTCAAGGGCGTAGAGCGGGTATGAAGAACTGGCAAGAAACTTTCCGCCACTCTTTTTAATCGCCAAGTATTGTCATACAAATTGTTTGAACTGGAGCAATTCAATCCCAAGGATTAGGATCATTTAAGTAGTCCTCAAATTTATAAAAGGCTTTGTTGATTAATTTTCGTTTAACAAGGGCTTTGAATTTATTTAGTGATAATTCTCTAATTTCGCTTGGGAGTTTGTTGTAAAAACGAATACAATTTCCATATAAGGAGTGGTTTATCTTTTGGAGCCTGGTTGGTCGTACATTCAAATTAGTTCTATTTCGCGTATTATAGGGGAAAAGACGGATAGTTGCCCCACTTTTCGAAAAAGCTTTATATTTTTTAAATATGAACTTGCTGAAAATTATTTAGTATGTATCTCGCAATATAGGTCTTTTATCTTCTATAAAAGCCTATTTTTGTATACATAATTAACAATGGTTTTGAATAAATACCGTTTTATTTCACCTCTCAGAAAAGGGATAGTTGCCTACTATGGCGGATAGTAGCTTAGCGTAGAAAATGCTTCGGGGGATACTTGCCTCGTGCGTTTTTATTTTGGATAGAAAGAAATTTATATCAAATAGAGTAATCTTTATTATTTATTTAACAGTCTTTATAATTTACTGAGATCTTTTATTAATACAATTTGAAATATTAAGAAACAACAGTATTTTTCTCCTCTTTCTTACTAATACTTTACCAATTTTATTATTGAGTTGGACACCCTTTCATCCATGTTAAATATTTTATCTGACTTATCCAGCAAATTATTCTCAGTTAAAATAGTTGTTAAGAGTTTGAAAAAATTTCAATTCTGTTCTGTTGAGACCCTACCTCTTTCATTGATAAACCCTCAGCTTTCTCAAAGTTATATCAGGATTTTTTCAAAAAGCTTTTACCATAGGTCACCATTTTACTCTCATTAATAAAGTTGTCTTTACCAACTTTGTCTCAATTTTTCGAAGGCAAGTCTAAGCTATCTTCTTCCAGTTGATGTTGATGAGGCTTTTGCTTATCTATAATAAATATATATAACTGTGAAGTAGATATTTATTTAATTTACAACAAGTTAGACAAAGTAAATTAATAAACATCAAAAAACAGCAAAAAAATAAAATCCGTCTTTTCTTGTTAAGAAATTTTTAGTCACTCTAGGGGCAACTATCCGCGACAGTAAGTAGGGCAACTATCCTTTTGATGCGGATACTTGCCCTTTATTTGCGAAATAAATAAATATTATTTACAATAAAACATATAAACAGTGTAATTTAAACTCTAATGCATGCAAAGAAACAAAAGTTGACTGAAACCACGATCAGTAATAAAAATATTCAATAGAAATTACTTACCAATATAATTATAACGCCCGTCAAAGTTTCGCCGCGGAAGATTTTTGCTCACACGGACAAAACACTTGGGTCTATTCCGATGGCTTACGTGGCATTTAGGCCTGAGGGGCAGTCACTACTTATTGTAGTAAAGCGCCAATACAACTTATAATCCTAACATAGTTTTTTAAACACCGGGGCATGTATCCGTCCGAGGCAACTATCCGGCTTTTACCCTACTGGTGAAAGTCACCATTTGTTTTAAAATCGTTTATATTTTTTTGGACATACAACAAGGCTTCAAGAATATATTGACCAGATAGTATCATAATATTTGATTCCTTAAACTTATTCCGTACCGACTCCCTCGGAGAAACACAACAAATACCCCGAACAGCCGCGTTACTATGGAAGTATGTAGTAGTTTGACGACTCATTGGTCTAGTGGTTAGTACCCCTGACTGCGAATCCATGGTCCCGGGTTCGATCCCCGGCTGAGACAAACATCAATGTGATGAGCATTTGGTGTTGTGCTCAGGTCTTGGGTGTTTAAATATGTATTTATATGTCTATCTATCTATAATATGTATGTATATCCGTTGCCTAGTACCCATAACACAAGCTTCACCAGCTTAGCATGGGACTAGGTCAATTGGTGTGAATTGTCCATAAAAAAAAAAAAAAAAAAAATGTACTTAAACCATTTTTGTTTTATCAACTTATTCACATTTGCAAATAAAATAAAAAGATAACACATACGTTACCTACTTGTGTTCTACTCTCTTCTAGAAAAAAACCAAGCTATTCTTTCGAAATCACTCACCATAAGCCTGAGCGATCAGTATTGCCATATTGAAATCACCATTTTCCCTACAAAGCTTGCACGCTTCCAGAATTCTACCGCCCAGTAATAACGTCCAAACACGGGCGCTGTGACCATCTTTTTCTGAAAATCACATTTATAAATGTATTTAATGTATTTCTATTATTTAATGAGCATATTCATTTATAAAAAATAAAATTGTAATGAGGAAACTAGAACAAAATCTTATTTAATATATACGATACGACCAAATCCTATCGAAATATAAAATAAATATTTTTATCCTATTCTAAATAATTTATATAGCAACACTACACTCAGAAATATTATATAAATCAGCGCCATCTATAGGAAGGCAACAGTACTGACAATAATTAAATCCAAAAAATTCTGCTGATTTTAACTTTTGGAATGAATACGGGAAGACAATGACAGAACAGGATATTAATTCCTGTAAGAGGTTACTGTTCTTTATTTGACCATAAAAACGTAATAATAAAAGTAATAAATAAATGAGTAAAGCCTTTATTATGTAATTCGACGTAATAGTTATCGCCGATACTCCAGAAACGCTAGGCTGATGAGATGATGAAAAGATTCTGCATTGTTATTACTTTTTTCCCGAATTTATTTTGCAATATTGGAAATATGGCGACACTTACAGCCATACAAAATTATTATCTACATTATTAAAACAGTTTAAGCACATATAATTCTCACCATCTTCAGGGTCAACGTCTACTGGCTGCGATAGTTCATCATCAGTGACTTCGGCGACTGCATTTTTCAACCATTTCAAAAGATCCTCGTGGCGGCTCACGATAGCTTGCTCGTCCTTTCCCGGTACACCTATTTAAAATAACTTTAGTACTACAGAATTTCTATCAGAGATAATAATAATAAAACTTTATCGTGGCAGAAATATGGTTGTGACAAAATTGATCTAAGACTAGCCCTATAATTATTCCTGTTGCATGTTTAAAACATTTTGAAATGAAACATCTTTTAGGCGTATGAGGGTAAATTTTTACGAAAACGTCACGAAGATGTGCAGCGTTTTAGTCGAAGTAAAGGGAGAGAGCGATTGAGAGAGAGTGGGAAGGGTTATTTACCTTATAGAAATTCTATTTTTAAAATTAAAATTTCGTAAAGAGAATTTATGAAATATTAGTACATATTTATTGAAATCTCAAATGACGAATTGTAAATTATAATGCCACGTATTTTTATTATCGAAAAAATAAATTAAATTCATGAAATTCCTAACATATCTTCCTTTTTTCCTCCCTCTAAGTATAAATAAGAGTTAAAAATTAGTTTACCAAAGAAGTTTCACTTTTGACATGTGTACTTTGTACGCACGCACTTTTTTTGTTAAAGAAAAAGTATTACATGTTATCAAACAAAAGTCGTGCAAGACGTTATTTATGAATGTATGAGTACATATGCGGATAGGTATGTGCGTATTGAAGTAGGTAATAAGCGTGCGCAGTCTGTGTTAATCTTTTGGAATCTCAATCACTCAAAAAACTACTAAAATGTATTTATTTTTATTCCTTACATTATTAATTACAATGGCAAAGTTTAATAATCGATCGGTTCTGATTGCTAGGTATCTTATAGATCTAATATATAAAATTCTCGTGTCACAATGTTCGTTCCCATACTCCTCCGAAACGGATCTACCGATTGTTATGAAATTTTTTATGCATATTAAGTAAGTTTGAGAAGCAGACAACTTCTTTTTTTCATCCCCCTAAATGTTAAAGGTGAAACCCCTAAATTTTAATTTTTTAGACAAAACTTTTTGTTTTTATTTTTTATGATACAGCATAGTTTCCTAGAAATAATATATATATATTATATATATATGGCAAAACGACGTGTGCCGGGTCAGCTAGTATTATATAAATACTACAGGTAACAAAACCAATCATATCAGTTGTTCCTATGCTTGTATCACATTTATTTAAGCCTAGAATTATTTTCATTGTTTTATTAAGACATTTCAATAAATTATTAAGTTATGCATGACTTCAAATTATTCCCCTTATGGTTAATTCTTATTTACTGGCAATACTAATATCCATGACAGCGACGCTCTTACCGGCCAAGAAAAGTATGTGGCACTGTAGGTGATCAATCAGCCTTCTGTGTCTGACACTTTCGACTTTTCGCGATTGAAGTATGACGGTTTTCTCACGATATTTCACTACACCGTACACGGTACAAGCGTTAAATGCGCAGAGAAAAAGTATTCGAACCCCAGAATATCCAAAACTTTAAACTTGATAAGTAAGATTAGAATCCTACTTCGCAATGTGTTCGCACTTACCATCATTGAGAAGATCTTCACCCCAGAGGGCCTGACACAGTTTCCAAACTTGTACGCTGTACGAACTGGACACGCCAAACTGTTGCCAAGATTAAGTATATTTAGGTTAAAGTTTAAAAAAACAAAACTAATTTCCTTTAAATTTTGGGAATATGCTGCCAGATTAGACGATTGGCTACCTCCCTAACATCCCTTAAAACTCTTCTATACTCTGATTTTGAATTCCGTAGAATTCTGACAGCTATCATTTGTAACATGTCAGAGATGGCAAACCTTTTTGGCCAGGCACTTCAATTTCAATACGAGTCTGAACATCTGAGTCTACGTATATACATACATTTTATTTGTTAGTGAATGTATATATTTTATTAAATGCGATGCTCACATTAAAAGTGGTTTAACGGCGAGTTATAATTGCGTCCCTTTGAATCACAAACAGTAAAAAACGCACAAGTAAAGGTTACATTTTTTTTTTAAAGTTTACTAAACCTCTAATTCGTAGGCAGTGGTGCCAGCTTAACAAAAAAATAAAGTAATTAAAGTTCATTCGATATACTGTTCACCGATATATTGTTTGTGATATCGAAATATATATTATTGATAGATATTGTTGTTTTTGTATTAGATCACTTGAGTAAGTAAATATTTAGATTTACCTTTTTGTAGGTAAATATAAAAAATACTTAGCATTTTATTACCCTCAAATGGTTCAAATTTGTCCCTTTTTCGGTGGAGAACGTTGATAGTAGCAACACTTATGAAATGTCAGAATTCTACGGAATTAAAAATCAGAGTATAGATAAACATTTCTTAACCATATCCTATCCTGCTCAATCGTGACTATTGTATTTCTTATTCTTTTGTTGTGCATTGCAACTCTTGATCTGTGAGATTTGCTTCTTTTGTATTATTTTAGATTAAGGTTGGTCATTCTATATTTTTATTTTATAAGATTTGGTTATGCCATTTTTTTTCCTTACTAGGGTTGAGAAGAGATGAAGAGATCACTTGTTAGCGATAAGGAAGCCAGTTACATCCCTTATAATTTTTATTTTATTTGTTTTATATAGATACATGTAAAATAAAATTAAAACAGAACACAAAATAATAAAAATAACTCACCCGCGCGCTATACTCCTCCTTGCAAGAGTCCTCCAACAACTTCTCGAGCAGCTGCTTGCGACTGACCGGCGACTCTTGCACGACTAGTCGCGCGAACGGTCGCGACGCGTCTTCGGGGGCAGAGAAATCGAGAAGGCTTTGGAGCTGACGGCGTAGGGTGTCCTAAAATACACAATTTTATATAAAAATTGCTTTCAATACATAAAATAAAATAAAAATGAACTAATAAATTATTCTGACATCAAAACGATTGAAAAATAAAATACTGTGAAACATAGCTATGTAAACGTGTGTATACGTCACTCACGTACGTGCGAATAGTCTTACGTCTCTGTACATATGTTCGTTACATTTTACGCATTAAATGTTTTTTTAATTCATAATTCAATACTATATTACTTATTGGGACATACTATTATTTTTTATAAAAAGGAAAAGAGGAAAACAAAGCAAGAACTGGACAGACGCTATAAAGAGAATAAGAGGCTCAACTTTGACAAGAAGAGCTAACATCAGAAAAAAATGGAAGCTGGACGAGGCCTATGTGTTAATGTGTCAATTAGGTCACGCTGATTACCAAACGGGGCATATGATGTACTAGCCGTTTCGCGCCCGCTTTGCTGGACGAATTAAAATAAATTTTATGTTTCATTATTTTTTTTTTTTTTCATATTTTTATTATTCTTCTTTTTAACTTCCCGCTAAGAAAATTGAAATATTTCGAAAATCGAGTTTTTAACAGATGTTGACGTTTAGAGGTTCTAGGAAGCCTCCCCGAATGTTTCCGCGGTGAAGTCCGTATGGATAAATTTTCATAAAAGTAAAACAGCAATAAAAAAATGAAGGAACGTTGGAATTTAATAAATAAATAGCCATAAACCATCTAGGAAAAATTTCGCATGATGGTAGTTTTATGTCGATACGATCAGTGGTTTAGGCGTGAAGGAGCCTCAAACGAAGACCATTTTTCTTTTATATATATATATATAGATTAGAATAAGTTTAATAATGTCACTTAAATAAATGTTAATATATTATACTGAGTGGCAGCAATGAAGGCTAAATAATAATATTTTTTTATTACGTAACTAAGTAATGAGTTTATAATATTATTTATAATAATCACACATTATCATCGTCTATACTCAGATTTTTAATTCCGTAGAATTCTGAAAGCTATAATTTTTTGACATGTCAGAGATTACAAACCTTTTTGGTCGGTCACACTTTCAATTTTAATACGAGTCTGAACATCTGAGTCAATACATTTTATTGTTAGTTAATGTATCCATTTTATTAAGTGCGGTGCTCCACAGTAAAAGTAGTTTAACGGTAATTGGTAATAACGTCCCCTTTTCATCACATTTTATTTTTTAAAAAGGTTTACTAAACCTGGAATTAGTAGGCAGTGATGCCAGCTAAAGAATAAAATAAAGTAATTAATGTTAATTCGTTATATTGTTCGTGATATTGAAATATTAGTTATTTCTGTATTAGGTCACTTGAGTAAGTAAATATTTAGATTTACCTGTTTGTAGGTAAAACATATAAAATACGTAGCATTTTATTTTATTGCCGTCAAATGGGTCAAATTTGTCCCTATTTCAGTAAAGAACTTTTTTAGTAGCAACACTTATGAAATGTCAGAATTCTACGGAATTAAAAATCAGAGTATAATCTACTACACGATTCACACTACGGGGTTCCCCAAAAGTTGCGTGACGTAATACTTGAACGCTCTCAAATAACTGCACTTACAACCCCTTACAAACATTACTTCTTATAATATATATACATACCAAAACGGCTTTACTGTCCGCCTGTCCGATTTGAACTCTGGCCACGACCGCCTCGCTCCAGTCCTCATCTGACCTTCCCAACACATATCTGCCCAGCTCACATAGATCCGATTCTGTCAGTTAAAAACATTCCAAGAATAAAAATCTTAAGTAAAGTGGAAATATTTGTATGTTTGACGAACTCAAAGCTACTGGACCGTTTAATGAAAGCATTTAGCATGACCTATGGGAGGGTCGATTCAGTCATTTATGACGTACGGAAGTCAGATTTAACGTTTTTGAAGTGAAACTTCTTTAAGCAAAATAGGGTTAATTTTTACGGATGAAACGCAATAATAATAATATTAGCGTCACGAAGATGTGCAGCGTTTTTGTCTAAGAAAAGGGAGATAGCGATTGAGACCGAGTAAGGGCGAAATACACGCTATTGGTTGATGTAGTTACATATTAGAACTTAGTATTGTCTTTGATTTACATAACCTTTACACATTTAAAGAAAAAAAACTGTTTGACCGGATTGAAGTTATGCCAGCCTACCTGCCATATGTACAGGGAGTTACAGATAGAATTAGCCGGATCCTAAAACGAACGATTCATAAAATTTTCAAGCCGCACAAGAAGATTCAGCAATTCCTAAGACCAATCAAAAGTAACACCCCATTGCAAGATGCAGGTATATACAAACTGGATTGCGACTGTGGCCTGTGTTACATAGGGCAAACTAAACGCAATATGTCCAGCAGACTCAAAGAACACATTGCAGACATAAGACATAGACGACACACAAAATCAGCAGTCTGTGAACACATACTACATAGGCCTAATCACTACATACGCTTTGACCAACCGAAAATACTTGCGAAAGAAAAAAGATTCTTCCCAAGATTGGTACGCGAAGCCATTGAAATCAAAAAACACCCCAATTTCAATAGAGAAGACGGCCTAAAATTGTCAAACACCTGGGATCCAATAATATCCAAATTAAAATCTCATGAAAAACAATCCGCGAAAATAGAGGACACCGTGAGCCATTTTTGCCAAAACCCTCCATCTTTTAGTCGATACCAACTCCGGGGTAATAAATACAGATAAGGCAACTTTCTCGACAGCTGTGATACTTTTTGACATGCAACATCTTTTGTCTTCAGTCACCGTGACCACGCACGATAAATTTAAAATTATGTTAAATAGTTGTAAATTTATAATAATACATAACTTCAATCCGGTCAAACAGTTTTTTTCTTTAAATATTAGAACTTTAGATGGCAATTCTGTCGCATAACATCTTGTGCAGAAAACGCATAATTTTTATTTATCTATATACATTAACATTAGCACGTATACAGTGTGTAACCAGTGTGAATATATATTTGTATATATATTCACACATGGAGTGATCATATACTGGTACATGATCATCTATTGGGGCTTTTACCTTAGTAATAATTAATTTACAAAGAAGTTTCACTCCTGACATGTGTACTTTGTATGCAACCATATTTTTTTTTTAATTATACCTGACTGACTGACTTCTTCCTTAGGAGTAGAAATAAAATCCCGATAAAAATAAGGAAGCAATAAGCTTAAAAATAATACTAAGGGGATAACGAAAGTGAAAAACTAAACAATATAGAAATTATAAAAACTATTTGACAATATTTATTACTTTTAGAAACTATTTTTTTTTAAATCAGTTAAGTATTGAATAAAAGATGGCTTCGCATGAGTTCCTGTCACTGCCTGTAAGCACGTAAACAAACATCAAGTTTTCGTGTAAATGAATTGCATTAGTGTAAGTAATTTTACACATTTTTCGATCAGTCTCCGAAGAAATAGGACTCCTAAACAGTATTAGGATTATTAGACAGACGAAGACATGTTATTTGCAAACTCCTAATCTGTGTCTGTTTTGTATCTCGTGACTTTTTATTATTTTTAGTTATGAAAAATTGTGAGAGTGAAATTTTACGATGCGCGCGCACCGTGACACAAAATTAACAGAATGAAGTTGCCCACGGAAGATGCTACGGCATTGGACATAATTTAAAAAACAACATTCGAATAATAATAGAATTTATGTTACCCTTAATGTAAGAGAATAATAATAAATATTTATTTATTTAATTTTTAAAATGTAAACTGAACTTTATTGACTATAATGACTCCTTTTCCAGGCTTTGGTTATTTAATTGTAATTAATTATTTGCATGCAATCAAAAACTATTTTTAATAATGTCAAAGAAGTATAACTTTTAAGCGCGTACATAAGTACACGCACACTTTTTTTATTTTTTTTTATAAATAAATGATTATTTACAAGTTATTTTCCCCTTTCTTTACTGCCACGGTTATACGGATTCTCAATAAAACTTAATTATAATATTAAATAGCATTATTGAACTGAAAGATTTACTCACTGCGCGGCAATTCAGAAATGACGTCATGCGTGGTGTTGAACACCAGTGCGTTGTTGGGGCCGAAGGAGACGCGGCTGTGACGGGCGCGACACACGGACATATCGGCCAAACAATCCGCGTTAAGACGACCTGAAAAATACACGAAATGTCACTATGTACTTTATACTTCTGACAAAGAATAATGCAAGCTTTTTTGAAGAAAAACTTTTTTTATACAACAGGGGCCAACGGGCAGGGACACTTTCAATTCCAGATGGCTCGCAAGTCCGTTGCCGACCTTGTAAGAGCAATATCTACAGCATTACTGCTTCAGGTCCCCCCCCGCGTACTAAGTTTATCTTTTCTAAAAAATATCAATAAAAATCATGTCTAATTTTAGCAAATTGTTTCTTTCTTCTTAATAAATAACGGCTGATAAAAACCACTTACCAGCGATAGTTTTCTTGAAAGGAGGTACTTTTCTGTGATATTTCAGTATCACTGTATGTGGGTTCACGATTAGGGGACGTACAACTGGTTCTGAAATATTTAACTTATTCAACTACAATATTTCATAAGATTTTTTTTAAATATTATATTATTACCTCTTTTACATAATCATTATCATCCCGTATTCATTCCCAAGGTTTAAAATCTGCAGAATTTTCCAAATTCCGTCAGCGAAACCAAACTAGGAGTTCAGGCACCTCTCTTTCGAATTCTTTGCGATTTTAATGGATTAAACAGTACTTATCCGGAGATGGATATATTCGGTAGTGGGCTGATCAATTTAAAGTTATTGAAAAAATAAAAGATTGGAAGAAGCAAAGATGAGAGACAAATGGAAGAATTTGAAGAAGTTCAGACGGTACCAGTATTAAATAATATAATAACATACAAATAAAAGCAACCCTAATTATATTACTCGAATAAAGGCAATTTATTTACCTTCAAAACCTTGGAAAGGAGAAGAGGGCACCCCAAAAAAAGGTGTATAAAAGAAACAGAAGCGGTAGCATGAAGCGAATAGAGAAAGAGAGCCATAGACAGAGTCAGGTGGAAAAAGCTGGAGGAGGCCTTTACCCGTGTAGGAGTTCCGATTAATGGTACTGAAGGTAGCTAGGATATAGGATAACAAGAATAAAAAAAAACGTGTGGCACTCGGGGACTGCCGCGGTAAAGCTATTGCATAGCATTTTTTTATCAACGTATGCAATTATAATTATTTATTTATTTTATATTTATTCAATCTACCACACTACCCGACTCAGGCTAACAAGCCTATATAGTCTGTCTTACTCTAACGAGTACCGGCTCTACCGGCCGCGCTTACGCTACGTCACCGATCTCTTTAGAGAGATGTGAGACGCAGTATGCGTTCTGTCCCGCTCTAACACGTATTGGCCGCACCAATATTACGTCATCGTGTGTTAGGTTTTTATTTTCGTTACGGAATTTCTTGATTCGGTCGCCGCTCTTAAAGCCCGCGATAAAATCAATGCAATAGCTTAATAATGTATAAAATGTAAGAAATCTAAGCTGTATATTATAATTTTTGTCATGAATGGAAAATAAACGGGCTTTATTATTATTATTTACCTTCAATAACGACCGGTGCTTCTTCAACCATCTCCATGTGCGATACAGAAGTCGGTGGCAGCGAGATGACGGAGGCCGTGGCATGAGGCACCATCTGATCGCCCGTTGATATTGACACGTCGTCTTCCATTTCTGAAAATCATCAAAACAAAAGTTGTTTAATTTTGAACACCTTTTACATTGCGATGACGTCATACTCCAAAACGCACACAATTGTACGGTTCCCGGGTAGATGGGATGCTAAAAATAATAGAGGATATTATTTTCACTCCCTATTTCAAATCCTGAAGAGCCGCGTCTGATTTATACTGTCGGAGCGAAACTCCGATTTAGATGAGAAAAATAAGACACTTAAAGAAGTCATGAAAAATAAGAAAACGAGCGTGGTTATTAGAAGAAAGCTCTTCAATACTTGTATACTACCTGTACGAACATATCTATGGATCTCAGCATACAAAGATGTGTCAAAAGTTATATGGAACGATGTATGATAGGGCAGAAAAGAATAGACACAATAAAGAATACAGCTTTAAGAAAAACAACTAAGGTAACATATTTTACAATAAATATTAATAAACTAAAGTGGAAATGGGTGGGGCACATGGCAAGACAAAAAAGTGGAGCAAAAAGTACTAAACTGGTGCCCAAGGTACAGCAAACGAATAAGAGAAAGACAATTTAGATGGTAGATAGACCAAATTAAAGAAACAGCAGGTACATGGCAGACAGTTGCACATTGCAGAGAGGAATGGCGGGATATGGGCGGCCTTAGTCAAAAAAGGGAACACATAAAAGAAGATTTATATATAAACGTGTTTAAATATATCTGAATTAAAGACTATTATTATTCTTTTACGAAATTCTTTTCTTGTTTTTTGCTTTAGTGTAAATATTGTGAATACAAGTATTTTGTGACTGTTTTCCTTTCTAACTTTTTTTTTATGTAATAGGAGGCAAACGGGCAGCAAGCTCATCTGATGTTAAGTGATACCGCCGCCCATGGACACTCACATTGCCAGATGGCTGGCGAATGCGTTGCCGAACTTTTAAGAATTGGTACGCTCTTTTCTTGACTTGCAGCTTAGCCTTAAAAACTAATTTATGGTGCTCTCGTGCGCCTATAACTGAAAGTATTTAGAACAAATAATGTAAAAAATAAAATAAAATTTGTTTATTATGGAACATAAGATACAGGTATCACTTATTCCACGTCATTAAATTATTAATCCCTTCTCATCGGCAAAGAAGACAGAGAGTGTAGGCCGAGAGAAAAAGCCAGCGTAAAAAACTCTCGGTACTCTTTTAATATATATTTTCCAGGTCTTAAATATACTCACCAGTATCAGCGTATAAGGAAGCTTTCATCAGCTGAACGTTATGGCTCTGTCTATGCTCCAAACGGGCCAACTCTGAGGTAGGACTCTTCACACCGAATGCTGGAACATAATTGTTGACATTAAATCTGGGTAAAATTTAAGGCTGCTGCCTCGAATTTTGCGGGCAGCCGGGGTGGCAGCGGCGCGAGGGCGGGTGACGAGCGGTGCAATCCAGTCAAGCGGTGACCGCTCGCGTTGCGCAGCTGATTGTAGTATAGTGCTGTACATATTTTTTGTGACGTAACAAAATGTCCTCGGACGTGCAAGAGCAAATTATTTCGGCAATCTTTGAGAGGAGACCCATATGGAACAGCAAAGATGTTAACCATAAAAATAGAAGAATAATTAACCAATTATGGAAATAAATAAAAAACGAACTGAATATTGAAGGTAAATATAAAAATGATTTATTATGTCAAATACTATTTATATATATTTATTATGTTTTACAAATTAATTAGTAACTAATGTGATTATTTACAAAATATTTTTTGAATTTTTCACGTAAGTATATATTGTGTTTGATAAGACGTCAAGACATTTTGTTCGCGAATAAAAACAAATATCTCGACAACACAACCACGAACACAACACTACACAGCGATAGTGCCGCGCGATCTGCCCGCTGGTTTGGAGAACAGGTATGCGTTGGCCGTCTCGCTCCCGCGCCGCAGCCGCTGCCGCCCCGCTGCCCGCAAAATTCGAGGCAGCAGCCTAATATTAACTAGCTTCTATCTAATTTTACTTTTCATAAATGTAAAATTAAATGCATTTCATGTATATTTCTTTTTTGACGTTCATAAGTGTACAGTGTGTTACCTATATGAATAAATGATTTTTAACTTTGACTTTAGAACGAATTATGGAAATTCTAATATGATTCAACAATAAAGGTTATTTTAAGTCAATAGTGGCGCTACAATATCCCTCACTTCTAGCATCACTTGACATTTTCATATTATTGTACATTTAGGAAAATTTTGACACGGTTAAATAATGACCGTAGATAATCCTAAAATATACATATATATATATATATATTATTTATTGTGACCTTTGACCTTGAAATTAAATGATGTATCGTTTGCCATTACGATACTTAACAATCAGCTAGAATGCCCCAACTTTTTAACAAAATTTAAATTTTGTGTACCCAGTAGATATCCCAGACATCCCATCATTCCATTTATCCTACCTTTCCGAGAACGCGTTTTGGCCGAAATTCATCGATGTCCAGATTGAGCATTCTGTTAAACGAGCTGGATCTGGACATCCATAGTTGCTCACCTCAGACTTTGAGAGCGATTTTCGTTTAATTTATTTTTATTTACTTAAGTTTGTTTAAATTATATTATTGTTTCGCTTAATTAATTTTATTACTTCTTGTATGCTGTTTGCCTGTAAGTGCTTGACACATTAAAAACTGTATTTTACTTTTCTTCTGTCAATGTATCAGTGTGCCAAGCGTTGGCAAGCTTTTATGAATAAATAAAATAAAATAGTTGCGTACACCCTACCATTTGTAAGTTTTGAGACGACTATGGAGTGATTGATTTAACCACCATTTTAAAGTGAATTACTTTAATTTCATGTTTGGTTACAATATTCACTTAATATAATATAAAGAAATAAACATATGTGCGTCAAATACCAAGCCACCAAGCGCACTGGCCACGTACCACTGGTTACCTGCGTGCACGCACACATACGCGCGAAATCCCGCAAGACCAGTTTTATGTAGTTCTGTGCGAGTGACGATATTATGATATCGATGTAAGATGTCGATAAAAATATGATATTTATGTGTTATACATGTGTATGCTACACGACTTTTAGGGTGTCATTATACAAGTATTTACACCCTTACAGCTGGGTATCTCGAATTCCGAGATTCTTACCTAATTTAAGCTTAAATGACTGGACTATAATTAATGTTAATAATTAAAGCTCATGTTTTAAATGATTAAAGCCAGTTGACACCCAACTTCAAACAAAGAGTTTTTAACATTTATTTTAACATCCCTCCAAGAACCGCCACCGAGCTTAACTCTGTAATCAAATATTTTAGCAATAGAAGTAATCTCACCTTTGTTATCCTGATACAGACTGGTCGCATCTGCGTTGTCTTCTGTCGTGTCCATTTCAAATCCTATTAAATTTCCAAAGTCTTATTTATAAGGAGAAAATCTCTTTAATTCTAATATAATTTTAAATTTGTGTTCATTGGTTTCGTTCTTAATAATTAGAAAGAAAAACTTGTACTGTTTCTGATTACTAAGAACCCAAGGAACAAATTTCGCATCTATAGTGAAAATTATTTAAGAAAGTGGTTAAAGTTGAATAAATTTAAAATTTAAATAACTCCTTTTATCAATGAATTTTAATTTCGTTAGAAGTGCAGCATTTTCGATTACAAATATAATAATCTAAATTTTGCGTATACTTCGATAATCACGTACACGATATTGGTGCACAGCCGAGGTCCGAACGCACGAGGGAATCATATCATAGAGGAAGTGAAATGTTATCACTGCTGTTATCAATCGCCTTCGCTCATCTCCGTATAAATATTACTAATGAGGGACAAGAATCCCATACCCCAAAATACCAACCTTTGGAGCCGTTCATCAAATTAAGCGAGGTCTGCAAGAACATATCATCATCACCCACAGAGGAACTGAATCCCATTCCGCCTAGACCCAAATTTGACCCTAGGGTAAGGTTTGACCCGAGGCCTATATGTGTTCCAAGACCTCCTAGAGCTGATGTTACGGGCACTACTGGTTTTGTGACTGGAAAGAAAATATTTAACAATAAAAAATCGAAACTCAAACTGTGTTTGGCAAGTTTTTTGCCGTTTTTTTTGTTTTGATTACTTTCAAATACAGTGTAAACTCCATGTAAAGTCCCTTGATTTAATGACGAACTCCCTAAAGCGTGGAAATCAACTGTCGTTGGTTGGTTTAGTTTGCCTTCCATACAATGGTACAGTCTACATAGCATTACACCCTCTCTCTACAACAATTGAGTAATAAAGTACTTTTTAAGTTGTTAAAATTACGGAAAACTGCGGAACTGTGTACGTTATTTTGTCGCTCTAATGTCAATAAGCCCGGAATAAACTCGACTGTTTCGCACAAACTCGTTCGTTTGTTTACAAATTTGGATTGCTTTATCACCAAAAAATACGAAATAATTACTGGTGCAGCAAAAGTCGTGAGACGAAAATAATTGAATACGCAATAGCTCTCAAATAAGAATTGTTTTTTATGAAATTACTAACACTAGTATAAAATAAAAATTTTCTTTTTCTAATACATTTTTTTTCTCACTTTGTAACGTCAAAATATGCGTAGACCCTTGTGTGTCGTCATATAGAGTTAACACTGTAGTTATACCCAGCCTCGCATACACACACACATAAAACACAGCCGAATTAGATATTACTTAGTTAAATGTATTTAATATTTTTTATTGATCTTTTCCTTTCATGAATATTTGAAACTTTTTGTGTTGGTTTTTGTAAGTGCTTGCCCTATAACAGTTAATACATACCAGTAGCAGCCGCTTTCTGCAAACTCTGATTGACGAGTTGTCGTTTTAACACCTGAGGCGCAATTTCCTCTTCCTCATCCGAATCTGATATGCCATACTTGCTGAAGTGTTCCACCTGATACAGTAAACATCTTTAAGATGGGAGACTATTTGAGTCCTATTTATATAGACGGTTTTAAAGTATGTAATACATAATCAAGCATAATCAAAAATTTAAAAATGTTTCGGTAAAAATTACCGAGTCCGGCTCGAAGGATCAAAACGTACAACTTCTGGGCACACTTGAAACGTAGGACAAAGTCATATTCAATGTAATTTTAAATGAATTATATGAAATGCGACTGATTAAATTCTTAGGCGACTTAGGTGCGCGCTTACAAAACTATGAAAGTACTTAACTAAACAAGACACGTATCAACTTTGGCTCGTTCAATAAAAAAAAAAAACAACCTAACTCCTGGTAAAAATAGTAAGCGTATCGGTAACGATCAGTTTTTTAAAATGTTTTATAAAAACATTATTTAGTTATTTGGACAGAAAAGAGAAAGTAACCAAAGGTACTCACTTAAAAAATACGTTTTTACTAATTTTTATAGAGCGTTTGACTATACATCAAAATGAAGATAGGTTCTGAACTCACCCTGAACACCCAGCTACCAGTTTGTGGGCGATACTCAATGAACCTGGTGTCATATTTATCGCACACACGTCGCAACTTGCCTTCGTAGTCCATTTTTAACAACCTATAAAAAAAATATCAATAGATTGACAACTGTCATTTTTTGTCATGTCATTCATAATGTCACTTTGAAAGATAAACTAAATTAATTTGATTAAAGCATTATAAAATAAAAATAAAATATGTTTATTATGGAACATAAGATACATGTATCACTTATTCCACGTCATAAGAAACTCTCGGTACTCTTTTAAAATAGCAAATCATCAAACAACACTTATTTTAAAACAAATATCACAAATTAATTAGAAGTAGCCTGTCTAGCACTAGTCCCAGGCCCTTTTATCGACTAGATAATCGTTGACTTTATAGTAAGCCTTTTTACACAGCTTTTCTTTAATACATTTCTTAAATTTATTAAAAGGCAGAGATAAAAGAGCCTCTGGGATTTTATTAAAGAAGAGTATCCCTTTTCCCAAAGAATAATTACTAACTTTAGATAATCTAGTACGGGGAAATTGCAGCCTGCGTTTGTTCCGAGTATTAACATTGTGCGTATGTTCTATTCTAGTAAACTTATCACTATTTTTGTATACATACATAATATTTTCATAATATTATACAATATACAGGAAACAATATTAAGACCAAAAGCAAATAATTGTTTCACCTTTCTCACATCAACACCGACTATGCAAAAGACTCACTTATGAACGTCAACAGAAAAGATTATTCTAAATTTACATTTGCCACCAGTTTGCAAGTCAAGGGCGTAGAGCGGACAAGAAGAACTGGCAGGAAACAAAAAAAATGCCAAAATCCCTTTTAAGACAATTTTGCACGCCATCATGCGTGGCAGAATATGCGAAATTCTGATTGTACCACCATAACATTTTTGTACCATATTCTTGCAAATAAATTATTATTGACATTCAACATATGCTCACCTATCCGGTTCAGTAACGGGACGTTTCTCAGTCTTGTCCCTCGGCCAGACACGGTCCAGCGTGACAATGGCACGTCGGTTCAAACCTTCGCCCAAAGGCGGCTTCTCGCTGTCCTCCGGGTAGACTATCACCTCCTTGTTCAGGAAATGTACTGCAATACCATTTTAGTTAGTTAATATCAAATAAGAGTATTATGATATCATAGAAAACATCCTTAGTTCTTTGTATGGGCGAGGATATATGTTTTTTTTTATCTATGTAAGGAAAACATATATTTTCCTCTACAAACTCTTGTCTATATTGTATTTTATATAAACTCTTTTGTTATGTTGTCTTTGCCGTCTAATCGACAATGTTTAATTTATGTCACTTGACATAATATATGTAAGATATTTTAATTTTTTCCTTATATTATTTTACTTAATAAAACCTAGAATATAGGCTTTAAATGTTGTTTCTTTTGTATTCACTGGTGAATGAATAATTTGTAAACATATACAGTCAAACTTGGGTAATTGAGAACTGGATAAGTGAGAAAACTCTATAAGTGAGAGTAATAGCCGGGACCCGTTATTTTATGCTCCCAAAACCTCTATTAGCGAGAATCAGAAACTTCTGTAATAGACAGTAGTTTTTCCCTCATGGACCTATGTATTGAGACTGCTACTTATCTATACCTCTATAAGCGACAGTCGAGCTTTAATTTATTTTTATTATTTAGGAGGAACTATAGCTACAATAAACATACACACATACAGTAACAAATTACAAATTTGACATTTTCATTCATTCAGGATTTTTTAAAGTGTAAATAAGTTCTACATAAAATAAAATATATATGTACATAATAATGTTGTGCACATTATGCACATAATTTTATCATATTACATATTTACTAAATTGGTACTTGCTGAGACTTGTTATTGCTGCGTACCCCTATAAGAGAGAAACGCTACCCATGTACCGGCATTAGCGAGAAACTCGTGTTAGTGAGAAACCTCTATTAGCGAGAATGAGATTGTGCTCCCTTGAACTCTCGCTTATCCAGGTTTGACTGTACTTTAAAAAAATTGTAAGTTAATAGATATTTCTTTTGTAAATAAATGTTTTGTATTCACAGAGAAACGCAGTTGCGCCTTATTTATTCCCAGTATAAGCGATTGATACTATTATATATATTTTGTCTCTGCACAAAGACATTTAACATTACGATCTAGCCTAACTTAAGACTAATAAGTAATTTAAGTCTAACCTAATTTACTAAAAAGGATATTTAATATGAGAAAGTGTCCAATAACACTACTTAGTCTCTACTCTCTATTAAGGGAAAGTCACTGTTCTTGTGTACTATTCATATACAAGAACAGTGTATTCACTAATATTTGAATCAAATCAAAATCAAAATAATTAAAAAGTTAAGCGTACGGGCATCCAACAATAAGTCAGAAAGCATTGTAACACTGGCGCAAGCACTACTCCCAATTTTCCTGCGTGCACGCAACACATACGCGCGGAACGAGCAAGGCCAGTTTTTGTGTATCGATAATGTTTAAATAAAAATATTAAGATAATAGATATAATATGGAATTGATATATAACATGTATATGATACACGTGTCTTTTAAATAAATATAATTAAACTTAATTTTAAAAGTGAGACCTGAAAGATGACGCATATCATTTTACTTATATTAATATTTATTTTTTTAGTTTGATCTAACTAAAATAGATAGTTTCTCATTTTAAATGAATATTTTTTATTTGATATTTCTAACAGATGGCGCTGTGTTGAAAGTACCAACGTTTCACATAAGGTACAATTTGGCATTACCACCAAAAAAGCATGGTGGTCCCCATGACTGGTGTTCTCCTACCGTTTCCCTTGAATATGTTACTACTATGTACAAAACAAAGTATAAAATAAATAATACCTAAAGCATCCAAATCCATGTCGGTGACATCAATTTCACAGTCATAATAGACATTTCCATAATTCTTTCTGCCGATCGTCAAATGCGGTACCACGCATTTACCATCAGGACCGATGTATTCTGCAAAAGAAATATATGTTTTATAATTTACAATACGACTATTTTCCGCCAAAATTAATTGCTGTTACGTAAATTATACTTATTTATTAAAGTTCACCACATTATATATTGCATCATGTAGTCTATTCTAAAATACATGCCAATTATGGTGAACATAAATGTTACTAAATTTTTTTTTAAATAAAATAAAAATCATTTAATCACATAGGTAACATAATGTACACTTATGACTTGTCAGTAAAGAATTACATATTAATACTTCTTATTTTACATTTACTGCCAGTTCTCAAATCAAGGGCGTAGAACGGGAGAGAAGAACTGGCAATAAACTCTCCGCCACTCTTTTTAATCGCCATTTTTTTGTTTTACAAAATGTTTGTAAGGAGCTGCAACCATTACACCATGTCCCATGTGACATTTTAAGTAATTAATAATAATAACATAAATTAAAAACAAAGATTTGTCCTCTATCAGCAGAAGGCATGGTGAAATAGGAGCACGCACTTACATTCTCTTGGGAACAACACGCAAACACATAGTCGAAATAACCAACATCACCGCATACACGAATTCAAGTAAGACCAGTCACCACAAGCAGCACCCGTTCACGAGCATGACGCATGGCCAGCCATCGGCCCACATTTAAAGTTGCTAATAATTTTTTTATCATTTAAATTAGTTTAATGCTTTATCAAGAGACAATTCGTTCGTTGTTGGTTACTTCGTGTCCATAATAATAATAACAAAGTATCAATAGTCTCTATAATTGTCCACCACCGGAATCTCAAAACAGTTACACGAAGCTATCAAATTGTAAGAAATCCATTTATATCCAAAAAGTAATATTAAATACGGGAAGAATAACCTGCAAATTTCTACAAGTTAGTAACCCATTAAAAACTGTGTTCACTTGGCTTCGGCCAGTGTGCAACAGTCTACGAGGATCATGAATCGATTCTGAGCTGAAAAATCTACGGAATGAAAAATCTGAGTTTAAAATACGGTCCGAAGGGCCAAAGATATGAAGCTTGGTTTTAAAAGAAAAATGTTCCACTGAAACGTTGAGGTGCCAAATACCAAAATATTAACATAATATTGTTAATATTGTTTCCAGCAGTCGTCTCGGTTCGTCCGTTGGCTCCAACGTACGTACTGACGCTAGCAACACTTATTAAATGTCAGAATTCTACGTAATGAAAAATCAGACTATAAACATAATAATAATAATGAAGCCCGTTTATTTCCAATCGTTAAATATACAATATTCTTACTTTCTTCTGTACCAATAACGCCCATTCACGCCTCTTAAGCTTTTCCAAATATTGTTTTTTATCCATTCGCCTCCTTCAATATACATGAGTCATAAAATAAAATATGTACTTACTAATCATCTCTTCCAACGATGGAATAGTGTAATACCCCGGTCTGGTCAATTTAACACCAGCCGGATGAGGCGGTGCCTCAACTGGCGCATCGTGGGTGGACACATTTTCATCTACTAGAAAGAAAAATAGTCTAATTATCGTCAAATAATAATTAACCATTCCGGCTCGAAGGATCACATAAAAATTATTGTTAATTAATATTTTTACTTAATTGTATATGTCACAATATACGTAACTGGGAAGTCAACTGGACGTTCTCGCAATGATTTTGGTGATATTTTAATATCAATAGGCAACACAATTACTGTTTAATGTCGGACATTATATGTGACAGGAGACCTGATGTTAAGTGATACCGCCCATGGACACTCACACTTCCAGAACACTCGCAAGTCTGTTGCCGGTCTTTTAAGAATTGGTACGCTCTTATCTTGAAGTCAATAATATGGATTATTCAATACAAAATCTAAATTATTCTAAAAATCAACTAAATTATGACTAAATTGCAACTTTTATGTGTTTGAACGCTAACCTACATCTACACACACAATTAAAATCAACTGTCAAAGCTACAACTACAATTTGATAAGCTAATAACAAGTAAATAAACCATAAACGCCTCTTATCTGATGAGCAACCTTCTCACAAGTGTAACAAGGGGTCTGACCGCCGAAGCGATGGGAACAAAATTGAAGACACTGGGACTCACCTATACATATAACATACATTCATTTTAAAATGTGGCGTTTAAAGGTCGATTCACATATATCAGTAAATCCACAGTTCCGACACAGTACCGGCACACTGCGAAATATTCTTTCATACATTCTCTATGAACGCATCCCCACTTGTCAGTGTCAGTGACGACACCGGCAATCACGGATGGATTCGTTGACAACGATATTTTTTGTCGGATCACCGACGCCGTGTTATTATTTGTTACATTTGCAGAAGAATATTGAAGCAGGTCTCTGACATTATTTTTTTCTTTCATCTTTAACTAATTCTTTGTTAAATGTGATGAATTCTTCTTCCGTATCTTAATTGCCATGCTTCATGTACCCATTTTCTTTTTTTTCCTTGATGCTGCTCTTCTTTGTCTAAAGCAACAGCTATCATTGCTAGCTCCGTAATATTGAACAGAGCCATAAACACGTTACTTGACGCCGGACACGTTTTCACTTAATCTCCGTAAACTGAGTACTGACATGTGTGAATTAAATGACTGACGCAATACTGTATCACTGATACAATACTGTATCACTGATACTGAACTGAGCGGACACGTTGACGGAACTGTGGCTTCACTGATACATGTGAAGCGGCCTTAAACCCTATATGGCAAGTAAACAATATTTTTCGTATCAGTTTTATTAACAGGGACAAAAACCGACCCAATTGGGCCATTGTAAATATATATTTCATTTAACTCCAAGCGAATACGAAAAGTATATTTTCACAAAATTTGTTAATTACATTAAAACCTGTAAGATTATTTATTGTTTAAAATCAAAGGACAAAAAGAGATTACAAAAGAAAAAGATACTTACTATAGAAAGTGTCGATATTCTCCTTATCAGTGGAAGTGGAACTCTCTTTAACTCCTAGCTCTCTTACTGAGTTCTCAGCTAATTCCGCGTTTGACACTTGCTGTTTTCGGAGCGGTTTTGTTGTCAACCTGTTAAATTTAAATACGATTTAAGGTTAACAGTACGTCCCGGCTTCGCACGGCGTAATTTGTTATGAAATCTTAATATATATAAATTACGTGTCACATTGTTTGTCCGCTATGGACTCCTAAACTACCGAACCGATATCAATCAAATTTGCACACCGTGTGTAGTTTGATCCAACATAGGATAGCTTACATCTCAATTTATACCCGCAATATTATTTTATTACAAAATATTTGTTTATTATTTGATAGTTACAATTCTAACAGATGGCGCTGTGTTGAAAGTACCAACGTTTTCACATAAGCTACAATTTAATGAAATAACCACCAAAAAAGCATGATGGTCCCCATGACTGGTGTTCTCCTACCGTTTCCCTTGAATAGTTAACTACTATGTAATACAGCAAAAATCTTAGCCACAGCAACGCTTGGCCGATCTGCTAGTAGGTAATAAATATATAGGTAGCGGAGTGTCTCTCTATTGCATATGGTTCATAGTATATACAATATATATATATATATTTTTGTCAAAAATTGTGGCACATTATCGAAGATTTCAAACGGATCCCGAAAATATTCTATAGCCTATATTCATCTGGAACAATGTAGTATTGTTTTTTTTATTATTTTTTTTGTAATGGTACAAACATTCGAACATACATTTTTGAAATAAGTTTATATATTTTTTTTTGATTTAATTATAAGATCTACAAACATACTAATATTACAAAACAAACACTGAGACGTACAGAAAGCCAAACAGTTACATAGATAAACAATTTTATACATGAAAAAAAAAAATAATTTAGAAAACGAAATTTAATATTTAAAACAACAAATAATACTAAATATTTCGTATCACTTTAGAATTTTAAAACTGACTGTTTAGATCTCTCGACGAAAACAATACGATTTATTGCTACTACATGACATCATCTCAAATAAAATAAATTGCATCTCATTTCTCGAAAAATTTCCGTTCCATGTTTCTACATACAACGACAAATATTTAAGCCTTGACTTGTTTAAGCTATCATGGAATATGCTTCAAAGGAGTATTAAGAATTTCCATAGCGGTAAATCACCTACTCCATGAGTACACCCTCACTTACTTTGTACCCTCACGTACACGTACGGTATGTACGTACGCGTACGTCAGGGTACACGTGAACTCTTTCACACCATCACACATCACAGCCAAATTAGGCATTACTAAGTTAAATGTATTGAATAATTTTTATTGATTTATTCCTTGCGTAATGTTTGAACCAAAATCAAATCATTTATTTCAATTAGACCACCTAAAATGGCACCTTTGAACGTCAAATAAAATATAAAGAAGTTTCTAGTTGCCTTCCAAAGGTAGATTTGATGGCTACACTTACTCTTTTAAAAATGTATAATTGTTTATTTTTATAATTGTTGTTATAATATAAACAGTATGATTACAAAATAAATAAATTATCATATGTGGATCCAGCTCTTGGAAAAAATATTCTTGAACCAATCCAACATTCGTTCTACAAACTGAAAAAGAATAGAAGAAAAAACTTACCAACTAGCTCTTCGTTCAGATTCGAGGGCCGGCATTTCTTTATCTGTAAATAAAATATCCATTTTTCAAGTGAATTAATTGCATTTAATGTTTTGTTACAATTCACTTATAATATAACGAAATAAACATATGTGCATCAAATACAAAGTCACCAAGCGCACTGACCACGTACCACCGGTTACCTGCGTACACGCACACATTCGCGCGAATCCTGCAAGACCAGTTTTCTGTAGGTACGTGCGAGTGACGATAATATGATATCGATGTAAAGTGTCGACAAAAAATACATTACATGTATAATGTATATGCTACAAAAATATTAAATTAAGGGATCACCAATAAGCGTTTTTATATTCTGAAATAAAAATCAATATACTAACCTAGATTGGGATATAACCGTGGCGTTTCACTATCGATAGGTTTCTCTTCATTCCACGAATGTCTCGAAGGCCTGTAATTAGAAAAATATTTATTTTTGAAGTGAAACTTCTTTATCGGGGTTGGAAAAAAATTTAGTGTAACATTTTTGCGTTACGCGTCACATTTTTCCGTTACGCGCCATGTTGCTTTTTGAAGTCAAACTTCTTCATCGGCGTTAAAATATGACATATAGTGTGTTTTTGACTTTGAAGTTTGACAACGGATTACATTTTCTACTTGAAATTTGCTAATCGCAATTTGCAGCAATTAATTTGTAAATTGTATGCTAGGCAGTGTATCAAAATTTACTGTGTTTAAAGAAAAAGTTTCTAATAAGGTCATAAAGAAGTTTCACTTCTTACGTGTGTACACCTAGTACACGCACACATTTTTTATTATCACAAACTGCTGTGGTCTCTGGCAGAATGACCAGCGCTGTGGAAAATTCTGCTCCTCACCATAATGCTGAGCCAGGGCTAGTGACAACCACAATACACACGTAAAATGTACCTTGTTTCTAAAAAAAAATTGATTTTTCTTTATTTTTTGATTATTATTATTTTGTGTGTTTCTGTGTGTGTTTCGTTACGTTATGATTCAACGGGACACCCAAAATAGCAGTAATCGCAGCCCATGAACACCCGTTTTAGTGGGTGCATTACCACCTTACACATATTAAAAACTTACAACTTTGAATTGTAATTCCAAAAACATAACATTTGTAATTGTTAAAAGAGTACCGAGAGTTTTTTACGCCGGCTTTTTCTCTCGGCCTACACCCCTCTGTCTTTGCCGATGAGAAGGGATTAATAATTTAATGACGTGGAATAAGTGATACCTGTATCTTATGTTCCATAATAAACATTTTTTTTATCAGAAATAGACAGACATTCTTTCGAAGTATGCTACGTCATCGTGGATTCGGACTGTGTCACGTGACTGACGTATACATTTTTTATTCATGAATTTTATGAAAATTAATGAATATTTACAAGTTATCTTACTCCTTAACGCATTCTTAAGTCTTGCTTTATACAGATTATTCTCAATAACACTTTATTTTTATATAATAGACTATAAAACAATGCACGTGATCAATCTTTTGTCACGTTGACATTATATGCGAACAGACTCTTTAAAGTAGTTATATTTGATTGATTCTTGACTTTGGATGAATAATTTTGATTGCTTTTTATAGCTTAAGCAGTGTTGGCTTAGTGGCTTCAGCGTGCGACCGTCATCCCTAAGGTCGTATGTTCGATCCCTGGCTGTGCACCAATGGACTTTCTTTCTATGTGCACATTTAACATTCGCTCGAACGGTGAAGAAAACCTGCTTGCCTTAGACCCAAAAAGTCTACGGCGTGTGTCAGATAGAAGGCTGATCACCTACTTGCCTATTAGATTGCCAAATGATCATGAAACAGATTCAGAAATCTGAGGCCAAGAACTAAAAAGTTGGTAGCGCCACTGTTTTATTTATTTGGTTTATGGCTTATACATTGATATCAAAACCCAAGATGCCAGTCTCGAATAAAAGTAACGCTCGAAAGTGTCCCGAAACACTATTCTGTCCATAACAGTATATGTTACAAGCATATATTATTGCAAAATCAACCTTACGCGAATTGCTTAAAGTTGTTATTACAACGCAGTGTATACGTACTTAAAGCAATAAAATTTTACGACCGACCGTGGTCGGTAGGACAAGGTATTGAGTGGAGTCGAACATGACTTTTTTATTTACAACTATTTAACATAATTTTAAATTTATCCGACTTTTCGGGTGCTTTACAGCGTGAGTGGTACGTGACTGAAGACAAAAGGTGTTGGATGTTAAATAGTTGTAAATTTATAATAATACATAACTTTAATCCGGTTAAAAGTTTTTTCTTTAAATTAAAAAAATGTTAAATTGGCTACCTCCTCCTCTGACCCACACTTTATATAGCGTAAATATATTTGTCAAAAACTACACACAAAAAAGTTCAAGAGTACATAAATTTATTTATAAAAAAACACAAATAAATAACATCGACTCCACTTATAGACGCGAGACTATTTGAAATGAGCGCACAATTTAGAATGTTGCGCTTTTTTTGGGGGGGACGTTTTTTAGAGGTTGATTGTGCATCTTGGGTTTTTGTATATCAAGGCTTATACAGTTAAAGATTCAGAAGCGAGACTAAGTATATAAAAAACTAAAACTTTTTTTGACATACAAGAGTCATACTTAGCGTTAAGTTTCTATATAACCCTTAATATCCAATTTATTATGTAAACAATATTGCTATGCGATAATATATATAAAAAATCTTACCAGCCATTTTGTTTGTCTGTACGTAGCTCTATATCTGAAATTTCAAATTAGTTATACGTATATAATAAAATTAAATCTTAGATTTTTTTGTACCAAAACGAAATTCATAAAAAGTTACAATAAATATAATTTAAATAATTTTTATTTGTATTATAGTAGGTTAAGAATATTATAAATACTGTATATTTGTATCTTGGAAATAAATTAATTCATAAAAAAGAATATAAATTTACTAACCACTATTCTGCTCTCGCAACACCTCCTTACTCTTACTGGGGAAATTATCTCTTTCTCTTTCTGCTGTAATGGAGCCGTCCACCTGACTTGTTCCGTTTACTTGAGGTGAGTCACCTAGGGATCTAGAAAATTTAAAAAAACTTTCAGATTAAATCACATTATTTACAATAAATTATTAATAAAACAATGATAGCTTTAGTTTTTTTTTAGATACGCTTTCATTCGCGTGGATTTCATGAATTTTGGCCAGATTTTTTGCGAAATATTACAGAAATATTCGGTTAATTGACATAAAACTGTTATAAATTAAACACATAAACCTCCATCAGTCATTATCTATTGGTAAAAACAAAACTCGGTTTATTCGCTCTCGAGTAAATGGCGTTCAATTGGCGCTACTGTTAAATAAGAATAGCATGTAAGTTAAAAAGGTCAGTGAATAAAGGGTCCTTATTATTATTATTATTAAATGGCGTTCAAACAGACACGCGTTCAGCGGAATTCATTTTGTAATATTTGACCCTATTTTCATTTTAAGTTACACTTGGTACTAAGATAGCGATCAAGATGGTACGGTGATGCAGAGATGAGCAGAAACAAATACCTTAACTGTTTTTTTGATCAAGCTTTATTAAAAACAATATTTTTTCTCATGCTTCCCAACTACTTTGAATTGATATAAAAATAAATAAATCAGTGGCGCTACAACCTCTTTAGGTCTTGGCCTCAGATTTCTGAAACTGTTTCATGATCATTTTTAACTGTGTCCAGTTTGGTGTTTCAGCTTGTGTTTCCACTTCTTTCTATTTAGGATCTTGTATAGAATAAATAAATAAAAAATAGGCAAGTAGGTGATCAGCCCCCTGTGCCTGACGCATGCCGTGGACTTTTTGGATCTAAGGGAGATATCGGTATTGCTCACTTAGATCTTTCTCTGACTTCACCGTATCGAGCAAAACACAGTCGGTATTAAAAGAGCAAACTACGAAGGAAGTCCCATTGGCTTGCTTAATCTCAAGTCCAGGGAGATCGACGACCTACCAAGAACTTTGACTAGTAAGAGTAACAGAAAACACTAGGCCAACATCTGCTTTACCATTCAATCTGATATGGACATTGTTAAAACAATTTTTTACGGTGTTGCAATTATATTTGGAGTTACTAGACTTTGGGAAAAATAGAATTTGAATTCAAAGAAATTATAAATGACTCCTTGATGAATTACCTGTGAATGCATGTAAAACAATTATACATTATTAGTTGGTATTTATGGTTGTTTATCTATATCTATTCATGTAATGCTTCAAAGCCATTTTTGAATCTTAAACTAGGCTGGTGTCACTTGTATGTCACCAGGCCCCTGGCAATTGGCAGATTTGTGACAACGAGAATCATTAACTATAACCTAATATCTAATAATATTGCGATGTTAACGTAATAAAATTACTGTGATTTTTAATTAATTAATAATTTTCTGACAGCTATCTTTGTGAATTTCCAGTGATGGCAATAATAAATTAAATGGGAACACATAAATCAATTAAATATGGATCTGTAACATCTGAGATCTATAAATATTTGTTATTGTTACTTAATGTCAGTTATTAAGTCACAAAGTACCATCTGCGATAAAAAATTAATATGATATCTCTGACATTCGAAGAACTCTAGCTTGGGCTTACCTTCTTGCACCGTTAAAATGCTCAATAACTACGAAATCATAGAGTAACCTCTGTACAGGAAATCAAAGTTTTTGTCGTCCGTTAAGTCTCAGTCAAAGGTTCACAAATGGCAACAATATCTTCCTAAATTCGTTTCCCAAGATGTTTTCCCTTCACCGTTCGAGGAAAGTTAAATGCGCACCTCTAGATTCGAAGTCCATTGGTGCACAGGATTTCAACAAATCGAACACAGGGGGAGTCGCAGAAGCCTAGGCCACAACATTCGGTAGTGAACTGATTGGCATTTTTAGGAGAAAACAATATTTTACGTGAGTGCTTTTTTAATACCTAAAATTTAGATGTTATGAATTGATGAAGCTTCGCGTCTTTTTCAAACTATTATCCAGCGGTATAGGGCCGTAGAAACAATCTATTCCCTGTAAGGCTTCAGATTCATTTTGTCTTCTAGGCTGGTGTGCTTTTCCAGGCCATCGAATAGTGTTTTCTGAATTGATAATTTTTATTTATATTTAATTATTCTATAATAATTGTAAAACTTATTTTAATTCATTAGAATTGTCACATCATTTTTGAGATTTCAGAGCGGCAACTTTTTGTACCGGGAACATAATTGCAATTTTAGTACTGTGATCTGAACATCTGATGTTATACATACGTTTTATTAACTAAATAAATAAATAAATAAGTGAGGTGCTCCACATTTAAAGTGGGTTTACGGCGACTGATAATTACGTCCCTTTTCAACACAAACAGCAAAAAACGCACAAGTAAAGATAACATTTTTTAAAAGGTTTACTAAACGATGAAGTAGGCAGTGTTACCAGCTAAAGAATAAAATAAAGTAACTAAATTTAATATATTGTTCGTGATATTGAAATATTTGCTATTTTTAAGTAAGTAAATATTTAGATTTACCTTTTGTAGGTAAAACATAAAAAAATACGTAGCATTTTATTGTTTATTGCCCTCAAATGGGTCAAATTTGTCCCATGATACATATACTATTTATGTCCTATCCTGTTAATTTGTCTTGTGTGTTTGTCTTTTTAAGAAATAAAATAAAGTTATATTATTATAATTCTATCAACTCCGCCGACTCCATGGCTGATGAAGCATAAACTGCGTTTAATTCCCGACAGGAACAATAATGTTAGAAGGTACATACAAACTCAAAATAACTTTATTCATATAGGTAAACAATTAGTACAATTATACGTCAACAGAAAATATGTTAAATTCATCCTAAATTTACATTTACTACCAGTTCGCAAGAGGAACTGGTAAGAAACTCTCCGCCACTCTCTTTAATCGTCAAGCCAACACATAGATCATTAATAATAATATTTAGAATTAGAAACAATTGAAAAACTTTTCACAGTATTAAAAAAAAAACGTTGCCGACTAAAAAGAGGTGGTGAAAGTTTCCTGCTAGTTCTCCTTCTCTATTTATTTGAAAATATTGATTGATATCCTTTTTACCTTATCCTGCGTTACAGTCCTAGGCACCACTTTCAGTCTGCCTCCGGTGGGCGAAGTGACTCTGTAAGCGGCGTTACTGCTGTCCAACACCGCTTTAACAGCCGCTGGATTGGTCGGCTTTAACACGTCTTCGGCCGTTGTTGCTGTTAATTATTTGTGAAAAATAAATATATAAATAATATATTTTGAATGTTTGTATAGGCAAAATACCAGTGTCATACCAGGTCCATAATACGTATCTCCAGTCACAATAACGTTTTTTTATAAATACATATAGTATACAGATTTTCTTAGAGGCTCATCTGATGTTAAGTTATACTCGCGAGTGCGTTACCGACCTTTTAAGAATTGGTACGGTTTTCTTGAGGACCCTAAGTCGAATGTCAATCAAAGGTAATTAAAATATTGTATTTCGTTATGTAGTATACTCGTAATACTAAAAGTGCATGTATTTATAATGATAGACAGTCAGGCACGCCTGTCTAAAACACCCTCGTCTTGTTTAAGATCACCATCATGTTATAGTACCTTACAAGTTCTTTGTGTAATAGACATTCTGTTATAAAGGAAAACATTTGCATTGTGTTATTAATAACTAAACTCAAAAATTACAAGACCAATTTCCAAAATATTTTCAAAAACACACAGTACATAACTCTAATTCTAGTATAGATCACATGGACTCGGTGTAGTACTTGAATAAAGATGTTTTTACTCTTAATATATATAAATTACGTGTCACGTTGTTTGTCCGCTATGGACTCCTCAACTACCGAACCGATATCAATCAAATTTGCACACCGTGTGTAGTTTGATCCAAGATAGGATAGCTTACATCTCAATTTATACCCGCAATATTATTTTATTGCAAAATATTTGTTAATTATTTGACAGTCACAATTATAACAGATGGCGCTGTGTTGGAAGTACCAACGTTTCACATAAGCTACAATTTAATGAAATAACCACCAAAAAAGCATGGTGGTCCCCATGACACCAGTTCACCTACCGTTTCCCTTGAATAGTTTGCTACTATGTGATATAACAAAAACCTTAGCCACAGCAACGCTTGGCCGGTCTGCTAGTTCTAATATAAAACATAATAACATGGACTTTTTTTTTTTAATCGAGCGCTTCGTGCAATCAGTCTTCTGACTATGAGCAGATGAGTTGTAGGACAATGACATGGACTTAGTGTAGTACTTGAATAGAAGATTTTTTTTTTTTTAGATTAGTTTATTTATTTTTTTATTTTAGTAGTTTTACAGTTCACACAGACAAAAACTTTCTTCTAAATAATATTACTTACATGTGTCCGGCAGTAAATCTTTAAAGAGAGGCGAATCACCATACGGCCTGGCTGCTAGCGTCAGTATTTGCTCGTGTACGTTGGAGCCCACGGACGAACCGAGACCACTGCTGGAAACAATATTGTCGATATGTTAATATTTTGTCAACGTTTCAGTGGCCATTTTCCTTTTTAAAAAAAGCTTCTTGTGTCCGACACATGTTAGGCCCTTCGGACCGTATTTTAAACTCAGATTTGTTATTCTATAGAATTCTGATATTTCATAAGTATTGCTACTAAAAAAATTCTACACCGAAAAAGGTACAAATTTGACCCATTTGAGGGTAATAAAAAGTTAAATGCTACGTATTTTTGTTTTACTTACAAAAAGGTGATCTTATACAAAAATAAAAAATATATCAATATCACGAACACTATACCGAATTAACTTTAATGACTTTATTTCATTCTCTAGCTGGCATCATTGCCTACTAATTCCAGGTTTAGTAAACCTTTTCAATAAAATAAAATATTATATTAACTTGTGCATTTTTTGAGTAATTTATTGTGGAGCACCGCACTTAATAAAATGGATACATTCACTAACAGATAAAATGTATGTATAAAGTGAGATGTTCAGACTCGTAATGAAATTAAAAATATAACTTACCCGGGCATCAAACTAGTATTGGCATTGTTCTGTCCCAAGCCGAGGCCTGTTCCACCCAACGAAGAGTTATTGTTGAAGAGACCTCCACCCAAACCTGTGTTGAGACCTGAAATAAATAACAGTTGTGCATGGGGGCCGTTCATAAAATACGTCACACTAAAATCAGCTATTTTTACCCCCTCCCCCCCTATTGTCACGCTGTGTCACACTTTGTGTGACCCCCCCTAGAAATATTTCGTCACAAAAACTAAGGACAACCTGCTGAGAATGATAAATTCTAAATGATAGTACACAAATTCTGAAAATTAAAAATATTTATTTAGTTATAATAAAATTTAAATAAATTAATAAATATCTTTCATAACGAACATATATATAATATTTCTATTATTCAGAAGTCCAAGGAATTTCTAATAATGATAAACGGCGAACGTCACGTTGCCGTATACCCCCCGTCCCCCTTGTCACATCTTGTCACACTCAGCCAGACCCCTCCCCACCCTTGTATGCGAACGTATTTTATGACAAAAAATATATTTAAAAAATGTTTTCCTAGGCCTTAAGAAACGCCCAGTAACTTCAATAAAATATGTGATAAATACCTGTTTGAAAAGTATTATTTTGCTGTGGGAATAGCGATGAGCCACCACCTAGTGTCGTTCCAAATGTATTCGGTTTCGTCTGGAATGACGTACCGAGTCCAGTACCCAGACCTGCACCTGCACAAACACAAAAACACAAGATTATTAAGTCATTGCATAGATTTTATCGCGGGCTTTGACCGAATCAAGAAATTCCGTAACGAAAAAACCTAACACACGATGACGATAGGTGCGGCAAATACGCGTTAGAGTGGGACAGAACGCATACTGCGTATTCACATCTCTCTGACGAGATCGGTGACGTAGCATGAGCGCGGCCGGTGCAGCTGGTACGCGTTAGAGTGAGACAGACTATATAGGCGTTTTAGTATGAGTCTGATAGAGTGGTAGATTGAAATAATATCAAAGAAAAATAAATACTGCATAAATTAAAAATAAATAAATAATTACAACTGCATAAGTTGATATAAAATGCTATGCAATAGCTTTACCGCGGCAGTCCCCGAGTGCCACACGTTTTTTATTCTTATTTTTTTAAATTACTATATACTTTTACACAAGACTGCAAATTTTTACTATTATTAATATTTTCTACTAAGAAAATAATAATAGTATAATTATATTATTTTTATGCGACTGAAGCGCAAACTAGCTGCTGTGGTCTCTGGCAGAATGACCAGCCCTGTGGTCTGCTCCTTAGCATAATGTTGAGAAGGGCCAATTACAACAACAGCACACACGCATTACACACTTGAAACGAACCTTCTTTAAAAGATTTTTTTTTATTGATTATTATTATTTTGTGTGTTTCGTTAGTAATAAATGATACATATATGTCTATGTCTAAGCAAAATGTACCTATTAAGAAAAAAAATTATGAAGAGACAGAGAGAGACAAACATGTGAGGCCAAGGGTTCTTGAGGAAATCGAATCTAGGGCCTCAGCAAGACATGTTCGTTTAACCACTACACAATAACTAGAGATGTGATTGCTTTTGGTACAAAAACATTATTTCTATCCATTTGTTGTATTTTTTGTTGTTTTAAAGCTCTTAGAGGATTTTTGAAGTTTATTTATAATATTTAAGCAATAATAAAAAATGCCTTACCAAGGGTAGGCTGCGAGTTGAACCCAAACGTGGGTTGCGTGGTTGCCGGTTTTCCAAAAGTATTTCCGCCACCGAACAATGAAGTCGATGTATTTGTGCCGAAACCGCTAGATGTCGCACCAAATGCTGAAATGAAAAAATAATAATTTAGAATAAATTTTTCCAAATATGTAAAATATAAAGTACCTCAAAAACACAATTTTAAAAAAAACAAAAACGCACCTAATTGTCAAACTTTATTGTAATTATCTCTAATGTAATATATTTAACTTTTAAATGTTACATAAATACTAGTTACCCGACACACATTTTAAATTCAAAAAGAAAATCAAAACAACTAATTGTAAATCCAAATAAAATGTGTGTCAAGTATATAAAAATGTTCATCAAAATCAATCCAGCCGTTTAGTATACAGACAATCTCTATATCTTTGCTTAATATCCTAATCGCTTTAAATATCATGCAGGACAACGTCTGTGGGGTCCACTAGTATATATATAATTCTCGTGTCACAATGTTCGTTTCCGAAACGGCTGGACCGATTCTTATGAAATTTTTTATGCATATTCAGTATGTTTGAGAATAAGCTACTATCTATCTTTCAAACCCCTAAGTGATAAGGGGTATCCACCCCAAAATTTATTTTTTTATGATACAGCATACAAAAATACATACAACCCTTAATTGTCACCTCTCTACCATCAACCCCTATTATTTTATTATAGTAGATAGTTATTTTTATTGAACTAAAAAAATGTTTCCTAGAATTAATATACATGGCAAAACGACGTTTGCCGGGTCAACAAGTATATATATAAAGATTATATAAATCTTTAATAACATTTAAAACCCACTTCATATCTGTAATAAATATTAAATTACCGGGCGTTGCAGTGCCAAAAGTGGGTGCCGTGGTCTGCTGGGTCTTTGCCCCAAATAGGCCTCCGCCGCCGAACGAGCCGAAGCCGCTCGTGGCCGTGCTGCCAAAGGCTCCTGTCGTTGGCTTGGCTCCGAACAGACCGCCAGATTGCTGTAATTATATTACAAAGAATGTAAAACTGGTAAACATAGTTTTCTTTGCAAATTAGAATAGCTAGAATGTGCAATCGGCTGCCAAAAGATCTTTCTAAAAAGGCCGGCAACGCATTCACGAGCACTCTGGCATTAAGAGTGTCTATGGGCAGCGATCTCACTTAACATCTTGTCTGATTGCGCTCTGTTCTATAAAAAAATAAAAATTTAGATTTTAAATTCAGCCTTAGACCGAAAACGTCGACTCGACGGCTTTGTCAGGCACAGGAAACTGTTCACCCACAAGCCTATTTAATTAAAAAATGATCATGAAACAGATACACAAATCCGAAGCCCAAACCTAAAAAAATAGTTTAAAACATTATATTAACTTTTACAACTTTATATATATATATATTTTTTATTATTATTACCTGATTCTGTGTGGTAGGTCCAAAACCGAAGGTAGACGTGGTGGTACCGAAGGCCGGCGCTTGCGTCGTTGTAGCACCGAACAGGCCTGTACCTAAATTTTGTATAAATTGTTATAATCAAAAATCTATTATATTAATGTTATCTACAATTCTATAATAGATATTTGACTTAAACATACATTAGGAAAATTAAATGTCGATCAATCTAGTTTCAATAGCTGATGTTTTTTGTATGAAGTTTGACACATTTGATAGCGCTCAATAGGAGATTGTGACAGGAGATACGAATTAGAGGATCTCAGTGCATTATGGGCGTAAAATTAGCAAAACATCATCTTCTATTATTGCCATCTATGGACACTCCAATTTTTTTGTAAATTTACAATAAAATGTATTAAAATTTACATAAAATAAACAATTGTTCAATATTTATTTATTATCTGTGGCACACAGATACCATTATACATGTAAATGTCAAATACCACACTTGTCAAGTATAACTTGACATATCATTCATTTATTTCAAATTTAAATTCAAAATAAATTATTCCCGTCCCAGCTTTAAGACATCTTTCTTGGGGCCTAATAGCCTAGCGGTCTTATTAAGTGGCAGCTAGGTGAGGGGTACCGGGTTCGATTCCCGGTTCGAGGGCAAGTTTTAATTTAATTTAAATTTGTTCTCGGCCTTTGGGAGGGTTGTGCGGTACCGGGCGAGTGCTTAAACCGTACATGGAGGGCACGGCCGAATTTCTAAGGCAAAAAGCACGAATTATAAAAATCTTATACTTGACGCTGGCTAATGCACAAACCGTGCCAGAGCCATATTAAAAAAAGACATCTTTCTATTTTAAATGCATACTACGACTAAGTGTTGTAGTATTGTTTTTGAATTTTCATACTAGTTTTATAGTTAAATCATTAAAAAATCATCTTTATACTTAGTAAAGTAATAAATATCTTTTACAATCATATGTAACTCAGGGATATTATATTCTATTTGAATTTTGTATACTATTTTTTTAGTTTATTCGTTAAAAACCTCTCTATTCGCACTAAAAACTCAATAAAAAGCCAAGCAAAAGCCAGTCTTACCAGTGGTGGGTGTGGCTCCAAAAGCCGGTTTATTCGCACCAAATAGGCCAGTCGTTGTTGTATTTTGTGCAGTATTACCAAACGAGAACGTATCTAAAAATATAAAAAATATTACAAAAAAAGTAGACGCCAAAATTTTGGCAAATTCCTTCAAATTTCTGGCGAAAGTGGAGAAATAAAATCACCTATACTCTGATTTTTAATTACATACGTAGAATTCTGACATTTCATAAATGCTACTACTAAAAAAGTTCTCCACCGAAAAAGGGACAAATTTGACTTATTTGAGGGCAATAAAAAAATTAAATACAAACCTACAAAAAGGTAAATCTTAATATTTACTTACTCAAGTGACCAAATATGTACAAAAATAACAAATATTTCAATATCACAAACAATATATCGAATTAACTTTAATTACTTTATTTTATTCTTTAGCTGACATCACTGCCTACCAATTCCAGGTTTAGTAAACCTTTTTAAAAAAAAGATCTTATCTTTACTTGTGCGTTTTTTACTGTTTGTAATGAAAAGGGACGCAATTATCACTCGCCTTAAAACCACTTTTAATGTGAGCACCGCACTTAATAAAATATATACATTAACTAACAAATAAAATGTATGTATAGTCTCAGATGTTGACTCGTATTGAAATAAAAATAAAAAAAAGGTTTGTAATCTCTGACATGTCAAAAAATGATAGCTTTCAGAATTCTACGGATATTAAAAATCAGAGTATAGACTATAAACAATCAAAATCTAATTGATTCATACGAACACTAATAAACGTCAGTAAAATTTTTTTAAATCTACTGCCAGTTCTCAAATCAAGGACGTACACGAGAAGAACTGGCAATACTCCGTCATTCTTTTAAATCACCACTTTTTTTATATTTACAGAACAGGGTAAACAGTGCAGGAGGCTCATCTGACTTTAAGTGATACCGCCGCCCATACACTCAATGCCAGAGGGCTTGCGAGTGCGTTGCCGGCCTTTTAAGAATTGGTACGCTCTTATATAACTGACTGATGTTTAAGTTGGTAGTCATACAGCGCATAATAACACTAAGAATACGAAGGGCAGCCTGTGCGTCCACCACCAGCACCGCGAGCGCGTGTGGTACCTAGTACCATTGTGCCATTACATCATCAAAGTTAATATTGTAATTAAATACAAAAACTCACTCGTCTGTCCAAATCCACTGGTCGTTCCCAAATTTCCACCTCCGAACAGACTAGGTGCTGTGGTTGTAGCTGGTTGGCCAAATGCTGTAAAAAAAAAATTAGTGTGTGTATTTATGTACATGCGTTAGAAGTTATACTTCTTTGGCGTAACAAAATAAAAATATTTTCAAAAATCGTTTGTAGAAAAAACGACACTAACAATAGAAAAAATGTATCTAATACACTAAAAGTTTTATTATTACGCATTAGCTAGTTAAGGGTCGATTCGACCAAACTTCAATTTATACACGAGTAACTATACCAAGAATAATCTATTCCATGATTTTAATCTCGAGTAAATCCATAGTCGTTTGTCCACGTAATCGATAGTATAATTGCGCTAGGAATAACAATACGCGAATAGCAAGAGAATGGTGAACGAAAATAAAACCCGGCAAATAAATGTTGTTCTACAACGGGACAGTGTAAGAGCATACATCATGTCAACTCGATTTTGCCGTATTATAGAGTGAAAAAGTAGCTTTTAACAGGTGTCAAACAACAAAAAGTTTTTATTTCTTGTTTGTTTGCGGCTTTCGCCTAAAAAGGAACTTCTGTTGAGCCTAGTTGAATTTCATTCTAATATTATAGAAAATAAAAAATCTAAAAATAAATAAATAAATAATAAATTGTTTAAACGTTTCATTATACAATGCCAGACTATTAATTTAGTGCGTTGCGTTGACTTGAAATTAAAACACAGAATACATATTTGTGAAATGACAGAAATCAGCTGATTGGACTGACTGACGCCATTAAATTATTCTAGGAATAGCTGTTATTCCGTGCGAAACGGCGGTATAGTAGCTATTCCCGAATAAGCCCACTATTCTTAGAATGTGTAGTTGGTAAAACGTAAAATTGATTTACTCTCGATTAACTGACGATTTATTCTAAGATTAAGATTTACTCTTGTTTGGTCGAATCGGCCCTAAATAAAGTTTATTTAAATATCACAAAAAATTCTACATAATTGAAGAAATTGACATTTTTGAAGTGAAACTTCGTTAGGCGCATGAGGATAATTTTTTTACGGATGCGACCAATTGCGAGAGAGTGAGAGAGACCAATTGAGAGAGAGAGTGAGAGAGACCAATTGAGAGTGAGAAGGGTGAGTTACCTTATAGAAATTATATTTTTTAATTAAAATTTGGTAAAGAGAATTAATGAAATATTAGTATTACATATTTTATGCATAATAATTTATTTAAATCTCAAATGACGAACTGTACATTAAAATGCCACGTGTTTTTATTATCGAAGAAATAAATTAAATTTATAATTTGTATTAATTTTCGACACTTAATATTATACACATACATAGTATTGTGGCTAATATTTACATTGATTTAAGAGTTGCAGGCCCCACCTCACACATTTAAAATGACCATTAACGCCCGAACCCAATAACCTATCTCAATCCATAATCCACCATCTGAAATAGAAATCTTAATCCAAATGTTGTAAAGTGTGCCAATAACCAATCGACGGATTGTAATAGCCAACTGTCGATACAAGCTATCCATGGGAGGTCGTATCGGTGTCTGTGGATAGACTTTTGTATGAAAATGACAGTTGACGAAAGCTCGATTTCAACAGTTAATTATTTTAACAGATTTTAACTTACACCAGTTTTTTTAATAATTAAAAAACTGTTTGTTATGTTTAAACCTACACATGTATATTTTAATGTTATTTGTACGGTTTTATTTACTTTATTTGGTTTACATTGATTATACAATATGAGTGAAAACTCGGTAAAATGGAACGACAAAGAGCATTTTATCCGTCGCCAAAAATGGATTGTCTTCGTAGGGTTTGGCAATTGGGTTGCAGATAGGAGATCGATCGACTGTCACGGTCTGATCTCAGATTGGAAACAATCTGATTGTTGATTGATTATTGGGTTCGGGCGTAAATTAAACAACTGTGTCCTACGGGTTCACCGATTAGGATGTTAGCCTGATGTCATGAAATTGTAATTTTCGGTCAAAAAAAAAAATCGATGTAGTGCCTGAGACCGATCCTCCAACTAAACTGAGGAGAGCTCTCAATGGGAATTAAAATGGCGATTCATTGCCACGTTCCCGATTAAAACGTTAAAATTATAAAAGATTATTTATAAAACTCTTCATACAAAATAACTTACATGAATTAAAGAGTGGTTTAACCGTATTATCGGCCGGCTGCTGAAAGCCAAACATCCCGCCCGAGCTGCCCTTTCTTCCCGCCGTGTAGTCCTCAAAACGCAACTCTTCCAGGGATTTGCTTTCGTATTCCTAAAAAAATATTTTTGATGTTATACTTCTTTTACGTCACAAAAAACCGACACCCTGAAGTTAGCTATAGTCAACATTGTTAGTGTCGTTTTTTCTACAAACGTAGAATAAAATTTTTGAAAAGATTTTTTAAAGTTACACTTCTTTAGGCGTATTGATGAGAGTGAAATTTTACTTTTGAAATTTCACAAAATTAACAGAATGAAGTTGCCCACGGAAGATGCTACGGCATTGGACATAATTTAAAAACAACATCGAATAATAATAGAATTTATGTTACACTTAATGTAAGAGAATAATTATAAATATTTATTTATTTAATTTTTCAAATGTTAACTGAACTTTATTGACTATAATGACTCCTTTTTCAGTCTTTGATTATTTTATTGTAATTAATTTTTTGCATGCAATCAAAAACTATTTTTTATAATGCCAAATAAGGATAACTTTTAACATAAAACATTTTTTTTATTTGTAATTTTTTTTTTAAATACTCAAAACGACAATTTAATTTTCCAATAATTTCTTTATTATATCTGAATATATACCTTCATACATGTGATGCAATGGTGTCGTACATTGACGGTCTGTGATGCTCCTCCCTTGACGACGACATCAGTGCCTACCACGGGGTGAAACTTCACGTGGGCTGTACCGGCCGCTTGCTGCTGGCCGAACGCACCTATACATTTTTCAAAAGACAAATCACTATTTGAAAATATATTATTTATGTTAATTTATAAAAAACACAATCCTGTTCTAAGAGGTGACCCTAAATCGACAAGAATTCACAAAAAATGAATAAAAAAACATAAGAAAATGATTAGGATTTTTTAAATATTTATTTATTTATACATACATTATCCTTACAGACTATGACAATACGATAGCGTTGAGAGAAATAAACTTAATGTAATAAAAAATGATGCGTGTACTTATGTACGCGCGTAAGAAGTTATACTTCTTTGGCTTTCTTTATTTTTTTTTTAAATATTAAATAATTAATTATAAATATTTAACGTTAATAATTTAACAATATTTAATATAATATTCAATTATTAATTAATAATTATTATTATTTATTATATTATTAATTCAATTTAATAACTAGGTATGTTTCATAACCTTTTATCTAAGTAACAATAGGTCTTTGTGAAAAAGCATTGCTAAATTTCTTTGAAAAATAATTAAAACTCCTTTATTTGTTTAAAAGGTAAATGTCATTACGGTCATTCAAAATTCTTGGCATAGCTAAAAGAAGAAGTATAACTTCAAAAAATTCCAAAATAATAAAAATTTTGTCAGTTCAACTAACAAACAAGTATACAAAATTCAATCCCGATAATATCAAGAAAATATATATTTCATAAAAATTTCTTCAAAAATGCATATTATCTCATAGCATGAACAGAACTGTCTAATACGAATCTCGTACTGTCAAATACGTCAAACTTCAAACAAATGGTTTGACAGCTCTTGAATAGATGAAAACTTAGGTTTCATTAGATTCTTAAATTTCATTTCTAACATATATTGAACGAAGTATGTTTGAAGAGAAAAGAGAGTTAAAGAGTGAGAAAGAGCAAGGATGGCTGGCAGTTTCATTAATTCTCTTTGATACTAGTAAAAAAAAATATTTTTATACTATGAGTGTTTTTTGGAGTATATTACCGTACCCGACAGACGTTGGCCTGTACACACGTCTTAAATAAAATAAAAAAATAAAATTTCATCATAATCGATTCAGTCGTTAATTACAATAACACCCTCAGAAGATAAAGTATTATGTAAACAATTAATTTATGTATAAAAATACAAATTTGTACTTTTTAATTTAAATAAAACATATTTTTTCTTTAATCACACTCACCTGTGTTAGTAGAGAACAGTCCCCCTGAAGCTGCGCCACCGCCCAGAGTACTAGTGGGCTGGCTAAACAGCCCACCGCTTGTCGATGCACCAGAGCTGAACAGCCCACCAGTTGAAGGTCCTGCTGTCGGAGTACTACCAAAGCCAAAGCCTGGGGAATGAAACAATCAGTATATCAGCTTGTGACGAACAATAACACTCCCCCTTTCCCACCCGGTGATTTCAGAGTTATGTGTGACGACACACCACCAAACTCGGAGGCTGTGCGCGTGATAACAAATTTCCATATCTTATTATTTCTTCGTTATTTTCTTTACGCTAAGTTTCTTAAGTGAAACTTCTTTAGATAAGGGTAATTTTTTTACGGATGAAACGCAATAATAATAATACTAGCGTCACGAAGATGTGCAGCGTTTTTGTCGAAGAAAAGGGAGAGAGCGATTGAGACCGATTGAGAGAGAGTGAGAAAGGGCGAACGTAGCATCACGCACAATAGCCATTGGAGCGAGAGGTGGGAGAAAGCTATAGTGAGAAAGAGAGAGAGAGAGAGTAAGGGAGATCGAGAAAAAACACACGCTATTGGTTGATATGTGTTCGTTTAGTAGTTACATATTAGAACGTAAGATGGCATTTCTGTCGCATCTTGTGCAGTAAACGCAGATTTTTTATTTATTTATATTATCATTAGCACGTATACAGTGTGTAAACAGTGTGAATATAGATATACAAATACATGGAGTGATCATATTCTGGTACATGATCATCTATTGGGGCTTTTACCTCAGTAATAATTAATTTACAAATAAGTTTCACTTCTGACATGTGCACTTTGTACGCACGCACCTTTCTTTTAATTGCTTTCTTCTTACGTTTCATTTTTACCTTTGCTTTAGTGTGCTGTATGAATTATTTCAATAAAAGTGTTTGTAATTTTATACCAGTGTTTCCCAACGCGGGGCCCACGACCCATAGGGGTACAATTAAAATCAGATATAATACAACGTGAAGACTTAAGACTGAGGCTAAGGAAATAGAAACCTAATATAAAATCTCTGTGCAGCAAGCATCTCACTAAACTAATATAGAAAAACTAAATTGTGCGTGTACTAGGTGTCCTACGTAAGACGTTGAACCTTCTTTATGATCTTATTTTTCGAAAAAAGATCGATTAGCATTTACAGCAAATTCGTAAATTAGATAAAGTTTAACCAAAGGCTTTTATTGCCATCATGACGGGAATACAAGTTTTGTGATTCTAAACCTTATACCACAAGATTATTATTGCTCCATTTCCCAAAGAACGATTACTATCATTGAAAAAGTGATCATTCAAATCGGTCCAGCTCCCGTACGTATAAAGAAGTTTCATTCACGCCGATAAAGAAGTTTGACTCAAACAGCACATGGCAACCGAAAAATTACCTAACAAAAAATTTACACTAAAGATTTTCAACCCTATAATTAATAAATAATAAACCTATAATTTGAATTATATATAAATTATGTATGTTATATAGGAGGGCATACGAATTTTTGGTAGGCTACCCCACTGAAGTATTTCCGAACCAATTCGACTTAGGGTCCTTCAAGAAAAGAGCGCCCCAATATTTAAAGGCATCGCACTTGCGTGCCTTCTGGCAATGTCAGGACCATGGGTATTACTTAACAACAGGTGAGCCTGTGGTGCTCAGTTGTGGATCGACGAACATTCAGGTGATATATAGATATGTTTATAGGTATGCTGTTCTGAAGAAACTTTAAAAAAAAAAGACGAGGCACTCACCAGCTGGTTTAGCGCCAAACGCCGTATTATTTTGAGTGTTCCCAAAAAGACCAGTAGACGCAGTGTTCCCTCCAAAAAGACCTCCAGTAGTTGGACTTGCGCCAAAGGATCCAAAGCCAGTGGAGCCGAACGCCGGAGTGGGGTTGGCAGCAGTGGCGCCTCCAAATAGGCCTCCAGAGGTGTTGGTTTGACCGAAGAGGCCTGTACACAGTATACAATGTCAATCAGTGGTTCTAGAAGTAATGATGATCCATTCTATTCTGATTTCTTTACAGCATCACAAGTAGATACGCGTAATGATGATAAGAATAAGACGGGTAGAGATTTTCAAAAAACTTTGCATTTGAAAATTTGGGAATAAATCATCCTAATTGATTATGATATTTGCCACTAGCTGGCGTATAAGTCAAGAAGCGTGGAGTATATGACAATTGACATATACTTACGACCAATCCGAATTATTATTTTTAAATAGCGGAAACTACACAGACTAACTAACTACACAAGTAAGCGTTACTTCCGTAAGAAAAAAAATCTGAGTTACTCCCTAGTAGCGCCTAAAGAAGTTTTACTTCAAAAAAAATGTTTATTATGAAACATAAGATACAGGTATCACTTATACCACGTCATTAAATTATTAATCCCTACTCATCGACAAAGAAGACAGAGGGCCGTAGAAAAAACCGGCGTAAAAAACTCTTGGTAGATACTCTTTTAAAATAGCAAATCATCAATCACACTTATTTTAAAACAAATATCGCAAATTAATTAGAAGTAGTCTGTCTAGCTCTAGTCCCAGGCCCTTTTATCAATTAGATAATCGTTAACTTTATAGTTAACCTTTTTACACAGCTTTTATTTAATACATTTCTCAAATTTATTAAAAGGCTCTGGGATTTTATTAAAGAAGAGTATCCCTTTTCCCGAAGAATAATTACTAACTTAAGATAATCTAGTACGGGGAAATTGCAGCCTGCGTTTGTTCCGAGTATTAACATTGTGCGTATGTTCTATTCTAGTAAACTTGTCACTATTTTTGTATACATACATAATATTTTCATAAATATATTGCGAGGGAAAGGTAAGTATATTAATTTCCTTGAATTTATCTCTCAGAGATTCACTCCATTTTAAATTATATATTGCAATATAAACTTACCTCCTCCAGCAGTAGAAGTATTCGCGGGAGACGAGCCAAAGGCGGGAGCAGCTCCAAAGGCGCTGGTGGCTGTTGCCGGCTTGAACCCACCAAACGGTGATGATGTATTGGCTCCAGCGTTAAAGGATCCTATAACATTTAATATTATTTATTTGACTTTTTCAAAGCATATATGTATACGGAATGAATTTGATTGTGATTTATTTAAAAAAATTGTGTTATCTATCTAGCTCGTGTTTTTAGAAATAAGACAATATATTTCTTAGTTAATATATACATATATATATTAGGAATATCCTAAAACAGCAATTGCATTTAGTAAATATTAGAATGTCAATCAAATCTGTAAATTATTTAGGTGACTTTATACTCTGTGCTCAATACATTTGCAAGAAATTTACGATAATTTCGTCAATTATTATTAATTACTTAAGATGTCATGTGGAACATGGTGTAATGGTTGCAGCTCCTTACAAACGTTGTGTAAAAAAAATACATGGCAATTAAAAAGAGTGGCGGAGAGTTTATTGCCAGTTCTTCTCTTCCGTTCTACGCCCTTGATTTGAGAACTGGCACAAAATGTAAAATTAGAAGCATTAATATCTATTTCTTTACTGACAAGTCATAAGTGTACCTATATGATTAAATGATTTTTGAATTTGAATTTGATGAGGAACATTTTTATTTTCCATCATTGTATACTATATTAGTAAACATAACACAAAATACATATTGACCAATCTAAATTAAACAGTATATTCAATTTTTAGACATTGCGGATTAACATAGGCTTTTTATGGCATAAGTCTAAAGTATCTGTTAATATACCCATCACTATAAACTAGTCATTAAGAAATCTTTAACTAATTCATTTATACAATAAATAAGATCTGGTATTTAATAATGTGTTGTTCAACAGCTTTATCATTTGTTATCTCAAAGATAGATCAAATATCTTAAAGGCTGTCTAGAGGCGGGCTTCCTATACAATTAGTAAGAAAAAAACTCACCGAAGCCGGATGTGGTGTTACCAAACGTCTGCTTTTGAAACATTGTGATGGTTAGAGCTGGATGATTCAACTATCTCCACAATTTTGTTAGATGGCTATCATCTTGTACCTGTAATTAATAAATAAGAGATGAAAACACATTGCTGTGGAAAAAAGTTTTTAAAACAATAATACGGAAAGAGATCAAGAAAAATTAGGATAAATAATGTTAACTTAAACCAAAAAAAGGATTAAGTTATTATACTTTTCTATGCCACAGAACTTATGTTGCATAATGTTTATATGCAGTTGTGAAATATTTAGGTTCATTAGTACTAATACCAAGTTTCGTTGCTTATTATCCTTCACCAGTGTTTTGCAACATAAATGAAAAAGTTTCAAGTACAATCAATACATGGTTTTAAACAGTCTTTCTTGTTGTGTGTCTGATTGTAATAAAACAAGAATTGCAAGGGTTTTTAGTGTTTTATATGAGTTGTAAGGAATATAATTTCGTTTGTTCAATATGTCACACAAATAACCAAATTACGGTTTGACTGTGCATTTATCCAAATACACTATACACTATAGTCGCAAGGGTTGATGTTTTTGCAACATTAAGAAACATTTTTTGTACTATCAATACATGGTTTTAAACAGTTTTTGGCTTGTTTTTCTGATTGCAATAAAACCAAGAACTGCAAGGGTTTTTATGTGGTTTTCAGTAATGATGTAAGGAATATGAATATTCGTTTTTGTTTAATATCTCACACAAATATTTATTATTCCAAATTACGGTTTGACTGTGCACCATTTATCCAAATACAGTATACCTATACTATAGTTGCAAGGGTTTGAATGATTATTTGTACTGCTCTTGATGAAGGAGTTATTGACAGACCGTTATGACAACTAGAAGGACCTGGACCATTGACAATCATATGACAAGAAATAATTGTAGGACATACATGAAACAACTAATTTCAGTATTTTCCGGTAAATTTTGATAAATTTGTTTCATGTGTTTTTAACTGTTCTTAAAGCAACAATTTTTTTTAAAGCAACAATATCAAGACTGTAATTTTTTTTTCCACAAAAAATTCATAAAATAGAATTGAGGTAGACACAACCCATCTCCCACCTTCTGCTGATCTATTTGTTATCTGCATGAAGATATATATTTCCCGAAGCTGAAAAACGGGCCTAAAAGTATTTTGCTTTAAAGCCTTCTACTGTTGCCTCAGAAAGATTATTTTTGACTGGTGGGAATGTACTAATAAAAAAAGAAAACACCTAATGCCTGAGAAGTTCACTAATGGAGTGAATTATAAGAAAGCTAGTTAAAATATGTACCTGACAAATGGTTCATCAAATTAAAACATTTAGGTATAGTACATTTAGGTATAAAATAAGTTAAAATGTGACCAAATAACAGCTACTTATCACTTTTTTTATATTCATAATTTAGAAGACAATAAATGCATTTTAGTTTTCTCTTAAGTAAGTTATAATTTTTGCAGTTGAAAATTTATCAGATAATTACTAAGAAATTAAGTACTAATAAAAACATATTTTTTAGGAAATAATAATGGTTTACATAAACCAGCCCAGAACTTGTAGAACATGTAAAAATTCAAATTCAATCAAACATAAAGCCTTTCAATATTTAAAGGTTTAAGATACGTATACGCACTTAACTATATAATTGAATATTTGTAATAAAACTTATCAATACAAATTGTGTATGAATTGGAGATTTGAGCCTTCAAATGCCCTAGGTAATAATAGTTGTAGAAAAAAATACTGTTTCTTAGAATTAAAATTAACATTGGTTAATCTTATATATTTTGAACAAAAATTAAATAAAACTCAATGTTACATTATCACAAAGACAAAACTACATTTACCACATAAAAAAACAATGAACAGTACTTTTTTAGAAGTAGCAGTAGACTAGAGATGTAAGATGCTTAATTATTTGTATGGGAAAAAAAATATATCTAATGCAGCAGTAGTATACATATGTAGTGATAATATTAATTATTTTTGTGAATACTTGTTTATTGTAGTACTACGCAGTAAAGTTAATTTACTGTATGTTGAAATCATCTACTAAAACGTATGTTTATTATCAACGCCATATGAAGTCACGAATTTTTTTTTTGCATTGTATATATACATCTCAGGGCTATAAGTTGTTTTAAAAAAATATACTAGAATGACTTTAAATAAAGAATAATTAATACCAAATTCATCTAGAGGGAAAGCGTTACTTTTAAGGTTAGTCAACTGAAATACATAAACAAACAGGATAAATAGAGAATTATACGTACCAGAACTACAAATTTATACTGGTTATTAAGAAGTGTAATTGTAGCATTAAATTAGAAATCACCGATATTTTAATATTATAATTTTTTAATAATTCCAGCTCAAAACCGAATTCACAACGATTAAAATTTGATAGTCAACTGTCAATAGACAATCCAAATCTAGATGATATATAGTTAGCAAGTTGCTAGTCAACAAAATTATAAACTATAGAGAGATATAGAGATAATAGATAGCCATCGTTATGACTCCGTTTAAGACATATATTATTTTTAAGATGCTATAATAGAACAAAGGGTCTACGTAGGGTAGTGGATACTGAGAAGCTAGCGTCAGAGCATTTTTTAAGTAAAATAAAAAGTTATTTCAGTTATAATATTAATGTTTTCTTCCAATAAATGTCCACTTGTACATAAACAAAAACACATAGAATAAAACATAAAACTCTAATTTTGTATAATATTCACAAAAAATTGATGTCATAAAGAAATGTTCTGTTCAACAGTTAAAAATCTATGTTTATATTCCAACGTAGTGTGTATACCTGTGATGTGGGCTCTGTCATTTGTCTGTGGCGGCAAATAGTTTGTTTATAAATAAAACATCCAATCGATGTATTTCATAAATAATTATTTAAAAAATTAAAAATGAATTTCGAATTATTTACTAGCGATAGTGATAGTGATTTAGAAGTTCTAGCTATGCTATCGGATTGGGATAGTAATAGTGATAGTTCCGATAGCATCGACGACGAGGATTCAAATAGCTCTGAAGAATCAGATAATGATAATACTTTTGCCGGCGACAATGGTATAACAGTATATGGAGAGAAACCAAATGGGGAATTACATACAATTGAAGAAAATAAAAATAACCCTTTGAAATTACGAAGGGTTAATTACATGCAAACTTTAGAGGATGCCGAATTTACTTTTACGTTTAGATTATCGAAGACGGTTATAGAGCCTTTGCTTGCTGAAATAATGCCCTATGTTCGGGTTACTTCAGCAAGGTGTGAGAAAGACATATATATAAGAAAGATTATTTTTGATTATAATTGGTTGATGATACCACAACATAAAAAAGACTATAAATTTACAGGAATAATGGTGTAACACCATTCCACCAATTGTTATTAACATTAAGGTTCTATGCAATGGGAACTATGTTATCATCGGTTGCTGAATATGTGGGAGTGGCTAAATCCACTGCCTGTAGAGTGGTAAGAGACATATCATCCGCTATTGCAATGTTGTATGATAAATATGTATTCATGCATATGGACGGAATTGAAAAATTTCATAGTATAGCAAAATTCCCAAAAGTAGTTGGTGTTGTTGACTGTATGCATGTCAGGATAGATTCTCCTCGTAAGTATTTATGGTTATTGGATATTGCTGTAGGAGTATAAATATTTCATTTTTATCAATATAATTAATTAATCTAAAATGTCTTGATTATCATGGTGTAATGTTTTGCATCAGTCTTGCTTTAATTGTCATGGTTCCAGGTCATGACATTGGTGCAGAATTCCGGAATCCTCAAGGACAATTTTCATTGAATGTCCAAGCAATCTGCGATGCTGATCTTAAGATAATGAATATAGCTTGGCAATCTGGCTCTTACCATGACACTGTTGTATTTGACAATTCACCATTAAAGGGTAAGTTAATGTACTTAATTTTTTATTTAAACAAATGCCCTTACAACAAATATACAATACCCAATACCTTCAGTACAACATGTATATTAGAAATATAAAAAAGAGCCTGCTTATTAGGGTAGTAACCACAGAAGGAATTTAAATTAAAAAATAAACTTGCATTATGTATCAGCCAATAACTGGTAAAAAACATAGGCCGTATTTGCCAATGTCATGGATAATATAAATAATAGTTATATGTCATGTCATAGTTTATGCACAACGGACCAAATGGGTGTATAAGTTCTAACACTCTCCACACTACAATAATTATATGTATGGTAGCGATTCTTAAAAGTGAAACAAAGAGTATGTCATTTTATTTTTATTACATCAACTATTTATGTATCTCATAAATGGATTCCATCCCAATTTATAGTATTAGATGGAAATGTGTCTAACTATGTTACTAAAATTCTCATGTGATTCTATTAAAACCCTATTAATGTCTAGTTAATAATAAAGTCACTTTAATTCCATACTATAAAAATTACAAATATGGGTGTTAATTGTGATTATATACAAGTTATTGTTATTTCTATTAATTCATGTTCTGCAGTGTGGACTCCTACCTTCTCCTGAACTTTACATTTAAATCTGTTCTTTACTCTATCCATTTCTCCCCAAAAGCCTTTATTATGTCATCAGCCTATCACTTTTGTGGTCTTCCCACATTTCTTTCTGGAGGTCCTCTCCAATGGGTCGCTTTGTAGGTCCATCTTTTGTTTGTTGATCTTGTATATGGAATTTAATCAGTTACAAAATGATATTACCTTTACAGTGCTACGATACCAGTCCAATATGTATAAAAATTAATGGAAGATTCATAAAAGATACGAAAAAGATAATATGTTCTATTAGACCTTTAAATTAAAAGTCTTCTGTAAGATTCGAACCTCCGCTTTGGGGCCTAACCAGACCAGACCGAAAACCACTCATCCCTCACTCCTAAGCATCACTGGAGAATTATCAGCGAATAATGCAGATATTTGGAAATATTTTTTTTTCAGATGAATTCGAATCAGGCCACTATAAAGACTGTTGGTTATTGGGTGACAATGACTTCCAAAACAGATGGTACCTACTCACACCCATTTTAAACCCAACATCAGAATCGGAGAGACGTTACAACGATTCTCATGCTAAAACGCGGACTGCAATTGAAAGGTAACGGTTAATTGGCTTTAAAGAGTCCTAAGTTTTTGATCTAGGTCTTGAGAAATAGCAAACAAAAAGCAAAAAAAGAAAGAAAAAATAAAGTGTCAAAATTGTCTCGTTTTTATTTATAACAGGGGGCAAATGAGGTAACCTGAGGTAAGTTATACCGCCGCCCATGGACACTTACAATTCCAGAGGGCTTGCGTTGCCGGCCTTTTAAAGAATTGGTACGTTTTTTTCTTGATGGACCCTAAGTCGAATTGGTTCGGAAATACTTCAGCGGGCAGCTGGTTCCACAAAGTGGTGGTGCGCGGCAAAAAATACCTGAAAGACGCTTAGTCGTAGAACAACGGACGTGTAGGTGATACAGGTGGAATTTCGTGTTCTGCCTCGTTGTTGGTGAACCTTCTATATACATTCCTACGCCTATACTCTCCTCATAGAGTCAAGTTTAGGTCTAATTCATATACTTAAATTTACGTTTACGCGGGTACATTCAAAAAAACTATATTTACTTACATTATTTATATACTAGCTAATTTTAGATGACCATAAGTTTTTTTTAGATGACCCTAAGTTTTTTTATATGACCCTATCTTTTTTAGATGACCTTAACTTTTTTTAGACGACCCTAAGTTTTTTTATATGACCCTATCTTTTTTAGATGACCTTAACTTTCTTTAGACGACCCTAAGTTTTTTATATGACCCTATCTTTTTTAGATGACCTTAACTTTTTTTAGACGACCCTAAGTTTTTTTAGATGCCCCTCACTTTTTTAGATGACCCTAAGTTTTTTTAGATGACCGTAACTTTTTTAGATGACCCAACTTTTTAAATGACCCAAACTATTTTTAGATGATCCCAATTGCTGAAAAACTGATATTATATTTGAATAATTGTAAAATTAATTAAAGGTTGCAAACGACTTCTGGTATTGTGAGTGTCTATGGGCGGTAGTATCACTTAACATCAAGTTTAAAAGAAACTGCCATCCCAATCTTGAATTATTCGACTATAGTTCTATCTGTTTCAGAACTCTAGAAGTATGGAAACGTAGATTTCCCGTACTAGCCCTCACTTTAAGAGTATCATTGCCAGTTATACATTCAATTATAACAGCAACGGCAGTATTGCATAACATTTGTATCATAAATAATGTCGTGGATGTTCCGCCAGAGAGCGCTACAGATGAACAAGATTCTGGCAATATTGATAATGTTGCAAGTATAGAAAATTCTGGCTTAGATACTGACAATATTGACAATCAAATATTGGATGCGGGCGAACATTTTGAGTCTGGCAATTATATTTTGGACGCTGGCAATATTTTAGACAGTGAAGTGGTCACTGGCAATCAATTGGACGCTGGCAATATTTTAGACAGTCAAGTGGTCACTGGCAATCAATTGGACGCAAATAACATGTACAATGGCATTGATTTGCAAGATGTCAAAGATTTTGATACGCAAGATGATTGTCAAAATCTACCGAGATACTGCTTTGATTCCAACGATTTTGATATGAGGGGTTTTGTTGTTAATAACTATTTTAAATAGATATTTTTATAAACGATGTTATTTTATTTAGACTATGGAGCGTTCAAGTATTACGTCACGCAATTTTTGAAGATTATTGACGCCTCCCCCCCCCATGTAACGCGCCGTAACGTTTTTCTGTACAACCTAGTGACTCTTTGACAACCTAGTAATGGAAAGTCGAAAATAATATTAACAATAACGCGTAATTCAATCCCCGCCCCGTATCGTAACGTTTTACAAAATGAACCCCCCCAAATTCGTTACGTAATACTAGAACGCTCCCCTAGCTGTGCTCTGTGGTTCCGCATTAATTCGGTCGCACGATGTTCTATAGCTCAAAGCTTTTCTCGGTAAATACTGTTATAAATGCACAAAAAAAATTTTTTTAGACGATATCACGGACTTTTTTGTAGATATTGATGTCTTCTATAAAACTGTAGTATATCACTTTGCTCTATTGTCAATAGTTGTCGCCACGTATGCGATTTAGGATTTTTTTTCTCTTATACACCTTGGGTTACACCATCGTAAATTCATGCAGAACGTAACTTTTTTGAAACTATTCTATAGCCTATGTCCATCAGTGTCTATACAATGCAAACAAGGAAATTTCCTCTTTTTAATATTAGTGACATTTGCAAGCTTAAATCTGAGTTAAAAAAAAGTTAAATTGTGATGCTCGACAAAGTCCTTAAAAAATAGCTCGACTGTTGGGCATTTATAAATGTCATGAAATATTGCGTCATTCAGAGTTATCATATATATTTATCTAGAACAGGGGGCAAACGGATAGGAGGCTCACCCGATTTTAAGTGATACCGCCGCCCATGGACACTTACATTGCCAGTAGGCTCGCAAGTGCATTGCGGCCTTCTCAGAATTGGTGCGCTCTTTTCTTGAAGGACCCTAAGTCGAATTGGTTCTTAATAGCTGGCCTGTCTAGGATAATTGGGCGATGTCTTATTTCGACTGTATATTTTGATGAAAAATTGCTAGCAAAACCACGTGTAAAGTACTCTATAAAACGCATGAATCGTAAATTAAAGTTTTATTACACATAAAATACTGAATTGAAACAGAAATATGTTTTTCATACAAATTATAAATATCCTGGTAATATGTAAGATATCTTTTTATATGTTATATTTCTCTTATAATAGGGTTTCGGTATGTATCTTGGGTAGATATTTTGGCTTGGTTAACCTAAAAATCATTCAAAAGGCCCTGGCGATGACGTACCTAATTGTCGAGTAGCCTTTCTACTTTCTAGTCTACTCTTTCCAGATTATGTTGTGCAGCGTTGGACTAGTGGCGTCAGCGTGCGACTCTCAACCCTGAGATCGTAGGTTCGATCCCCGGCTGTTGCACCAATGGACTTTCTTTCTATGTGCGCATTTAACATTCGCTAGAACGGTGAAGGAAAACATCGTGAGGAAACCGACATGTCTTAGACCCAAAAAGTCGACGGCGTGTGTCAGGCACTGGAGGCTGATCACCTACTTGCCTATTACATTGATCATGAAACAGATTCAGAAATCTGAGGCCCAGACCTAAAGAGGTTGTAGCGCCACTGATTAGTATTATTCCCGGATTGTAGTTTTAGACTACTAATTTTCCTGGGTCAAGACTAACAATATTCGTTAACATGTCATTGAACCTGCACATAATTTCAGATATGGTTCGTCCATTACTTACAATTACTGTTGAAATCGACGGTCAAATCGATTTAGGTCAAGGTTGGCTACATGAATTTCCCATTTGGACACAAAAAGAAAAAAGATATTCACAATTCCTTCGGACTGACGAACCCAAACCTTATAAATTAGCTCCTACTGTCGGAGAAGAACAGCACGATAACACCGCATTACAAAAACTTATAGACAGTGTTAACATATCTTCGAATATAAATACCTTGCTCCAACATCCATCCATCCAATCCAAGAAAACGAAAGAATATCAAAAACAAAATAAAAATGAGAAAAACAGCAAAAAGAAAAACAAGAAAAGAGGAAAGAAAAAAACTAAGAAATACGCATCTATAGAAAGTCTTGATCATGATAAAATAAATTTGGACGATGTTTCACCAAAGATTCATGTTATACCAAGAAAAGGAGTAACAAGAGCAATAGACACGGAGAGAAGTAAAGAGATCAAAGCTCGTAAAATTAAAGAAGACACAAAAATAAACGATTTCATCCAACACATTTTTAAACAAACGCTCAAAGTATTTAATGATATTAAATCGAAAACAACGGATAGTAAACTAAAGCACGAAATTAATTCACTTAAACACACTTTCAATGAAAAATTTGGTAAATTTATATCAGAAACTTACAATCACACGCTTAGAACGAATTTAGGAAAACAGAAAATAATTCTTAATACAATTGATACATCTCATAAACTATTACAACGACTTATTAATAATTTATACAAAGATATGAATAAGGAATCGTTAAGAACACCGCTAAATGAAGTAAATGTATTCCAAAAAGAAGTAGATCGCGAAAGAGATCTAGAAAATAAACATGCGTGTAAGCAGTTTCGTATATGTCACCTTAATGATGAATTTAGTGACTTTGTTTCTGATATAATAGTTGTTATTTTACTATCAGATGATGGAAAAGTAAAACAGGCATCTGACGCTCTAACCGAGGCGGTTAAAAATACAGACTTTGATAACGTTCTTAATTACGATTTACAAAATAAACTCAAAAGCTATTTGGGCAATATAGAGAAGTGGGATGCCTTCATGACGAGAGCTATGTTCATAGCTGTCAAAAGTCTAATAAGAAACAAAAATAAACCAATAGCGATTTATAATAGTCAAGACAATTATTTAGCTAATAAAACTATAGCTTTTCAAAACATTATCAATTTGGCTGATGAAAAATTACCCAAAAATGATAATGTCAACGAATGGGAGAAAATAAAGCAAGATTTAATCGATTGGAAAGAAGATAAAAATAAGGAACCTCTTAAAATAGCCGAAAATTTTGTTAGACATTTTAAAGAGAAAGTGTTGGATAAATTGGATTATGATGGCAGGAAGCAGTTTAATAAATCTATGGAGGTTTTATTGTCACATTTTTAACATTTCTGATTAGAATCTCTTTACACTGTCGAGTTTTAATATGAATAATTTTAATCGTTACTAATATCCTAAGAGCCCTATCTCACTCGCACCCGCTAGAAAAGTCGTTACCTCGCGCTCGGACCTACAGCGGACTTAAAATGTGTCTGGCAAGGTGTAAAAAACATTAAAACTGTCCGGCAATTGAGGTAACAGTTTTTCATAGGTCCCCAAGTAACATATATAAAATTTAGCTTTTATACTCTAACGAAAGTATAATTATAATTTATTAAAGTTTAGGGGTGTCTGGCAGGGGGTAGCAACTGTCATAAGTGTCTGGCAATGGATGACGAGATTTCTAAAGTTATCCCTAATAAAATATAAAAAAATTGAGCTTTATACTTTAACGAATTTAAGGTACTATTTTATACAGCTTTACTACCTGTTACATGCCAAAGTAACCACTACCCAAACTCTATAGTCTCTGGTCTTTCTTACCTGTGTAGGGGACACGCACAGAAGAACTTTTAGCTTTTATTAAATTACGAAGGTCTGGCCGTTCTGGGCTCTTGTTCTATAAGAAGATTAACAAAAAAAAATTTGATCGACTTTACTCTCATTAACTTTTTACAAATTTCAATCGAAATCTTTAATCATAATAATGTTAACGATCATCTTACACTTGTAGAAAATTGTAAAAAACAGTTTTGCTAGCCCTTTTGTTTTTCATACACTCATCAATTGAAATATAACATTCTCGATTCCGATAATATCCATGTTTATATTCTTTATAAGTAACAGATGTGTTACTTAGATTTAAGAACCCTTAAATAAGGTAAAAATGTTTGTTTGTCCAGAGTCGCAACCCCACTACCCTTAATTTTATTTTAATTATAAGCTCATGTTTTAAAAGAATAAAGCCAATTGAGACTTAGGGCCGTTTTATCTAGTTAATCAATATTGTAAAAAATATTACTATTAGTTAAATATCAGCAAAATGCTTTTTTGATCCGTGGTAAGAGATCAATTAAAATATCTAACCATTAGTCAAAAAAGTTAACTACTCAGTATGGAGGGTTAAAAAGATGGCCGCTGGTAATTTATATAGTAACAGCTGTTTGTCAAAAATCAAATATGATAAATAGTTTATTACTATCTAATGATGAATTTAAACATATTGAGATACTTTAATTAATAAGATGAAGAAGACATAATATTATATGAGAATGTGTTAATAGTAAAAAATATTTAGGCAATGTCATCCCCATTAGAAACCTGGGATGATGTAGATTTTTGTCACTGTTACCCCTATCGAAGGAACAGTCTTGATTGTTACTGAAATTGGGAATGATCTTAAACTCCAATGAAAAGAGTATATATAGACAGCAGCTCATACAACCTATTTTCTTCATTACTAACTACAGAACCCAGCAGTATATAATTAAGTATATTACTAATTCATTATGTGTTTTATTCCTATAATATTAACTTATAATTATTATAATTAAATAAAATACAAGAACAAGAGTATATATAGACACAGCTCATACAAACCTATTTTGCTTCATTACTAGCTACAGAACCGCAGCAGTATATAATTAAGTATATTACTAATTCATTATGTGTTTTATTGCCTATAATATTAACTTATAATTATTATAAGTTAATATTATAGAATAGAATACATAATGAATTAGAGTTAATATTATTTATATATTACTAATAATATTAACTTATAATTATTATAAGTACATACAAGTATGTACTTATACTAAAAACTACAGCTACACATTAGTTAGGACTATGATATTCTTTAGGGCTTTTATTACATTTGTGAGTTAGCATCTACCTACTTTATTACAAGAAGTTATAAATAAAACATTTGACTTGATTAATAAACTGTTTAATTATAACTTAAATACAAACATTTTTTTAAAAAAATTAAAATTTAATGAAACCTAAAGTAGAATTAAATATTTTTAATTGTTTTTCTTATTTACTAATTTGATGCAATTTTTTGTTAATATATTTATTGTCTTTTTCCATTTATATTTTGTGACCTTTTATAGTATAATTTTTGGTGGGCTCTCATTGGTGAGCAAATTTTTATCTCTTCCTTAGCATAATTGAAAAATATTTCTTATTTGTTTTGTTTAAAAACTATTTTTTTTTATCTGTGGATCATAATCCGCTTCTTGTTTAAAGGGTTAAAAGATTTTTTCCTTTTGTTAAAGGTGGAACAGCTATACAAGAATAAATTAAAAACACTTCGGTGTCTAGACATTGAGTTGAAAACGTAAGAGATTTCAAGCTGCATCTTTTTGTGATTGTGCAGTGATCAGTTGTTTGAGGTTACGACTGTTAATCCTTGAGAAGCATCACCAGTTTGGCAGTTTTTTTTGGCGAAGTTAGCAGTATGGTCCTTTAAAAAACATAAATGTATTATTTTTTAAAAACAAGATAAAGAATAAATAAAAAAATATGTTTGTATTACTTATTTGACGTTGGTGTTTGCGGACATGTTATTTATTATTTAAGTATGTAAAAGTGTAAACGTATTAAATCAAGAAAAACAACTTTATTTATATCGTGTTATTTAGATTAATTTGACATTAAATTTCAAGAAATAACGAATGAAAATGGCAAAAATGGATTTCATTCATCAATATGTCTAGTGTTGTCATACAAAATAAATGTTCCCCACAAAAAAGAACCACATTTTTGGATGTCATTGCTCATTATCAAAATTGAAAATTGTTAAGTTTAACTATAGTTAAAAAGGATTAAAAAGATTTACGATTTTACCAATGGTTATTCATTTAACTATAGTTAATGTAACAAATGGTAAAACCATTTTTTACTACGGATCAAAAAACTGTCCCTTAGCTTCCCCCCAACAACCGAACTTAACTCACATTTGTAACCAAACTTCTTAACCGATTTTTATGAATGTTTTTGTTATTATTCAGTAGGTCTAAGATATTTTACATACCCCTATGCCTTTTACCTGTTTTATGTTAAATTTATATAAGGTAAATGAGATTTAAATTAAATTTTGGTAAACTTTGGAGCAACTAGCTCCGACACATGTTTGTTTCATTCACTATTTTTTGATAGCAGAAGACACTGCGAAATTGGACTTTATGGAAATAAAAAACCATTAAAAATATAACAATTATTTATGTATTTACATACTTTTCTCCTATATGTCTAAAATACACGAGCAATTTACAAAACAGATAACTTAATTAAAAAGCTTGAATTAATTTTTGTTGCTTTAATATTTTTATCGACAGACTATATGTACACTGTCAAACGCTTTACATAATTCATACACTCCCACATAATAAGTTCCATTCTTCTTTTCATTGATTTCTATGTATCATTGTGAAGTAGATGCGGTTTAAATTTAAATAAGATTACATTTGTGTTTCTTGGATTAACAAACATAAATTCTAAAATTGTATAAAAAACAATAAACATCAATCTTCTAAAGTGAACTCTCCATCAGATATGCTATCTAAATCCATAGATTTGTCTTGCAATAAACCATCTAATGTCATATTGGATTTTTCATTAACCATTTCATCATCACTTATGTCTTCTAAATCGTTGGCATTCATTTCGTCAACACCAATTGATTTATGTCCCGTTCTATGCACTGTATCAATACAATCACCCATTATATTATTTTCGATCAGATCATTATAAATATCTAAATCATCGGTATCCAGAGAGTTTGCTTCAAAATTGACAGTTTCTGTTTTATCCTCAATTTTGTTTACGTCCGTCGTATTTTGCGTTTCGTTTTGAATGTTTTCTTTTCCATTAATATTAAAATAATAAGGTACACTTAAAGAATGTTGGCTAGACGTTTCAGGTTCAATATTTATATCATTAATGCATTCTTTCTTATAATCAACAGTCAAATTTGTATTTGGCCTGATTTCCTTTAAAGTATCTTCCATAGCTTGAACATTGATATTTTTAGTATTAGTAGTACAACTATCTAAAACTTCTGTATTATCATCATTAGTCTCTGTATTTACATTTATATTATCATTTCCTTTAGCACAGTTTTCGTTAAGTTCATCAGTTTTTTGTTCAATCGAATTATTTTCTACCGCAATTTCACAGTCTTGATTACGAGGCACTGTCTCATTGCAAATACTTTCCACCAAACTTTCACATGTTTTCGATATCTCAGCATTTATATTAGGTTCGCTTTCATTTGATATTGCACCTTGTTTAAAACTATCATCAGTTGGTTCATTTTTTATATTTCCAGAACGTCTATTAACACAATCTTCCTCATCGTTATCATTAAGTATTTGAATTTCAAGCAGTTCAATTTCTGATTTTAATGAATTGAAATTGTCTACATGATTGTTAGTATTTTCAAAACTGAGTTTATCACTGCAAGATGTATTTTCTGACACGCCAATATTATTACTACATTTTTGGGCCTCTATCACGCTATTATTATCTGAACTTGGTGTAATTTTATGACTGAGATTGTAGTTCTCGGTAAACTGATTTGTATTCGTTCCTGTAATACTCAAATTATGTTTTTCTGCCATCCTGTTTGTTTCAACTGTGTCATTGGTTTTACTTGGTCCATCACAATCGTTAGTTTTATGATTAATTTCATTATTTAATGTATCAGTATAGCCACCAGTATCATCATTTAAATCTCCAACAACGCTAAATGTATCACTTTCGTTATCATTTCTCAAAATAGAGTCTGAAACATTATCACTCCAATTCTCTTTAATGTTATCAAAAATACTTGGAGACTCATTTGTTTCGCTTAAGTTACTTATAATCCTATCAATATTCAAACCGAAATCATCATAGAACGGTTTCACTTTCTTTCGCTTCCTTGGGATTTTTCCAAGGAATTTATCAGAGAAAATTACTTTTGTAGCGAGCGTCGACAGACTTTCCACTTCTCTTCTATTATCGTCGCTCTCGTTATCTGAGTCCCAATGTGAGAATTCTTCGATGTCATCATTAATGTCGAATGCATCAGGAATTTCGGGGCAATTTATATCCACCATTCTGTTGCAACGTAGCAAAGAGTTGTTTTTGTTATAGGGATATAAACAAGATCTATCCAGTCCGTAGGGCTGTAACAAAAAATATAAATTTAATATTTTTATACAGAATCTTAGTTCTAGGTATAACCGACTTAAAAACGTTATTTTAAATTGTTCTGTGTACTGATTATATTTTTACTAACCATTTCTTGTATAATTATACAAGAAATCTCAGTAAAAGTAAAAAAATAGGACAACGCAATGATCAGCTTGCAAGATATTTGCTTTAAAAAGCACAGAAAGGAATAACTAATATTCATTCGACTTAGGGTCTTCTTGCAAAAGCATTGCTACTTCTTAAAAGCCGGCAACGCACTTGCGAGCATTGGCACTGTGAGTGTCCAAGGTCGGCGGTGTCAATAGCTACCCAATTGTTAGATCTAAACAAACAAAAAATCAAAAATGTTCACTCACACAGCATACATCCGAGACGTCATAATGTCCATTGTCATCTTTACTCAGTAGAGAATCACATCGAATCATGCGCACTTGTACTGGCTTCATTTCTCTCCTTACTGAAGACGGTATTTTCACCCTACCTGAATAAAAGAAAAAATTGTTTTAATTTTTGATGATGATATTAATGGTGAGAGTAAATTTTAACAATGCGCGCGCACATCGTCACTAATAATCGACACCCTGAAGTTAGCTATAGTCAACATTTTAGTATTTTTGAAGTTATACTTTCTTTAGCGCATTAGGGAAAATGGTGAGAGTAAATTTTAACAATGCGCGCGCACATCGTCACTAATAATCGACACCTTGAAGTTAGCTATGGTCAACATTTTAGTATTTTTGAAGTTATACTTTTTTTCGCGCGTGCGCTAGGGAATTAGGGTGAAAGAGTACATCAATGCGCGCACATCGTCACTAATAATGACACCCTGAAGTAGCTATAGTCAACATTTTAGTATTTTTGAAGTTATACTTTTTTTCGCGCGTTAGGGTAAATGAGAGGAAATTTTAACAATGCGCGCGCACATCGTCACTAATAATCGACACCCTGAAGTTAGCTATAGTCAACATTTTTGTAATTTTTGAAGTTACACTTTTTTTGCGGGCGTTAGGGAAAAGAAGAGTACATTTTTACAATGCGCGCGCACATCGTCACTAATAATCGACACCCTGAAGTTAGCTATAGTCAACATTTTAGTATTTTTGAAGTTATACTTTTTTTCGCGCGTTAGGGAAAATGAGAGTACATTTTTACAATGCGCGCGCACATCGTCACTAATAATCGACACCCTGAAGTTAGCTATAGTCAACATTTTTGTAATTTTTTAAGTTATACTTTCTTTAGCGCGTTAGGGAAAATGGTGAGAGTAAATTTTAACAATGCGCGCGCACATCGTCACAAAAAACCACCACCCTAAAGTTAGCTATAGTAACGGGATAATGAGTTATACTTTTTCGTGCGTGCAGACGGCGTTCATCGGCGTTATGTAACAGGAGGCAAACGGGCAAGAGGCTCACCTGATGTTAAATGATACCGTCACTCAAAGACACTCGCATTGCCAGAAGGCTCGCAAGTGCGTTGCCGGTCTATTAAGAATTGGGAGCTCTTTTCTTGATTCGGAAATACTTCAGTGGGCAGTTTTTTATGGCTAAAATCATGAAAATACCCCGACGCCGCTATCACGTCTATGTCCAATGCTTTGGTGTGACTTAAACGCGTTTAAATCGGGTAATTATTCACTCTCAAAAACATACCTCCTCTACACGCAGCTTGATGCTTTACAAATGTTCTTTGTACTTCAAATAATTTTCCGCATTTTCTACATTTACCTGAAATTATATCAAGATAAAACATTATTAAAGAAACCTAATTTTTTTTTAATATGGCTCTGGCACGGTTTGTGCATTAGCCAGCGTCAAGTATAAGATTTTTATAATTCGTGCTTTTTGCCTTAGAAATTCGGCCGTGCCCTCCATGTACGGTTTAGGCACTCGCCCGGTACCGCACAACCCTCCCAAAGGCCGAGAACAAATTTAAATTAAATTAAAACTTGCCCTCAAACCGGGAATCGAACCCGGTACCCCTCACCTAGCTGCCACTTAATAAGACCGCTAGGCTATGAGGCCCCCAATTATTTATTTATTAACACTTTGTTGCATTAATAGTATATACAGGGTGGTCCAACTGGTGACTATGTTAAATCTTTAATTGATTTACGACTACGAAGACCGACCATTTGTCTATTTTATTTTATTTGCACCTGTTTTGTGATGTATAGTGTTTATATTTATAAATTTAATATAGACAGCACTTACCGACAAAATTTGTTTCATCTTTACTCTCTGGAGTTTCTCTTTGTGGTTTAGTAACACTGAAATATAGAGGGCGCTAAATTAAAAAGTGATATAACAATAATAATGATTTACATCCTGATAAATTTGGACTGATTTAAAAATATTTTCCTGCATGAATGACATCATAAAAGCTAGTATCGTAGAAATCAGGTAAATGTCAAATGTCAGAAAATGACAATGACAATTAATTTGTGTTAAAGACTATGCTCTAAACAGATAAAGAATATAAAAAAAATCAAGTCTTAATGATGATAATCATACAAACAACTAAATCAAATGCCGCATTCCTGGCCGGCAACACATTTGATAGCCTGGCAATGTGAGTGTTGCATGGGCGGCGATATCTGTTATTTAAAATACTAAACTAAATAATAGTTATATTTTAGAATAATATGAATAAGCCAAGAAAATCAGTCAATTTATCCAAATTATAAATATTAACTGACAATTTTGTAAGTATGAATCACTCTCGTCAGTTAACATTTTACTAATAATCCTAATTGATCTGAGTGGAGTACCTTTACTTATGATTTGAATTAATTGACTTGCTACAAATTTTGTCAAAAATAATTATATTATTTTTAAAAAAATACTCACAGAATTTCAACTTTTTTGTGTTTCCTATAGTGATTGTTGAATGACGTTCCTTTTGGAAATTTTATCTTACAAACGTCACACTTCTGCATGTCACTTGTCTTAGAATTGTCAGAGACTTTGACACTTGACAAGCGTTTAGAACGAGGTTCTTCAATTCTGAAAAGATATTTTATAACCTTTACATAAGGATAAAGTATGGATGGTTTGAAGTTTGAACCATAAAGAATGTTGTTTCTAAGTTGCTCATCAAACTCATGCTAGAATTTTGGCGGTATTTGTTAGACACAATGTGTCTATTTATTTATAAAAAGATACAGAAAAATCACAAGTACATAATAGAAGAAATATAAAATGATCAAATATGATCAGATGCAGAACACTTATAGTACGAGATCCCGCTGCAGGATTGGTGTGCTCATCGACTATTTGTTTAAAACCAAATTTTTATGTTTATTTATAATTAAGAGAATATATATTTACTAGGGTGCCTATCAAAATTTGGCCGCCATTATTTTTAATTGATTTTTGGTAAAAAATTTCGTTCATTTATTTTTTAAATAAAATAACGTCTACATCACGGTAATTAATATGAAGATTCTAAAAAATCACGGGCGCCGTTGCGCACCTGGCCGCACCTCTTTGCAGCCAGGTGTAAACAGGTATGATTTCGTTAAATTTATACGTTTATAACCTATTTTTATTAATTATATGTCAAATTGAAGCTAATTTTTTTCTATTAATTATCATATAAAGTTGCTTAATTAAATCTGGCCGCAAATAAGGGCTACTGGCTGTTAAAGATAATAAATATTTAAGGTAGAGTGAAAGAGAGTTAGCGCGTAACATCATTTGTCAGACGAGGACAGCGATTGTCGGCTGTGCGACGCTTTTAAGCCATTGCGCATGCGTCGAACGTTAGTGTTCTCAACCACCGGGGAGTAATAGAGACGACTTATAATAAATACTCCAAAAAATATACTTCAAAATGACAAATTTAAAAATTGCAACAAAAAATTAATATTGATTTGATATATCGATGGTCTAGTTAGCAATTTGTCTAACTCCTTATTTTTTAGAGGGTTTAAACAAATAGTCGATGAGCACACCATCCTGCAGTGGGATCTTAGACCATTATCACCTATTTCGGGATAGATTATTCTTCTTTTTTGTCAAGATAAAATCTGCTGTCTGAGGATTAGTGTTCATGATATTGTTTTTAGATTTTTTTACAAATCCCAGGTTATTTATCAAATTTTATATATTAATTAAGAAATATATTTTAGAACTTACTTAATTTTTTTACTCTGCATGTCATTAGGAACGATTTCTCTCATCCTCTTTAATTTGGAACTAGCTGGTCCAGGTCTGACCTGTGATTCTTTCTAAAAAAAAAGGTTTGGTTTATTTAATAAATCCGCTAAATACATATTGTAATAACAATATTACACACATGAGCAAAAAATTAAAACATACACAACTAGCGGACCTGACAGACGGTGTCCTGCATGATATTTCAAGCGATTAGGATATTAAACAAAGTAAAAAAGTAAAGCATCCAGGGCTCCACCCAAATGCATACAAAAAAACATTAAAATCAGTGCAGACGTTAAGGAGCAGTTCAGTGACGAACAGTTGTACAGTAGAATTATATATATATGTAAGCTATCCTATCTTTTAAGTAAGATCAAACTGCACACTGTGTGCAAATTTGATTGAAATTGGTTAAGTAGTTTAGGAGGCCATAGCGCACAAACAACGTGACGCGTAATATATACATATTATGATAACACAAAAACCTTCACAACTCAACAAAAAAAAATTGTTTACTTCCCGCCCCACTTCAAGCCTCAATAATTGAAATCTTAACCCTCATTTATTTTACAACCCTTACAAGAGGATAATTTACAACTTATAATGTCTATAGTTCTAAGATAAATAAGTTATTAACTTCAAGGATTAAATGTCAATGGAAGTCAAATTTAGTATGAATAAATCAAAACCCACCATAAGTTGAAACACGAACATCAGGGAGACCCAGAAACATTCCAGTTATAGAGATTTCCACAATAATATATTTTTAACACTTTTACCCACACTAAACAAACAAGTCAACATGCTTATAATTTAAATGTGCTATACAAAATTGATTAAAGTATCTTTTCTCTAACATACCTTTGTTTCTAACTTATCTGATTTCACCTCACTCCTTAGACTGTTCTTTCTTTGTAGTGGTGATGGCTGTCTTTTCTGAAAGATCAAAACAGCACTGTATGGTATGAATTGTCTATATATAGGTAGGAAAACCATCACTCCCAACTAGGGTTTAAATGGCCTTGACTCTTTAGTATGCTATCCATGCTCTACAATCTACATGATAAACATAAGCCAAAATTCTCACCGGTGACTTCCTATCTTCTCTAGTTCTACTACATCGAGAGCGCAGTGGCACAGATAAAGCTGGGTTTGATGCGATTAAATCACGAAGTTCTTTTTCTGCTCTAGATTCTTTTTTTATCTGAAATAAATCATCTTTGTTATACATTAATACTAATTCTACTTAATATCTGATTAATTTAGCCTGTAGTGTGAACTAAGTAACAGTGTGCTTGTGTCTGATTAATACATCTTTAGTTATTAACCCAAGTAATTTCCAAATTGATGTTCTTATGTATACACGTTAAAAATACCTAAAAAGATATTTATTATTAGACATAAATAGTAAGAAATCATTAGTATATAAATGTTTTCAGGTTATAACTCATATAATGGATTGCTCAAGCAACTAATTTTGATTAAAATTATAGAACTTATAGAACAAAAAAAGGTTACTATTTACCATTATACAAAAAAAAATTAACTGTGTAATATGAAGTTTACACACTGGCTTTCACATCAATTTTACAAAAATTTAGAAAATACTACAACTCTACAAGAGTTTACACAATATATTTTTCATGAAATATCTAGTAACAATTTAACTCAAACTCAAAATATCTTTATTCAAGTGGGTTACCAAGTACACTTTTGAATTGTCAAGTTAAATTAATTGTAAATTTACATTTACTACCAGTTCGCAAGTCAAGGGCGTAGAGCGGGTAAGAAGAACTGGCAAGAAACTTTCCGCCACTCTTTTTAATCGCCAAGTATTGTCATACAAATTATTTGAACTGGAGCAAATCTATCCCAAGGATTAGGATCATTTAAGTATTCCTCAAATTTATAAAACGCTTTATTGATTAATTGCCGTTTAACGAGGGCTTTGAATTTATTTAGTGATAATTCTTTAATTTCGCTTGGGAGTTTGTTGTAAAAACGAATACAATTTCCATATAAGGAGTGGTTTATCTTTTGGAGCCTGGTTGGTCGTACACTCAAATTAGTTCTATATCGCGTATTATACTGGTGAAAGTCACCATTTGTTTTAAAATCGTTTATATTTTTTTGGACATACAAAAAGGCTTCAAGAATATATAGACCAGATAGTGTCATAATATTTAATTCCTTAAACTTATTCCGTACCGACTCCCTCCGAGAAACACAACAAATACCCCGAACAGCCCGCTCCTGCAGCACAAATATGGATTGAACCTCTGCAACAGCACCCCACAGTAAAATACCGTACGACATAACGCTGTGAAAGTAGCTATGATACACAATTTTAGCCGTGTCCTTATCAGTAAACTGTCGGATTTTCTTTACTGCATATGCTGCAGAGCTCAGCCTATTCGAAAGAGTCTCTATGTGTGGGCCCCATTGGAGTTTACTATCTATTGTTATGCCTAGAACAACAGTTTTGTCAACAAAGTTTAGTTCACTGTCCTTAATTTTCAGGTTACCAATATCTCGCTTTACGCTAGTAGTTGTAAATCTAATACATTTTGTTTTATTCTCATTAAGCAGTAAGTTATTTACATTAAACTAGTTAACTATACGAGAGATAGAATTGTTTACATCGTCCAATAATACGTTATTCCTATTCACTTTAAATAGAAGTGAAGTGTCATCAGCAAACAATACCATCTCATGAACTTCATTGACAAAGAATGGGAGGTCATTTATGTAAATCAGAAATAAGAATTATCTTATCTACCTCCTTTTTTATTTCATTTTTAACCACCTTCACTTCTTTTGCTTTATTTATGGACCCCTTCCCTGTTCCTTCTTTAAAAATTGGTTCTGTAGAATCTATCTGAAATTTAAGAACAATTTACACTCAGTTGATGATCCATGATTGATTTCAAAATTTGACTATAAATAATAATAATAGCCTAACCTTTTCATTTCTCCTGAAGCTCAGGCTATCATAAGAAAAGGTTGGTAAAAATCGGTACTAACCACTTGTTTCCTGATCACTGGCATTGGTAAACCCAATCTCATTCTGGTCCGTTTGTTTGTCTGTTTGCACATTATTAAGAAATCATAGAAATCACATATTTTGTCAGCACACTGTCCACAAATAAGGGGTGGCATCATGTCATTTTCATGTACCTGAAAAATAATGTTTTGACTAAATATTATTCATAAAAACAAATCTTTGTTGACATTGTTTTGTCAACACATTTGTTTTAGAATCGATATACAGTGTGCTATATAACAACACTCAAGGGACTGTGCAAATTTTGACCTACAAGAGTACAAAGAGTTTTTGTTAAATGGAAAGAAGAAAAATCTGTATTACAAAAAGAAAAAGTGAATTTCAGACTAGTTAGTAATTACATAAAAAAACAATCCTCATTTCGTTTGATATCTTTTGCCACACCAGTATTTATGTTGTATATTTTACTTATTTTATTCATATATTGCGATATTTAGGCATCTTTGTGATAAAGCAATCCCAATTTGTAAACAAAAGAACTGACAGTCAGACTAGGACAATAAAGCAACAAAAGAATGTACACAGCTCTGCAGTTTTAACTAATTTCGGCACTAAAAGAACTTTTTAGTATTTAATTGCTGTCGTGTGTGTGTATATATGGAAGGCAAGCTAAACCAACTAAAGCCGAGTGATTTCGAAGCGAAGGAATTTGTCGTTATATCGAAAGACATTACATAGAGTTTACACAGTATATTTTATGCAACAAATAAAAGGTAATTTGGACTATTAGTAATTTTTATGCCTAGCCTTAGCGTTTATAAGTTGTTTGGTCATAAAAAACACAAACGTTGACTTAAAAATATTTAAGGGCGATATTATTATAAAACATTTTTCCTTTACCTCTAGCTGCAAACATTCCTGTATTTTCGTTTTCAATTCAACTTCTGTATCTTCTATTGGAATAACATTTTGAACGATAGGCATTTTGTAACCTTTACTAGCTCCACAAAGGCGGCATGAACGGTAAATTTCATAGATGGGACCGTTCTGTAGTGAACTTAGGTAATTTTGTGTTTTCTCGGTTGTAACTTTTGATTTTTGTTTACTCATTTTAAATTATTTTGTTTTCACGAAACACAAAGATAGTTTTAGGTTTAGCCGCTGCTGATTTCTTGTTTGTTACATGTTTGATGTTTCGCATTCCACTTCAAACTTTCACTAGACGATGAGTGATGACGTTGACAACATAGTTCTAGTATTTTGGTCTGATACAAGTTCGGTGACAGTACATGCAGTGTTACCAACTCGAATTTTATAGAGTAGGTAGATACAATTTCAAAAGTTTCAAAAGTTCAACTATCTTCAATTCCAAAAGTAGGTAGATCTACCAACTATAATTTCGAGTTTTATATAAAATCCTACCCTAAGATGTGATACCTTTAATTCATTTTTTTCGTAAAAAAGTAATCACTAATAGTATTATAGTAAAAAAATGAATTTTAACTAAAAAATGGAAAATATTAATAAAAAAACAACAAAAAACTGAAACCTGCATATTCTGGTTCTTTTTCTCAGAATTTTGAATATTTTTGATCATAATGAATTTTCCTCAATTTTCGTGGAGGAGAACATTCAAGGCTGCGCTTTACATACATAGCGCAAAATACATAGTAAGTTCATGAGAGTCTTGAAGTTAGTCATTAGTCGAAACTCGCAATAAATAAGCCTAGGTTTCTTATTGGCTGATGTATATCGATATATTTAAACTGTCAAGAACGCAAAAGCGTGCTGTTCTTAACTTATTGTGTGCATAAACAAAATTTAACTATATAAAAATTATAAACACAAAGTTGGTGGATTGTCTTTATAAGGTAAAGTAAATTTGAATAAAAACCCTAAAAGTTGGTAAATCTACCTACAACTTGGTAGATCTACCTACAACTTGATAGATTTACCTATAAAGTTGGTATAGTTGGCAACGCTGAGTACATGTCCCAAAGATATTGAAACTCGATATAGAATACAATAAACGTAAAATCATTTAATTGCCTTTTTATAGATTAAGTCGAAATGTACATAAAAACTGTAGGAGACACATTTTATAAACAACTTAAGCCCGTTAAGCCGTTAAGAGTACCTAGTTACTCGAGTTGCTTACTTCAAGTCTATATTTTTAAATAAAAGATATTATGCTTTAATTTAAGTGCGCCGACATAGTATTTCTTCGCAACATAACTTACTAATTTTGGGTCTACATGTTGCCATGCTGTATTTTGCAGGTCATACTAAAACAGATAAACCCGCGCTTCTATTGAAACTGTGTACAGATACCGGCAAATATCTTGAACAAATGTCCTTGACTGCGCCAGAAGCGATTTATAGGTATCAGTGGGATGGGGGTGGCGGCGGGACAGTGACGTGTCGATCGCGTGATTGGTCTTTGACGTTTATGTCCTCTACTCCTCTTGTGTGTGCTCGTATGTGTACGATGCGAACTTTCCCCCACTCCCTCTTTTAATGCTCAAGAAGTTTTCCGGTATCTGTAATACGATTCATTTCCTAAATAAGAAAAGAGGAAAGAAGAATATATATATATATATCTCATTTTCGTGTACTTTAAAGTTGCAAATTTAAATTATTCAATGCTCCAATATCTATAGTAATTATCTACATTACTATTATTATATATATTTCGCGTATTTAGGGATTTTTTTTGCAACTTTCTCTTTAACAATTATCGTTATATATTCAAAAGTTTAAAACCATAACGAATTTTACACCCAAACCTTCCTTTTGGATATAACCCTACAATAATGTTCGGTCGTTTTTGTGTCGCGTTTACAGACAGAGAGACGTTGTCGGGGAACTTCATTTTACAATATTTAAAAACTTTAAGGACGATAGTTTGACGCTACATTAAAATTTAAGGTGTATCTGAAGTCGATTATATAGAAGTGATAAAACTTCACACATATTATAATGAATTAAAACTTCATTATAAAACCGTGTAGTAATTTGTTTTCAATCATGTAACATTAAAATTACGCACTATAAACTCAAATCAGTAGGTACTTAGTTCAAAATAAAACATGATATTGCCAGTGCTTATGTGTAAGTATTTCTTAATATTTATTATCATTTTAATAATTACTACGCAGTGAAATTAACTCGTGTTGGTACGGCGAAGGAAAACGCACATAAAAATATTGTCTTTACAAAGTGTGACACTCGCCTACGTCAAAAGGGTATTGGAGTTTGACATAATATGGCAGTTGGCCTTGGGGCTTAGACAAGATGAAAATGACAGATCATGTCGTCAAATTTTAATACAAATTTAGTTTTCCACTTTCTACATACACTACTGTTAAGGTATCTTGACTAAGCCCCCTTATTTCAGAATCTTACCCTTAGCGCGGACTACAACTCTCGTATGTCAAAATTCATTTTCATCAGTTTTGATATATTATCTGTAATACCAGTGTACACACTTATTTTAGTTAAAGAGTAATATTTTTAAATCTAATAATTAAATAAAGAGCCTTTGCAGTTGCTTTAAGAAAATTTGATTTTATTAAAGGTTATTTTATTTTACAGGTCTTCTGTCAGAGATTCTAGCATATCAAAGATATGACAACTTTTATGATAGAAATTATAACGAGGGTAGTATTAACCAACATTTCTTTGGCAACAATTTCAGTGAAGACGAAATAAACGCGATAAATGAATATAAAAAGGGAATGAACTTTCGCGCCTCGGCGAGACATAAAGTATTCGATCCACAATTTGAAAATAGACGTGTTTTCGGATGGATAAAAAAACTATTCAAAAAAAATGAAACAAAAAATGTAAAATACGAAGATTTAGTTAACAATAAAATATTTTATTTGCACTTAACAAGAAATTTAACGGATAATTTATCACAATTGACAAACGTTTTAGATAAATTCACAAATTCACTGAAAGATCAGTCAATAATAAGTCCGACGCTTCGAAAAACGCGGTCTGTCAATGATAGTGAAATTTTGGAGGCAGTTAACACAGGTAATGAAACCGCAGATAACGTTACTACCACAGAATACATAGAAACAGAAGAAAACATTACAAACAGACTACGAACGCTTAATACGTTAGATTTTAAACTAAAATTGTTATCCTCTATTAACGATACGTTAAATATTGTTTTGTATAAATTTAAGCCAGCGTCGAATGCGCAAGAGGTCTTTGGAGACAATCTTCTATTTAATGTTGGGTTTTTGTCCGGTAGTGCCACTACTCTAAAATCATTTATTGATGAATTGCAAAGTATTTCTAAAAAAAGCGTAATAATAATGGATGAAAATTATGTAATGCAGTTGTATGACACTGTGAATAAAATTAATGAGGTATCTGACAAGCTTCTGAACAAATTAAATTTGTATATAGATAAAGCTACGAGAGAACTGGAAAAAAATTAATACAATTGCTTTTTATTTTAACTGTCCATATTAGAATATTTTTTACACACTTCCATTAGAGGTTGTTCAAAGATTATTAAAAAGTTTAAATACTTTAAAATAGTTAGAATAATTCAAGGAGCAAGGTTGCTTCAGCTGTATTTGAATAATTTTAAAATTAGTTAACAAAGGTTCTCAAATAAAAGCCACGCAAAGCAAAAGCTTTAGTTTTAATCAGTCCAAACAAAGATTACATAAATAACTACATTTTGTCAACCACAGACTAACATTAAAGTTCAATAGAAATGGGGCTTGAAACAAACTCACTTTTTGGCAGGAGTAACGTTATTAACGTTAATTATATATTATATGAAAACGGCCACGTGACAAAAAAGTGAGCAAATCATCCCCTACAAATTCGTTAAGTGTTAGTGGATCACGCCTGTCGAAGTGAGCTGACAAGCACAAGGGGAAAATATTCTAAAAAATCAGCGTTACTACTCTGTTACTCCTAATAGCGATCTCGATTTTTTTATGCAGTCGATATTATGTCCCAACTTGTGGTACAAATACTTAGATATTAAAGTTGGTTCACTATCGCTATTAAGACTGTTGCTGGATATTTGTAAGTTAAAATAATGTTTTATTATCACAATTACCAAAAAGTATCAATCAAATATGTTGCACTAGCCTAGATCATATAATTTGAGGGTACTAGAAATCATAATTTAAGTACGTACCTAATTATAACTTAAAATAACTGGAGATCTCTGAGGAATCCATCTTGGTATACAGTTTCTTATTTTATTTGCTCTCAAACATCACACATGTTAATAAAATGAGAACAATCAGATACTTATAAAAATCTATATGTCGACGTAGGAAAGCATATTTGCTGTAAGTAGACATATTGCAATTGTTCACCAGAGCCAAAAACTAATTTCGAAAAAAAATTAATAGTGTCGAACCTATCCATGATATTGCTACCATTTTTGAAACATATATTTATTTAACTGCCAGTCACCATTTGCAATGTAAACTTTTTATCCAAAGTTACTATAAGTACGTGTTTGGCTAGTTACAGCATACAGTTTTTAAATCACAAACCTTTAAAACGCTGTAACTAAGGAAGAAAAATGTACCGCGGATATATTTTCAATTTACAGCCGGTAAATATGCTGTATGTAGTAAATTTATGTATTTGGGTACTTTCAATTGCAATTCAAGATGTAAGATTAGTTTATAATTATGATTAGATCTAGAAATGCATGGGTCATTTGGTAATGTAATGTTTGGTTGTAATAACATGTCGTAAATGGTAAAAAAAACAAAACTGTAGGTTCCCTAAGCTTGCTGTAAGTAAACGAATAAAAATCACACGCCGCAGAAATGCTGTAAGTACGTTAAGTTTAAATGGGAAGAAGTAAGTATTTGTAAAGTAAAAAATGCAGATTTTCTTTTGCTGTAAGTACAAATTGTCTAAAATGACTGGATTTTGGTCTACATACACATTAATTTACTAAAAAAATATAAGTACGGGCGTTTTCAACCGCGTATGTAATTTTTTTCATCGTAGAGACACAGGACCGGGAATTCGATGGGTTTTTATTCTGATTCTAATGGCAGTAAAAAGTCACTTTAGGTATTTTGTCTACTTACAGCAAATATGCTTTCCTACGTCGATGTATAAAAGAAAGTCGTGTTCGTTATACTATTTATAACTCAAGAACGGCTGAACCGATTTGGCTGAAAATTGGTGGGGAGGTAGCTTAAAACCAAGAGACGGGACGTAACATAAAACGTGGTATAACAAAACGCAACAAACAGAAAAACTAAAAATTTATAAGTCAAAACATCAGACAAGCCGTTCGTTTGTTAAAAATGGTATAACAAAACGCTATTGACAGCTAAACGTAATGTTATCTATGGTTAAGTATGATTGAAAATTTGACAATTAGAAGTTGATCGGTTGATGTGTTTATTTCGATATTATCATTAACAATGCCAAGACGATCGAATCTTTCCCGACAAAGCCGTTATGCAATAAATGGGTCGACCGATTTTGATGAGAGTTAAGTGGATACGAAAATAGTTCAGATTATTTACAATTAATTGTTTTTTTAGTTTGAAATTTTGTATTTAAGATGTGTGTACAGGACAAAGTATTTAGTCCGCTAGTACGTTATAAAAAGGATAAACACGTGTGTAAATGACATAAGAACTTAAGAAGGATCCAACCAGATCCATGCAACTTCCTCACAATCGAGTAGCCCGCAATATTGCAGCACAACACACAGGGGACTCTTTGTATCGAAGAAGTCCGCCAAGCAACCGCGAATATACAATATAAATACATAATTATGTAGGAATAATGACAAATAATTAACCCAGGAAGGTTTCTAAAATGACTCGGCGAAAGGTCTCCACGTAGTTGCTGAAAATATCCACCGAGTCATTTTCCATCACAGCTTTATTGTAAATCGAACAGAATCTGTTACAGGACTGTTTAACGTACAAAAGTTTCTTATACTTAGTAAAAAAGTCTGTGGTCAGTAGTCTTACAATAAAATAATTTATCCTTAACCCTAGATCACTAAACATTAGTCTCACAGGCTACACGACTCTGACGCATTCGCTGTTTATGTATGTTCCCGTTACTGCACCCCCCTCAGCCGCTCAGTACCTTCCTAATTCGGCCAATCAGTGACCCGTGAACTCGCATTGCGTACGCACGCTTCCTACTTCCAGAGATATTACGCAATAGTAGTCTCTCAGGCTAATGTTTAGTAATTGCGCCACAAAAGTGAAGAAAGGTAAGTTATGAAATATTTCTTTTTATTTACGATTTTATCTATAATAACTAATTACTGATTAATGTAAATGAATAATAAATATGTGTGATACTACGAGCAATATTTATTTTATGAACTTATTATCATTTTTTATTTTTTTATGAGATTTTGAACATTTTGTTTTAGCAGTATTTTCTGTTACAGATGGATTTGATACGAGATCAAGATAAAATATTGCAGATTTTGAACGAGTCAGATAATGACGATGACGATTCACCATTTTTTGGACCATCTGGTGTGCCTTCGGACTCCGAACCTGATGACAACTTAGAGGAGGACTTAGTCGAGGATACCGACGAAATTGAAGATGATTCGTCGAGTTCTTCTGATGAAGATCTAAATGTTTCCCGGAGAAGCCGTAACAGAAACAGAATCCTAGATTCTGATGATGATTCTTTGGAGTGTTTGCAGCCTTGTCCACCCATAGCTTCTCACCAGGATCTGGTAATACAACCTGAGAGACCATACATTTATGGAAAAAACAAACATAAGTGGGCAACTACTCCACGCTCTTCAAACACTCGTGCATCGGCTCGAAACATTATTCATTTTGTACCCGGACCTAACAGTGATGCAAGAGATTTGGTAGAACCACTTCCAATATTTCATTTGTATTTATCTGATGAAATGATTGACCAACTTGTTATTTACACAAATGCAGAGATTGAAATAAAAAAGGTGAAGTACAAGGAACTCACTCATACTATTTCTCCAACTTCAGCTATTGAACTAAAAGCTTTACTGGGTCTTCTTATGCAATCAGCTGCTATAAAAAGTAATCATTTACCCACGAGAATATTGTTTGATGACAGAAGGAGTGGTAACATTTTCAAAGCCTGCATGAGCGCTGAGAGATTTGATTTCTTGCTTAAATGCCTTCGATTTGATGACAAAGCAGACAAGACAGAAGAGCATCCGATAAATTTGCACCTATAAGAGAATTCTGGGAGAAATTCATTGGTCATTGCAAACAATGGTACAAGCCAAGTTCCTATCTGACAATCGATGAGCAATTAGTTGGGTTCAGAGGGCGCTGCCCATTTCGAATTTATATACCCAATAAGCCTAACAAGTACGGCATAAAAATTGTAATGGTTGCAGATTCTAATTCAAAGTACGTATACAATGCTACGCCTTATTTGGGTAAAGGAACCAATTGCGATAATATGCCTCTTGCCACACATTTTGTGAAACAACTCTGTGAGCCTGTCTATGGGACAAACAGAAATATTACGATGGACAACTGGTTCACTTCAGTGCCACTTGCTTCAGAATTACTTCAGGACCCGTATAAACTCACACTTGTTGGGACAATACGTAGTAATAAGCGAGAGATTCCACCTGAGATGAAAAACAAAAAATCAAGAAAGATTCATACTTCGATGTTTGCATTTGATGGTGAGAAGACTCTGGTCTCGTATAAACCAAAATCTAACAAGACAGTATTTCTTCTTTCGACAGTACACAGTCAGCCAGACATTAACTCCACTTCGAAAAAGCCTGAAATTATACATTTTTATAATAGTACCAAAGGTGCTGTCGACACTGTCGACCAAATGTGCTCAGCTATATGTGTCAATCGCAAAACCAATAGATGGCCTCAATGCGTGTTTTATAATGTCTTGAACCTGTGCCTAATTAATTCATATGTCATCTATGTGTCGAACATGGTCAGAGAACGGCAAAAACCAATGAGACGTAGGAGTTTCGTCCAAAGTTTAGCCGATAAGCTCATAGAGCCATGGTTACGAGAGCGGTATAACACTGTCACTTTGAGGAGGGATATAAAAGCTAGTATTAAAGATATTTTAAAAATTGAAGATGCTACTCCTAGTACCTCTCAAGCGCAACAAAATAAGCGTAAAATATGTTCTTTTTGTCCTTACAAAAAACACAGGATGACTAAATATGTTTGCAGCCGCTGCAAGACGGCGATTTGCGGGGAACATACGGTTCCAGTGTGTGCCGACTGCCAAGAATAATTTTTTTTAACCTTTTGTTTTATTATGTGGTAATTTAAAAGACATTCCATATTTTAAGTAGACTTTTTCTAAATAAATACTCTAGTTTTGATAAATATTGCGGTTTTATTTTGTTAGTTTGTAGGACTAATGTTTAGTGACAGAGTTTGAAAAAAAAAGTTTAGTGATCTAGGGTTAAACAAATTAAAGAAGATTGTTATAATCTATAACACACTACTGTAACTATACTTTGTTATATTTTAAAATAGCCTCAGAATTTATGAAAATACTATGTTAACTTTAACATTTTCAAACAAGAGTCGAATTACTCCTATATGTCAAATCATTTTGACATTTCTAAATCATACTTAGCATTTGGACGTGCGTCAAAATTATTCCGTAAATAGAAGTCATACTTCGCTAAGTCTCGCTTTAGAAACTGAGAATTAGATGTGAACTTAGTTAAATGAGTAACAACAAATGTTTATAATCTTATACAAAGATGAAGTAGTCATAGAGTTTTCATTACAGATAAGTATCGTTATCCTAATGGAACACATATCAAGATGTTACAATCCATTGTCAAGAGTAAGTCTAAATATATAATTTATCTATAAAAAATATGCTTAACTCAGATAGATTAAAACAATTAGTATTAATATATCTGTCAACCCGTAGTTGTCAGAAAAATAAACAAGCCATAGGTTACTTATTCTGTGGGCTTCTTATTTTCTGTTGACATTAAATTTATATGTTAAACTTATGAACTTAAATTAAAAATAACTTAACTTATCTTAGCCAAACCTTTTTATTTAAATACTTCTTACCAATCAAACACATTGAACAATCACTTTACTTTACACAATTTGAAATAAAGAGTATTTTATAAATGCATTTATACATTTCAGTATTGTATTAAACAGTTTTTAAACGATAAACTAATGTAACTCAAAATTGTTTATGGTCTGAGATAAAAAAGTTCCTACAGGCCATAAAACTTTAAAAAAAAGTTACTGTTTGTTGAAGATGCTTTAAAAGAATGTAATTTTTATTATTTTCTTGTTGTTGTAAATGCAGAATGCAAAGAAATGCAAATGAGACCATTTATACAAAAACTTAATTAAATTTTACGTAGAATTTTTAGTTTTTCTCAACGGCTGTAATATCGAATCTAAAACGACCCCAGCCGCATTGGATTTGCTGCACCTGAAAAACACAATTTTTTATTTAATTATTACCTACGTCGAAATACTCGAAGGTTCGCGAGTGGGTCGCCGGCTGGTACGATTTTTTCGAAAGACCAAAGTCGAAATAATCGATGTATAGATTCGCGAGTGGTTCGCCAGCGGCTAAACATTTTCATTTGAAGGACCTAAGATCTATTATAGTTTTCGAGTTTATCGCCCATTATTTTATAATATATAAGGATAAATGCATACTTTGGAAACATATCAGCACATCTCAACTCCGTCCAGCCAGTCAGTGCTTCATACAGCATTGTGTCCAGCGCCCGGTCTGCTACCAGTTCACCGGCTAACATTCTTAGGGCTAAACTGAAAGATGAATTGCTTTAAAATCTGGATTGTTTTTCCGATCAATCTATCTTTAGATTAAAATCGACGTTAAAGCTTTCTCCTCATTCTTTTGCGTGTTTCAGTGTGTGTTTTTCGTTAATAATAAATGTTTATTTATTTATTTATTTATTTATTAGGCTTACGACATCACACACAATACTTAATCTACTAATTATTTTACAAAAACTTACATCTAAAATGTGTGACAATTAACGTAAACACAAGTTTCACAAACCAAAAAATAGAAATTTAAAATTTAAAAAATGTAAAAAATACAATTAAAACATAATATACAAGGTGTTAAGGATTTTGTAGAACTCAGATGCCATATCATTAACATTATTATGAGCGCGTAGGCTATCATTCCAATCAATGGTTTTCAGATCCCCTATAATAGACACATAGTCAGCTTTTTAAAAACTTAGTTAAGTATTACCTCTCGTTCGCAAAAAAGATATTTTAGAATATTTAATACTTAACAATAAACTAGGATGATTCGCGTATATTTTACTTAACGAGTCGGAGGGGGCTGATACATTAATACTAGACATATTACTTAATATTAAATACAAGAAACGATCATCACTATTACCTATACTAATACATTGATTTGGGCTATTCATAGACATAAAATCAATAAAGGCAAAGCCAAGTGTATTGTTATAATTACAAGGTGTTATAAAAACTTCATTATTTAGCGATCTCCAATTAATGAACCCTAGATTGACATCATCACTTAAAATTAAAGCTCTGTCGACGCTGTCTAAAAAATGTGTCAAAGTCCCAATCTTAACAGGAGGAGGCAGGTATACTTCACATATCGAAAGTTTCTTTATTATTTTATTAATATTTATATGTAAGGTGACCCATAAGTCCTCCACATCCGATTCCCATGCCTCAACTCTGAAAGAAGAAATTTCTTTGGAGACTCCCAGTATGACACCTCCACCATCCGATTTGGTATTGGTAGAACTTGAACGATCTCTACGATAAACAGTGTATCTATTGTCAAATAATTCCATGTTTGAAATACCAGATTTCAGCCAAGTTTCAGTTAGAGCGATGATCTTGTAATTAGAAGTTGACAAATATTTGAGAAAGCTTGCCGTTTTAGTTCTCAACCCCTGTACGTTTTGATAATAAATTTCAAGCATCGTAAAAAAAATCAGTGTGTTACTAGACTAAAGATACAACAAAAAGCTTACAATGTAATATACTATACTATGTTAAAAGATTTAAGGTTTCGTTATTCTTAATAAGCAAGGCTTGGCAGTTTTCGTTCTTTCTTGTAAAAACGCGTCCGTTGCGAACCCATACAAATTTATACTGCTTCTCTTTTGCTTTCAAGCGTGTGGCCGCGTAAAGAGCATTGTTAACTGATGTAAGATGTTCAGATACATAAATAGGTTTCTTAGTTCCTTCGATACCAAGATGATGAGAGTTTAATTTCTCTTGTGGATTCTTCCTATTAAATTTGCTCACAGCAGCCAGAACAAAGTCACGTGTACGCGGGCTACATAACTTGGCTACCACGGACCGAGGCCTATCACTGCTATTAGTTATTTTAGCAACCCTTGTTACGTGCTGAATATCAACTTGAGTGAGGGGACAGTCCACAGTCTTGGCTATACGAAGGACAGTTTCAAATAAATTTTCTGACATATTCTCAGGGATCCCATTAATCAATATATTATTCTCCCGGGCATGTAGTTCAACAGAAGTTAGCCGGTTCGTTAGGTCAGCCACATTAGACTTTAACCTCTCATTATCTTTTTTTAGATTCACTATTGCGATGTCCTTCTCCTCAAGAGAAGACTTTATATCCTCAAATTGTCGACTCAGGAAGCAGACTGTGTCCTGGAACCCAACAACCCTTTCAGTGAGATTATTAAGTTCCGATGTCACCAATCGCTTTATTGTCACAGTGAGGACTGAAGATAACTCCTGTTGTAAGATATCTCGCAATTTATCTTCAGTGACATATGGTTCTAGTTCTGGTAGTTGTGAAGGGGGTCCATGGGATGGCTTTATTCGCTGCGTTACTTTAGAGCACGGAGGTTCACTCTCCGGACTTGCTTCTTGTGAGCTCATACTATGGGGGCTTCCATCGGAATTTTCACAAGTCAGCAATGACGTCTTTGCATTGCTAACATTAGTCGGTTTCCTAGAGCATTCGGGACATCTAAATGACGCCTTTTGTCTTGCGACCATCTCAACAAAGCGCTTGCGGGAGACATTAGCACATTCTAGGTCGTATTTTAACTTGCAGATATGACAGCATAAAAAATCCTTTTTTGGTAGCTCAATATGACAGCTAGCACAACAATTTGAAGGCGCCATAGCAACTTTTAATAAAAAATAAATAAAAACAAAAACAAGTGGGATGCCTGGATTGGAACCACGTCAGACACTATATAACGATATTATGGCAGCGCTCTGCAACGCTGCGCCGAGCGGGCGGTCAAGTAGTGTGCCGAAATAATAGTATATGTTCCAGTCCAATAGCTGAGTACAAACGCACAACACGTTGAACAAAAACTCGACACTATTTCACTGAATCAATGCATATGATTATTATAATTAATCAAAAAACTATCAAATGCAAAATAATGTTAATGTTATGATTCACTTGCGTATTTTTCCATTTAGCGTATTGTTGATGTTTTAAAACGGCCACTGCACCAGAGCGCTTGTTATTATGTTGAAAATTTGATTATTCCATTAACACAACAACTTGGAAAAGTCACACACTGCACTAATTTGCCTTGCTTAATTCATTTAAAACAACATTATAGCAATATAAGGGGAATTTCTATTTTTAATTGTATTTTTACACGGGAGCCGATGTGTACGGTACCCACTACCTACTACATTTCCTATGTCTATGTCCAAAGCATATGGATTTTGAGGTACGGATGGAATACTTAAAGCTAAGTTTCCAGTTTGTAACCTTTAAAACTTGCTAAATAGTATCGGGCCCAGTCTTAATGTACAGCTGTGAGGCTTGGACGTTAACCGTGTAAGAGGAGCAGTAGCTGCTGGTGGAGGAACGCAAAATATTGCGTAAAATCCTGGGGCCGACAAGGACGGGTCATGGAGAGTCCGAAATAGAAGAGCTGGTTGTTCAGCTCAACATTATAGGTGTATATGAGGTCCATCGACTAGGTTGGCTGATGCACCTTGTGGTTGGAGACCAGTAGGTCGGCTTCGGTACCCCTGGATCGACAGAGAACCTGCTGCAGCTGAAATCCACTAACAAGGGAGCGCTGGAAGAATCTCATTCCGGAGACCAAGAGACTATTTGGGTAGCAGAGCCAGCGGAGAAGTGATGATCGAGACTAAGCCATAAAAATCTAGTTAATCGACCTTCGATTGTCATAGGAGGAACAATATGAGCAAAATACGAATTTAAAGGCATCGAGACTAATACTTTGTACAACTGTGAAACAGGAGACAATGTATCGGTAGCAAGGATTTCATTGATATCTTTCGTGTATATTTTAAATATCCGTCTTCCCTTAACATTGAAACAAAGAGCGTTTCACTTTTACTCTTAATCTTGACTTGAATTACTTCACGTTATTTTTTTAATACATATACACAACATATTTGAAGAAATAATTATACTTCTTTTATATTGTTAATTATTGGTCATGGGTCAGAACTGACGTTTTATTTAATTGTAATATTAAAAGTTTGTTAGTCTGTGGAAAAGACGCGAGGTTTGGCTTGTCACTTGTATTTTTACAAGAAGTTTTTTTGTAAGAATGTTTTCGATGTTAATTATAAAATATTACATTAAAATAATTGTTTTAAAGAATTTTTATGAAATAACCAACTCTAATTGTTATTTCTATAATTATTTTAGAAACACATATTAATCATATACATATATAGAAATGCATAGTATATAAAACAACATACCCATTAATCCTCGCCATAGTCCCGTAAGGTGGATTTAATTTTGACGTAGCAACTAAATTCTTACAATACAAAAGCCAAACGCAGTCCAAATCTGTGTAATAGCTGCTGGCAACACTGGAACTGTCATTAAATGACGTTTGTAGATGGTTAAGCGCGTGCGTGTTGGCGTCGATATTGCGGGACATTTGATTTTGAATGTTGGTATCAACCGCCTCGCGGTTTGACAGTTGGTTTAACACCATTCTGAAAAAAAAAACATTGTTGTCTATAAAGTCGGTTTACGGACGATGGTTAAAACAAAACATTGATGAAATGATTGTATAGTTAAGTCGAAGAAAATTCAAACAAATTTAAAAAGTTTGTTCCCTGTGGCCGTGTACCTTTAACGCTGGCAACAGCTTTTAGCGAATTTCTACTTATTAATTTTTTATTATTATTATTGTTACTATGTAGGTTAAGAATAATGTTAATACTGTATATTTGTGTGTCGGAAATAAATAAATCACTTGTGTAAAAGAGTTTGCGCTTACTTTGTATTCTTATACGCCCGTCCCAAATGTATGGCGGCCCTGGCGGTACTCATTCCGATCTCCAACACGTTTTCAAGTAAATTCTTCTCATCATCAGAGTCTTGACGTGCGTTTTGGCGTTTACTAGAACAACATTGTCAAATGTTAATCAAGTGAAACTGACAGTTGGTGATGAAAAAGAGTTTTTTTAAAATTGTAACACAGTTTGGGACGAACAGGCAGGAGGCTCATCTGATGTTAAGTGATACCCATGGACACTCACATTGCCAGAAGGCTCGCAAGTGCGTTACCGGCCTTTCAAGAATTGGTACGCTCTTTTCTTGAAGGACCCTAAGTCGAATGGGTTTGGAAATACTTCAGTGGGCAGCTGGTTCCACATAGTGGTGGCAACAAAAACTGCCTTTCGTTTACTGAGTTGACTTCCGATTATGAATCTCTGGTACAGGTATTAATCCAAACATCTCTGAACACTCCATGGTAAATGCGGTAGAAGATGCAAAGAGACCCCACATCTCTACGCAACGCCAAGGGATCAAGTCGCTCGGAAAGTCTGGTCGTCGACAAAGAGTGACATTAGTTAACGTTCATAAGTGTTATATATTAATAAAATAAAAAATAAATCAGTGGCGCCCGACTTAAAAAGGTTGTACCTTTTTAAGTCTGGGCCTAAGATTGCTGTATCTGTTCCATGATCATTTGTCAATCTAATAGGCAAGTAGGTAATCAGCCTCCTGTGCCTGACACACGCCGTCGACTTTTTGGGTCTAAGGCAAGCCGGTTTCCTCACGATGTTTTCCTTCACCGTTCGAGCGAATATTAAATGTGCACATAGACCTCAGGGTTGAGAGACGCACGCTCAAGCCACTAGGCCAACACTCAATGAAGGTTTGTCTATTAGATATCTTTCGCAAAAGATGGAACCGAAGTTATAGCAATAAGAATCGCTAAATCATTTTATTTTCGTTAAGTCGTAGTTATACTCTGATTTTTAATTCCGTAGAATTCTGGCAGCTATGCTTTTTTGACATGTCAGAGATTACAAACCTTTTTGGCCGGGCACATTTTTCAATTTAAATACGAGTCTGAACATCTGAGTCTATACATATACATTTTATTTGTTAGTAAAAAGGTTTACGAAACCTGGAATTAGTAGGCAGTGATGCCAGCTAAATAATAAAATAAAGTAATTAAAGTAAATTCGATATATTGTTCGTGATATTGAAATATTTGTTTTTTTTGTATTCACTTGAGTAAGTAAATACAATTAATTAATTTTTATTGCCCTCAAATGGGTCAAACTTGTCCCTTTATCGTTGTAGTAGTAGTGTTGCTACTAAAGAACTATTTTAGTAGCAACACTAATGAAATATCAGAATTCTACGGAATTAAAAATCAGAGTATAGGAATAGTTAACTAACCTATTTTCATAATAATGCAGCACTTCGTTCTGTTTCGCCTCCACCTTACTAGGTTCCATGAACAGTGCGTTAAAAGCGAACACATCTGGATCCTTGAGCATTTTGTTACGGGATCCTTCCTGAAAACCACGAACTCATTCAAGTTCTATGTATAGTTCTATACATTTATTACTAACAAAACACACACTCAGAAACACAACATAACAATAATAAAAAAATATATAACATAGAATGAGATAACAATTTTTTTTCTTTTATTAAAGAAGGTACGTTTTAAATTTTAATATATGGCAATTTATGTACTTAATTAATCTGTATGTACCACTTTCTTTGCAAATAAACCATTTATTTATCACGAAAATATAAAAAGAACGACAATTCTGAAATTTAAATTTCCAAATCTAGAATCTCACCTGATTCTCCCAAGCCATCAGCTGTATATTATGCAACAACATGACATCCAACGTCAAAATCCCAAACGAGAGCAAGCTGGTGCTATTCTTCAAAATCGGCTTTCCACTATTCACCACAGTATAATTATCACCGAAGTAAACATCCCTCAGCTTCTTCATCACAATCGTCACATTTCCCTCAATTAAACTGTCATTTAGGGCTTTCAATATCTCACCGAAATTACTATTTTCCTTCTTAACAAATGTGGGGTCAGAATTTATCCATTCGTACAATTCTTGAACTTTTTCTATCAAGTAACTTGTCATTGTATTGCTTTGCATGTAATCGTCGTATAAATTTTCGTCGTTGTAGTAATCTTCATATGTTAAGTCTATGTAGCCGTCGGAGAGCTTTATATGTTTGTTGGTGAATATGTCTGGTAGTGTTGGTTTGAATTCGGGTATTGCTTTGGGCTTGTCTTTCTTTTCGATTTTTTTCTCCGCGTGGTGTAAAGTTGTGTCGTGGAGTGGGTGGATTTGCGGTTTGGATGCTAGATCGGGATTTCGATTTGCGACTATATTTTTGAATATCGATAGTTTTTCCAATATAGGATATTGTAATTCGTCTGTTGATTCCGTGGATTGTGGATGAGGGAAATATATTGGTTCCTGAAATGAATACCGCATTATTGTGTCGTACAACATAGCGTGGAACAAGAGTGGCGGAGAGTTCATTGCCAGTTCTTCTCGTCCGTTCTACGCCCTTGATTTGAGAACTGGCAGTAAATGTAAAATTAGAAGCATTTAGCATTAAATATGTATTTTTTTATTTACATTCATGTGTTACCTAAATGAATAACGGATTTCTAATTTGAATTAGCCACTTTGCTTAAAATCCAGTAGAGCTAGAAGCTTTAAGGTTGTTGTCTAATAGATAATCAGCCTTCTTAGCCTGACACTGTTGACTTTTTATGTCTAAGACATGCCGGTTTCCTCACGATGTTTTCCTTCGTACGAACGAGTGTTAAAAGCCTTCAAGTCCATTGGTGCAGACGGGGTTCGAACGTACTCAGGGGTGAGAGTGTCACGCTGAAGCCAAGGTTAAGAATGACATGTCAATGGCAGTAAAAAATTAACTGTAATCGCACTTTCAACAAATTTTAACTTATAACTGCAATCGCATGTTGTGCTACATTTATTATGATAAAACGTAAGAAAACGTTGTCTTTTGATTATACTTCGTTTATGGTTACAGTTTATTGTATGAACTTTTAGTATGTATTAAGCTGAAAGAAGCCAGTGGCTCTAGAACGTTTTTAGGTCTGGACCTTAGATTTCTGAATCTGTTTCATGATCAATGTAATAGGCAAATAGGGGATCAACCTCATGTGCCTGACACACGCCGTCAACTTTTTGGGTCTAAGACATGTCGGTTTCCTCACGATGTTTTCCTTCACCGTTCGAACAAATGTTAAATGCGCACATAGAAAGAAAGTCCATTGGTGCACAGCTGGGGCTCGAACCTTCCACCTCAGGGATGAGATACGCACACTGAAGCCGAGGCCGAGGCCAACACTGTTATTTAACCTTAAAAAAACTGTAGAATAGTACTTACGGGTGCTTCATAAATCTCTCTAGTGGTATAAGTCTCGGTGGTCCCCCACCGCGTGATCACAACAGTAGCAAGTACAAGAATCGCGCACACAGCAAAGCACGATGCGCCAGCGATGACCCACACTTTCAGCGGCACCTGTAATGATACATTATAAATTCACAATTTATCTGTTTACTTACAGAGTTAAAACTTTGAAAAACTGGGCGATTAAAAATAGTGGCGGAGAGTTTATTGCCAGTTCTTCTCTTCCGTTCTACGCCCTTGATTTGAGAACTGGCAGTAAATGTAAAATTAGAAGCGTTTCTTTTTTGACGTTCATAAGTGTACATTGTGTTACCTATATGAATAAATGATTTTTGACTTGACTTTGACTTTCTCCTGGGTAAGTTAGTATTACAACTAACGTGATATATATATATCTTTTATAGATCCGGAGTCAAACGGACAGGAGGCTCATCTGATGTTAAGTGATACCGCCGACCATAGACTCACATTACCAGAGGGCGTGCATCGCCTTTTCAGAATTGGTACGCTCTTTTCTTGAAGGACCCTAAGATGAATTGGTTCGGAAATACTTCAGTGGGCAGCTGGTTTAGTGCTGGTGCGCGGCAAAAACTTCCTTATTAACGCTCAGTTGTGGTTGGACCTCGAGGTGATACGGGTGGAATTTCGTTTCCTCGACGTCCGATGATGAAACTCAGTTGCACCGAAAAAAACCTTGCACAATCAATAGACCTGACATTTCTAAAATATTACAAACATATCGAACTGTACGTGAACACAATCCTGAAAAAAACAGTTGAAAAACAAAAATAATTAAAAAATAAAGATGTAATTAAATTATGTAAAGTATATATGTGTATATATATAGAGCTGGGAACCCTGACACAGGTTTCTACTTAAAAGGGTACCAAATCTTACATATTATAATGAATTGTTGTCAAGTGAATAAGCAGATTTTTTTCTACAAAGGTACCCCTAGTTTTTATTGTAAATGTAATCTTTGTCGTACAAATTAACCTCAAAATGCTCATGGGCATGAAAACTCTAACAATTTTCCCATATTCCATTTAATTTAACTGAAAATTGCTAAGCGTGGGAAAACAGTAGTGCATAATAGCCTGTCGTACTTGCAAATTGCTTCCTGCGTCGTAAAACATATAATTTGCTAGAGAAAGTCGTATTGTACGGTGTTTCCCGATTTAAAAAAAATCCAATCGCTGTTTTGATGGACAAATTAATAACACTGAGCCAATTTGTAAGACGCAAATCACATAAACATTTAAATTACGCTAGCCAAATTGGATTTCTAATCTACAGAGGCTTTGCGTGGTATGACTGAGGTGCCAAAAACTAACACAGATACAGCGCACGATCATAATACATGTGCATACACACCCATTCACACACTCATACTTAATGTCTTATAAAACAATAAAATTGCTTTTTTTAAACTGTTTTAAACATGTACCATGTGCCACGGAATAAAATTTATCTAGTAACCCACAACACAGTCACCATGCCATGGAAAGGAGCATGACTGGGATCAAAAGAAGAGACAAAGTAAGCAGTAGCAACATCAGAAGAAAGACTAAGGTACAGTACAGGACATAACTTTGAAAATAAGAAAACAAAAGTGGAAATGGGCAGGCCACATGATCAGGGGAAAGGACAAATGGAGTAAAATAATCACACAATGGTACCCAAGAGATGGAAAGAGAAAGAGAGGTAGACCACAAAAAAGGTGGGACGACGACATTATACAAGTCGCGGGAACAACATGGGGTAGAGTGGCCATAGAAAGGCCAGAATGGAGAAGGTTGGAGGAGGCCTTTGCCATCTGGCAAACGGACACCCAAAAGTGGAAGAAAAGTACAATATACGAAAAATAAAGAAAAATACTGGCATGTCCGAATAGAGGCTATAATAATAAAACCCACAACACAGGGACTCCCTAGTGTCCTCCCTAGTGGGAACTAGCGATATATGAATTTTGTCACAACCCTTTTGTCAAAAATAAAGTTTTTATTATTATTATTAGTGTATGGAAATATGTAAATAGATCCATATTTCAGAGCGCTGAAGTCGTAGTTTCGATACCCGTGCACCAATGGACTTTTTATCTGTGGAGTTAACATTCGCTTAAACGGTGAAGGAAAACATCGTGAGGAAACCGGCTTGCCTTAGATCCAAAAAGTCGATGGCGTGTGTCAGGCACAGGAGGCTTGCCTATTAGATTGACAAATGATTATGAGGCTGCTGCCTCGAATTTTGCGGGCAGCGGGGCAGCGGCGCGGGAGCGGCAGGATCTTATGCGTAAAATCAAATGGACCGGTTCTCTAAAACAGCGGCGTGGCAGCGACGCGAGGGCGGGTAACGAGAGGTGCAAGAGTGCCCGCTCCCGCGCCGCAGCTGCCGCCGCCCCGCTGCCTGCAAAATTCGAGGCAGCAGCCTGAAACGATCCATCCTGGACCATCTGGACTTCCACCGTTCCACAACTGAGCGTTAAGGCACTTTTTGCCAACCATCGTCACTATGTGAAACCAGTTGCACAATGAAGCCTTTCCGAACCCATTTCCACTTGAGGTTCTTAATCGACTACGCAGTCGTGAGCCCTCTGGCATTGAGAGTGTCCATGGGCGGCGGTTTCATTTAACATCAGATGAGCCTCCGGCCCGTTTGCCTTCTGTAATATAAAAAATCAAAAATGCGAGCGTACAAAGTACGCATGTCAGAAGTGAAACTTCTTTGGCAAACTAATTATTAAGTCTTGTTCATATTTATACAATTAATCTAAAAAATTCCGAGACTAAGAGGGAGGGAAAAAGGAAGATATGTTAGGAATTTAATGAAGTTAATTGTCATTAAAATATTAAGTGTCGAAAATTAATATAAATAATAGATTTAATTTTTAAAATTTATTTCTTCAATAAAAACACGTGGCATTTTAATTCACAATTCGTCATTTGAGATTTCAATAAATTATTTTGCATAAAATATAAAATACTAATATTTCATAAATTCTCTTTACGAAATTTTAATTTTAAAAATAGAATTTCTAAAATTATTACACCCTTCTCACTCTCTGTCAATCAGTCTCAATCTCTCTCTCTTTTCTTCGACAAAAACGCTGCACATCTTCGTGACATTCCGTAAATTTTACCCTCATGCGCCTAATGAAGTTTCACTTCAAAAGACTTACTTCGTATAAATAATCATATCTTACACTAGTTTTAGCAGGCAAAGAGTCGCATTCCGGTCTGGGGGGCAAAGGCCGGCGCGCGTAGTACTCGTGCGACCGAACGGGCGTCTCACGTGTAGTCGACGCACGCTTTTCGTACTCGTATTGGAACATTGCCTGTAATATAAATTCCTAATTAAAAAACAATTAAGGGTTATTAAGTGTTGGTCTAAGATGTCGACGGAATCTCGCACCGACTACAAGTCTTCGTCAAGCTTCGCCGTATTCTGGCTATCTAGCAGAGCAACTTTGGGAGCGAGAAACCCCGATTAGCCAGTAGAAGCGACACAAGTGGAAATAGATAAACCATACACTCCACTTCTATTAATTTAGAAGACTACTTTATTCTAATATATAAAATTCTCGTGTCACAATGTTCGTTCCCATACTCCTCCGAAACGGCTCGACCGATTCTTATAAAACTGTTTATGCATATTCAGTAAGTCTGAGAATCGGCTACTATCTATCTTTCAAAGCCCTAAATGTTTTATTTTTTATTTGTTAATTAAAATCTTAAAACTTGAACTCTGAGGTTTATATAGAGAAAAATTCACAGAAAACCCTAAAAAGTTTTCATTCCAGAAAACCGAACAGTCTCTGGGGTAGTATAGCAAAATGTTCAATGTTGGTATGTACTAAAAAGGTAGGCTAAGTAAAATCACATTAAGGAGAAACGAAGTTCGCGGCAGCTAGTAAATAAATAAACTTTAGTGTTGAGTCACCCAATTTAAATTTCCACAAAATTGGGGAAGAAGTATTGACTTCGGGATCCCTATCGCTTTGGATACCTTTTAGGTACCAATCGGGTCTATGGCTATTATATCCATATAATCGTCCTCGATTTCTTTCTAGAACAAACTACATGAGACCGTCATGAACCATTTGTTTAAAGATATCTCTCCACGCTCCACATACTATGTTTTCTTCCGGATATTATGTTACTATAGATTTTCCTATATGTCTTCAGTCAATTAACTATTAATTACTTAAGATGTCATCTGGAACATGGTGTAATGGTTGCAGCTCCTTAGAAACGTTGTGTAAAACAAAAAACTTGGCGATTAAAAGAGTAGCGGAGAGTTAATTACTAGTTCTTGTCCGTTCTGCGCCCTTGACTTGAGATCTGGCAGTAAATGTAAAATTAGAAGCATTTAGCATTAAATATGTATTTTTTTATTGACGTTCATAAGTGTACCTACATTGTGTTACCTAAATGAATAAATGATTTTGACTTTGACTTTACAAGGGCTTTATTAGAGCCATCGTGGTCGGCTAGTCTGCCAAAAGTTACCGAAATAAATCCGTTATAGAAGTAAGCAAATTTAAAGTAAGTTATGCTTTTTAGAGTTTATTGTCAGTAATAATGACATTTTAATAGATTAGACGCCGCAAGCGAACTCATAAAAATCATAGTAAAAAATGTTACATATATATATATATATATTTATTTTAGTGAATAATTAGAAACGTAAACAAAATCTAAGCAATCATCGCACACTTGAAGCCAAAATGAGCCCTTTAGTTTTTCCCACACTCATAAATTGTATTTCATTCTCGTTTCCGATAATGTCCAATAGCATAAGTGTCACTTAGATTTACGAATTCTTCAATAAGTCAAGTTAGTTGTTAATCCAGCGTTGCAACCCCAATACCCCTAATGTTCTCTAGTTATTAGCTTATCTATTAAATGATTAAAGCCAGTTTCAAACAAAGTGTTTCATTTAACATATATCTGAACATATCCAACAACAACCGCCACCGAATTGAACTCGTGCTTGAAATGAAATGGTAAGCGAAAACGTTTTCAGTTTGCTTTTGTTACAATCTGCTCTGTAGCCCGGTCGGGGCGTACCTCCTTCCGGCTGTTTCTTTGTTCGCGCCCTGCTAATACACCTAAAAATTTAACACCATTGCATTCATGTAGACGACGGTCAAAAACGGCAACGTCGCGTATTGGCGTGCTAGTTCGGTAGGATCTAATGTTTACCAGGCTCCAGAAGATAAACCACTTCTTATATGGAAATTGTATTCGTTTTTACAATAAACTCCCAAGGGAAATTAGAAAATTGTTACTGAATAAATTCAAAAATCTTGTTAAACATAAATTAATCAATAAAGCTTTTTATAAATTTGCCGATTATTTAAATGATCCTAATCCTTGGGATTGATTTGCTCCATTTCAAACAATTTGTATGACTCAAGGGCGATTAAAAAGAGTGGCGGAAAGTTTCTTGCCAGTTCTTCTTGCCCGCTCTACGCCATTCACTTGCGAACTGGTAGTAAATGTAAATTTAGAATCAATTTAACATCTTTTCTGTTGACGTTCATAAGTGTACATGTTTACCTATTTGATTAGAGTTAATTTGAGTTTGAAATTGAGTTTACGTATAAAGCACACTATGTAAAAACTTTCCATTCTTTACAAATATATTTATCATCAGGATAAAAAAAACATAAACAAATATATGCCAAACTAAGTTTACATTGAATAATGAAAAACTTTAGGGGTTATCTATTAATAGAACGCATTAAACAATTATCTGTCCCAAAATATGGCGCCAAAGAAATGACATTTGACATGTGTGGCACTATTAGGGCTGTACCAATTGAGAGGTGATGTTGACACATGAGAGGTATGGGAATATCCACAAATAATAGACTAGTATGTCCGTTACGTAATTAGAAGCGTATTCTTTTAAATAAATATCTGGTTGTTTATTGGTTCTATGAAACATGTTTATTGATTTGTGAAACATAACTAAACCATAGTTGAAATAACTAACTTTTTGTAAGTGTTGGAGAATTATTGAAATATATTATGAATATATATTATGTGGCTAATAAATAGTAAACATTTTTATTTCATATTTATAATTTTTAACGCTTATTTAATTATAAAAAGTAAGTATTTAATTATTCAGTGATTAACATTTTAAATATAATTATATAAAATTATAACTTGTGATTACCTTATATTTATTATTTTTTTGTTTGTTAATAGTGGTCATTATTAATATTAGACTTCTTAAAAAATCTATTTTTTTTTAAAGAATAACGATAACGTATAATAACTATTTATTTTGTATTTAAAATCAAACCATAATCTTGGTTTGACATAATAATTTGTCTTAAATGTGATTTTAAATACAATTTATTAAATAATTATGTGACAGCCCTGAAATCCAATAAGGATCTTACGCTGTAAGTTGTAACCCTAAAGTTAGATAATGCATTATCAAATTTCTATTAGTTCGAATGAGATAAAAAAATATTCTTTTGTTAAAGGTAGCATTAAAAATACTTTATTTATGGGGATTTACATGAATTACAATCTAGCCTATACAATAATTATGGCTAATAAGTAATATTATGTTAACTTAATTTTCTACAATGCTAGTAAATAGCTTAAACTAAGGTAATGTTCATAAACAGTCTTACGCCCGAACCCAATAATAAATCCTCAATCTCAGATTGAGAACAATCTGAGATTGATCTCCTATCTGCATCCCAAAAACCAAACCCTAAAAAGACAATCCATTTTTGGCGACGGTTAAAATGCTCTTTGTCGTTCCATTTTACCGAGTTTTCACTCATATTTTATAGTCAATGTAAACCAAATAAAGTAAATAAAACCGTACAAATAACATTAAAATATACATGTGTATGTTTAAAACATAACAAACAGTTTTTTTTAATAATTAAAAAAACTGGTGTATGTTAAAATCTGTTAAAATAATTAACAGTTGAAATCGAGCTTTCGTCAATTGTCATTTTCATACGAAGGTCTATCCACAGACACCGATACGACCTCCCATGGATAGCTTGTATCGACAGGTGGCTATTACAATCCGTAGATCCTTATTATTCCTGTTGTATCAATAAGTTAATTGCCTCAGCATTCACATGGCTATGTATCCTGTTTAAGTGAGCTAAGGCAAACCGTTTCGCCGTATTCAGGACTGTATCCTCATTAAGATCCTTGTGGATACTTTCATATTTAATATACCATGGTGCATTGGCAATCTTGTTCTGGTAGCATTAAAAATACTTTATGAGGAAATAAATTACAAAATGTCTTGAAAGCTTTTGACGGGGGTGAACGAAACAACTGTTTAAATGAACAAGAAGTGATTGCCCTTGACCGACCTTCAGTTATTGGAGAGGTACTGGAAGCAGATATCGTATCTAATAAGGTATTAAGATTATACAGTCTATTTGACACTGCCCAGTTTAGCCTAATAATACAAATCAGTAATCAGGCTTTATTTACTATATATAATATATATGTAGTGTTAAGTTGACTGGTCGTACTTGAATTCGTGTATGCGGTGATGTTAGTTATTTCGACTATGTATTTGCGCGTTGTTCCCACGAGAATGTAAGTGGCGTGCTCCTATTTCACCTACTGGTGATAGAGGAAAAATCTTTGTTTTTAATTTTATTATTATTTATTACTTAAGATGTCATGTGGAACATGGTGTAATGATTGCAGCTCTTTACATACAAGTTAGTTGGCCTAAAAGTTACGATTCACAAAATATAGTGTTAGCTTTTAATATTTATTTAATTTAATTCTTAACATTTTTTTATGACACATATTCTTAAAAATCTTGCTACAAGTGCGCATGTGCAATAGTTACTCATTTTACGAATTGACTCGAACAACTGCCCGAAGTGGGATGGTCGGGTCGGAGTAGAGAATAGATTATAAAAGAGGTTGAAATATATGCGCACGGGCAATTCCTTTGTCTTGAACAAAGTTGAAGTTTGAAGTTAGTTTACGTAAAATCAGTGAAGTGAATTATAGTGAAATGAAATGAAATAGTTTATTCTTGCAAGTAGGACTATATAAAACACTTTTACAATGTCTTCCTAAACTAGATGAAGTCGACATTTCCTAACTGACTGCCCTGAGAAGAAATGTCGAAACAAACTCTTCTTAGTCTCTTTTATAGTCCAGATAATACAATAATAAATTAATAAATTGGTGTAAACAAATGCAGAGTATTTACTGGACTGGTCTTTGGAAGAAAGAACTAGATCGATCTGAGCAAGCCTGTGCCAGCAGACGGCAAGCATGCCCCGAATAGCTCATGCAGCTCAACCATTTTTGA